TGCTTGCTTTGTTTGTATGAATGTTTGCCCAAGTATTGTAATTAAGATTGACATCTGCAATCAATAGAGTGATACTCAATAACATTTAAATATAATGTATACAAGCTGAAGCCCCACCTATCTATTGATTGCAGATGTCAGTCTTAGTTACAATGCTTGAGCAAACATTCATACAAACAAAGCAAGCAAGCAAGCCAAACCTTTAAACTACAAGCATTAGGAAAATAGCTCTAACAATAGAAAACAGTACAAGTAAATTTGCTACAGCTGAAATAAAATTGAGAATGGAAATGGGGAATATGTCAAAGAGACAACAACCCGACCAAAGAGCAGACAACAGCCGAAGGCCACCAATGGGTCTTCAATGCAGCGAGAAAATCCCGCACCTGGAGGTGGTCCTCAGCTGGTCACTAAATAAAATTGTGTGCTAGTTCAGTGAAAATGGACATCACACTAAACTCAAAATATAAATGAACTAAAATTAAAAAACATACAAGACTGACAAAGGCCAGAGGCTCCTGACTTGGGACAGGCGCAAAAATGCGGCGGGGTTGAACATGTTTTGTGAGATCTCAACCCTCCCCCTATACCTCTAGTCAATGTAGAAATAAAATGCTCCGCAGGGCGCAGCTTGATACGACCGCAGAGGTCGAACCCTGAACAGTTGGGGCAAGTATGGACACAACATTCAAGCTTGATACAGCTTTGCATTTGGATTGTGATTAAATATTTGACACAGCATAGGTTTCTGACACAGAATGAATGTGGTCTAAGAACTTAAAAATTTTAAATTGGACATTCACCTATTATGGTCCAATATCCAAAATCTAAATACATGGTTAGATTCAGCATATCAAAGAACCCCAAGAATTCAATTTTTGATGAAATCAAACAAAGTTTAATTTTGGACCCTTTTGACCTCAATGTGGACAAAGTTGATAACGGGGCCCAAAAATCAAAAATCTAAATACATGGTTAGATTCAGCATATCAAAGAACACCATATATTCAATTTTTGTTGAAATCAAACAAAGTTTAATTTTGGACCCCGATTTGGACCAACTTGAAAACTGGGCCCATAATCAAAAAAAAAATCTAAATACATGTTTAGATTTAGCATATCAAAGAACCCTAAGAATTCAATTTTTGTTAAAATCAAACTAAGTTTAATTTTGGACCCTTTGGACCTTAATGTAGACCAATTTGAAAACGGAACCAAAAATTAAGAATCTAAATACACGGTTAGATTCGGCATATCAAAGAACCCCAATAATTCAATTTTTGATGAAATCAAACAAAGTTTAATTTTGGACCCTTTGGACCTCAATGTGGACCAATTTTAAAAAAGGGGCCCAAAATCCAAAAACTAAATACGCGGTTAGATTCAGCATATTAAAGAACCCCAAGAATTCAAGAATGAAACCCCATTGAAATTGGTCAAGAAATAAGCAATTTATACGAAGTATCTTCTTTTGCACAATACTGTGCAATTAAATATTTCTTGCTATTGCGCAATACTGTACAATTGACAATTTCTTGCTATTGCGCAATATTGTGCTATTGGATATTTCTTGCTATTGCGCAATACTGTGCAATTGAAGATTTCTTGCTATTGCGCAATACTGTGAAATTGAAGATTTCTTGCTATTGTGCAATACTGTGCAATTGAAAATTTCTTGCTATTGCACAATACTTATTATATAATAATTTACACATCCTGTTTGGTGTGTATCTCCTACCATATCATTATTATTTGCTTTTAAATATAAATCAGAAATAACCAACTTAAAATGGAAAATTTTAAAAGAAAAAAAAAGGAAACCCCCCCCCCCCCCCAAATTTTTTGAACCCCCTTATGATTCATCACCCCCAAACTAAATCCCAGCCTTCCCTTTGTGGTATGGTACCTTGCAGTACAATTTCAGAGAGATCCATACACTTTAACACAAGTTATTGTCTGGAAACTAGAAAAATGCTTATTTTTGGCCTCTTTTTGGCCCCAAATTCCTAAAGGTTTAGGGCAATTACCCCCAAACTCAAACCCAGCTATCCCTTTGTGATATGGAACCTTGTAGTACAATTTCAGAAAGATCCATACACTTACACACAAGTTATTGTCCTGAAACTAGAAAAATGCTTGTTTTTTGCCCCTTTTTGGCCCCTAATTCCTAAAATATTGAGGCAATTACACCCATCATCAATCCCAGCCTTCCCTTTGTGGTATGGTACCTTGCAGTACAATTTCAGAGAGATCCATACACTTGAACACAAGTTATTGTCCGGAAACTAGAAAAATGCTTATTTTTGACCCCTTTTTGGCCCCCAATTCCTAAACTTTTCGGCAAATACACCCAAACTCAATTCCAGCTTTCCCTTTGTGATATGGAACCTTGTAGTACAATTTCAGAAAGATCCATACACTTACACACAAGTTATTATCATGAAACTAGAAAAATGCTTGTTTTTTGCCCCTTTTTTGGCCCCTAATTCCTAAAAATTGAGGCAATTACCCCCAAAATCAATCCCAGCATTCCTTTTGTGATATGGAACCTTGTGGTACAATGTCAGAGAGATCCATAGACTAACACACAAGTTATGTCTGGAAGTTACAAAAATGCTTATTTTTGGCCCCTTTTTGGCCCCTAATTCCTTTACTGTTGGTACCATAACCCCCAAAATCAATCCCAACCTTCCTTTTGTGGTATTGAACCTTGTGGTGAAATTTCATAGAGATCCATTCTCTTAAACTAAAGTTAGAGTGCGAAAACCAATGTGTCTTCGGACGACGCCGGACGACGCCAGACGACGACGACGACGACGACGACGCCAACGTCTTACCAATATACGACCACAAAAATTTTTTTGCGGCCGTATAAAAAGAAACACATAGCAATACGCACAGTAAAACTCAGTTTAAAAGAAGTCTGAGTCCGATGTCAGTATAGGTAACAAAAGAAACTAAGCAAAATGACAATGATACATAAATGAACAAAGGACTACTAGCAGTTACTGACATACCAGCTCCAAACCTCAATTAAACTGATTGAAAGATTATGTCTTCATCATATGAAAATCAAGTACAATCCCTCCCGTTAGGGGTTTAGTATCATCATGATCATACAATCATAAAATATATGAAAAGAACATAACCCGTATCATGCCAACAACTGGTTTTAGAATAAATGTGTTTATTTCCGATGCAAAGACCCTATGAGTGAATCAATATTAATACCAAAATATGCAATCCTTAATGACTTGACAACAGTATCGTAACTATATCCTTTCCGAATAAGTCTGTTTAAAGGTTTGGTTAGCTTTTGAGGTGAATGCCGACACTTTTGTGCTTTGTAAAGAATATTACCATAAAATATTGGATGTGAAATACCTGAACGTATAAGATGTATGCATGTTGATTTATATTTAGGAATGATGTCCTTGTACCGATGATAAAATTTAGTAAATGTTTTGACTAGTTTGTGATATCGAAAACCCTGGTGTAATAATTTTTCAGTACTACAGAGATTTCTTTCGTTGAAATAAAATACGTTGTTACATACACGAGCGAATCGAACAAGTAGAAAGCATTTTTAAGCATTTTTGGAAAGAAATATATATAAAAAAAAAATGATGATAAAAGCAATTACTGAAATATGATTGATGGACTGATTGTTGGCATTCAACGAAATTTTCAGAACTCTTTGCTTAATCGTTGTGCCTAGTTTTTATTGGTGGAGGAAGCAGAAACATCCAGAGAGAACCATCACCAATCAAAAGAAACTGGCAATCATTGTCAATTAAGAATGGGATTAAAAACCACCAGTCACAAGCAGGGTTCAACTAACAACCTCATTGTAGACATGTAGTCTCTGATGCATGATTTTTTATTACAATTTATTAATTGTTTTTGGCTTTTAACTAGCTGTCAGTAACTGCGAGTACTCTCAAATCGTACTTTCTTGTTTATTTGACCTGTTGATACTAATTGTAATGCTTTTTTGTTATTTAATGTTATTCAGGGTTTATATATCTGGTCTATACACCAGTTTTGATAAGTGTTTGGTATTACTATAAATTTTCACTTCTTTGTACTATGAACATCAAAATTATTTATTTTGTAAAAATATTTCCTTTCTCTATTTGAACTGTACACGTATACCTAACAACAAAATTATTTTCATTTACCTGTGTTTAAAGTAATTGCAAATGGCTGATATTTTTGTTCAAGCATATTGTTTTTCTTAAATTGTTTAACATTTCACAGCGGTATAACATGTTACTTTAATTATTCTTCCCTTAGTTTATTTATTTTGTATTTGTATCATAGATCAAATTTATTTGTTCAGTATGTTCACTGGTGTCTAATATGTCTTTTGATTGAGTTAAGCCATTTCAATTGATATTTTACAGTGTGTCTTTCTATGTTGTGATTTTACACTATTGTTTCAGATAAGGGTGAAGGTTTGGTACCATTAAAACTTTTAAACCCGCTGCAATAGTTTGCACCTGTCCTAAGTCAGGAATCTGATGTTCAGTAGTTGTCGTTTGTTGATGTGGTTCATAAGCGTTTCTTGTTTTTTATATAGATTAGACCGTTGGTTTTCCCGTTTGAATGGTTTTATAGCTTGCTGTTCGGTGTGAGCCAAGGCTCCGTGTTGAAGACCGTACTTTGACCTATAATTGTTTACTTTTATAAATTGTGACTTGGATGGAGAGTTGTCTCATTGGCACACATACCACATCTTCTTATATCTATAGGCTAATAATCACTAGATGAACTAACAATCAAACAAAAACAAATAAAAGATTACTGTCAAATTGATCATCTAGTGGGAGTTTAAATTTCATCATTTCTAAGGCAAAACCAACAGTCTCATTTTCATCTTTTTCATGTCCCTGATTTTGATATACCATAAAGATGAAATTTTAAACTAGAGTATATTTTCACGATTTTATCTTAACTGCAAAATCAGCAATAATATACTCTCATGAAAATTTAAAAAATAACCATAAATAATATTTAATGAAACAGAAATACCATTTGAATGATCATTACATGTAGCACTTGATGCAACCAACCATAAATAACAAACAATAAAATAAACTAACACATAACAACAACTAGTTTGTTAAAAATAAACACATAACAAAGTATACATACCAAGCATCACAAGTAACATCCCCACCCAAAAAATTTAGGATTAAGATCAAGAGATTAATCTTATTTTTTTCAAAATGGGTTTTCTATCGTATAAATCTTATATTTTTGTTTTGTTTCTTGTATTTTGGATTTGTTTGGTTTTCTTTTAAAGGGAGAGGTGTTGTTGTGTTAGTGTGGTTATGATAATTGAAAATGGAAAACAAATTATTTTTTTTTAATTTCACAGAATTTAATGTTATTGACAAAATTTCTGACAAATCAATTCAATAATTTTATTAATAGTCATCTGATTTTTAAATGTTTCTTTTGTTGTTCAGTATATGCCACACTTAGCTTTTGAAGCTAAAACTTATAAAAAGTATATTGGAAATGTAATAACAAGCCTGCTATGCTTTAGAAAAACGTTTTTAGCCCAGCAAACAGCAATAAGGAGTAGAAAACTGAAGCTGGAACTGTTGAAAACATTTTTGGTTTCAATTTTAATAACAAAGTATCTGTAAAGACCAACACTAAAATATAAGAAATATCTCTTAGTACAAAATGTCTATAAATGCTGACCACACAATAAATCCTATATGATGTATCCACTAGATGTGAGATTCCAGTGCAAAGTTATTTCTTACTGACAGGTAGTCTTTACCAATGCAATCTGTAAACGCAAAAAAATGATATCTGTGTTCACTGTCACATGATGAAAAATATTAGGGTCGGTAGATAGGGATTTTTTTTTTATTGTACTTTTTATGTTACCTTGAGTATTGGGAATATAAAAATAAGAAGATGTGGTATAATTGCCAATAAAACAACTCTCCACCAGAGACCAAATGATCTAGAAGCTAACAACTATAGGTCACTTTACAGCCTTCAATAATGAGCAAAAACCATACTGCACAGTAAGCTATAAAAAGCCCCTATATGACAAATGTGAAACAATTCAAACGAGAAAACTAACCAAGCCATTGTGACTTAGTGCTTAATGGAAAATGATGATGAAAAAAGGGTAGGTTGTGTGACAGTAAACACACATACTTTTTATATGGGCTAAGCCTAAATCCACTTGAGTTAATAAAATACATCCATTAAGCACTGTGCATGTGTACAGATAAGGGCTATTCCAGAAAAATAATGTAGGTGGGGAGAGGGGGGTTGAAAGGCAGTTTGTTTCAGCACCTGCACCCAGACAATTGTAACTAAGAACCGTAGTGCATTATAATGTGAAAAGTTGCTCCATCACCCATATATTATTAATAAAAAGTGCCTTCCAACCCTCTTTTTTCTGGAATAGCCCTAAGCAAACCAAGAGATATAGGTCCTGAAAACGCTATGGTAAGTTATACTTTTGGTAACACACTCTTACCACTTTAATCAAAGAAAGATATAAGGTGATTCAGAAAGGTAAGCATATCCTGCCTCAGAAAGGTAAGCATATCCTGCTTCAGAAAGGTAAGCATAACTTGCTTCAGAAAGGTAAGCATATCCTGCTGCAAATGCAAAATACTGAAGATTTCCATTTCCCTTGGAACTGTGAATTAATCATTATTCCTGGGATACTGATTTTTGCAGGTAAAGGAGAACCTTAAATTTAAATGTTCAACAAAATACAAATTTTCTATAGTTTTGTATGCAGACTTTTGAAAAATCATCCACGAAAATACAATTTTTCCCCCGAGTCCATGAAAATTGATACCAACTAAACTAAATGAATCCACAGTTATTATTTTCAAGGATAGAGAAATCTTGTACTTAGGTGGATACTAGATTTCAGGATTTCATGCATATAAGGGTATAGGAGATTTGAATTTTTTGTTGAAATCTTAAATTCAAGATTCACGTATATAACTATGAAATCAACAAAAAATTTGTACCCCATAAATAATAATGGATCCACAATATCTGAATAAAAAAAAAAGAATCATCAACAAATATATTCCTCTCATACTTTAAAATCAACTTTAAATACAAATCACATATGTATGGCAAAATATATTTACAAATCTACAATTGTTTTACACAAATTTACATTTTCACTTATAATATGGGACTATATATAATTGAATATCAATTATGTTCTACGAAAATAAGCAAATATAGATCCATGTGCCAGTATGATTTATTAATACACCTACAGAACCCTTGTATACTAATTTTAGTCACATCTCATAACATTTAATAATATATGGAAATTATTCCACAAATATTGGTGAATTTTGTCCCTTGTTCAATTTTACATTGCACAAGAAGTAATTTGAAATGTTCTAAGAGGGAAATATTCACAAACATTTATGTAATACTCTTTCCTTGCAGGTCATAAACTTTTGCAATATCACTAACACTATGTCACCATTTTCAAGCATTATTGCACAAGTGCAATGTCATAGAATATTGCATGATATCTTTTGATAATGTTCATACAATGATCTCAGGGAAATAACATGCATTTTGTATAGTACTATTATATTGTACGACCCTGAGAGTGCAGTAAATATTCTAAGAGGTGCAATTTTCAACAATGACAATTTTTTTTACTGCATGCGAAAACTTTCACATAATAAGAACTTAATGCTTATCTAATGACATTATTGTGTTGTCCAATGAGTTCACCGGTTACTGGAAATATTGCATACAAACTTTTGATAGTGTTCTAAAGATAGTCTTGCCTTGCTGTGCGATAAATATTATATGTGTTTTCAAATTTAAATCTAGTACATCATATAGTTGCCACTACCAAATAAATAATGTCTAATAATAATTACACATGTATTGTTTATTCAATTTAACTTAAATAAATAATGATTCTATACACATATTATGCCATTTTGGCAGGAGTGTTAAAAGAAGTAGTCATCCACAATAAGTTACAATGCAAAAAAAAAAAAAACTCATCAAAGAGACCAGGCTTAAAATTTTGTACTCCAGTCACATGCTTCGTCTACAAAAGACTCATCAGTGACACTGGAATCAAAACAGTTCAAAGGTCAAATAAGGTAGAATTTATTATTTGAATATTATTAATAGACATTCTAGCAAAAGTGCAAAAAAATCACACAATTGAATGTAGATTTTTTCATATCTTAAATTCAAGAATAAGAGGATTTTTTCAAACAGATTTGATTATTAAGTTACAAGCTAGCCTTTGAAAAAACAAACAAAAACAAATATGTCTTTTTGGCTTTTTTGTCATTGAATTGCTGCCAAATTGAAATATACACCAAATCTCCTTCATTGATAAACAAATGAGTAAATATTATCATAGTTAACTTTGTTTGACTAAAAAAGGTTAAAAAAAAACAAAATATGCGAAACAAACTCCTGCTGATTTTCGGTCTGGATTTCTCTTCTGAGTGAATGAAGATTTTTTAATTGTCAGTCAGTGATTAAAATGAAGAAAAAAATATTGTGAAAATAAAATAAAAAATATGGTATCAATGTTTTCTAAGTCAGTTTGGCATACACAGGTGGTGAGAATTTCTTTCGAATAAATTTAAGAATGTATAATGGTATACAGCTCACAGAAGTTATCACTAGCACTTTCCAAATAAAATCCCACGACTTCAAGAAATGTGAATCTGAAAAAGAAATAAAATAATTTATAGTCAGACTACTAATCTGAAATCTTTAGTTTGTCACAGGATTAACCTGTTGCTTTTCATAGTAAAAACAAGTAAATAATTTGTTTTCCTACACAAGAAAAACAATTTTGATAATAAAACAAGAGTGCACACGCTGAAATGTCTCGCCTACTATACTGACCATTGATTTTATGTTGATAGTCCTACATATAAAGTTTTACTGCAAGTATCACATTAACATTTATGATCCATAAAAATGAGGTCAAGGTCAAATAAACCAAGCTGGAAATACATGTACACCTTTAATACAATCCCTCCATACACAGAATATAGATGACCTATTGCTTATAGTATAAAAGAAACAGACCAAAGCATGGAAATTCTATACTGACCAATGAACCATGAAAATGAAGTCAAGGTCATTTGAACCCTGCCAGACAGACATGTACACCTTAAAATCATTCCATGCATCAACTATAGTTGACCTATTGCTTAAGGTATCTAAGAAAAAAAGTTAACCAGGAAAACTGAACATTGACCAATCAACCATGTAAATGAGGTGAAGGTCAGATGATACCTGCCAGACAGACATATACACCTTATAGTCATTCCATACACCAAATATAGTTCACCTATTGCTTAAAGGTTAAGAAAAAACAGACCAAAACACAAAAACTTAACATAAGCAATGAACCATAAAAATGAGGCCAAGGTCAAATAAAACCTGCCAGACTGACATGTACATCATTAAATATTTCCATACACCAAATATAGTTGACCTACTGCATACAGTATTAGAAAAACAGACCAAAACACAACAACTAAACATTTAGCAATGAACCCTGAAAATGAGGTCAAAGTCAAATAAAACATGCCAGACTGACATGTACATCGTAAAATATTTCAATACACCAAATATAGTTGACCTACTGCATACAGTATAAGAAAAACAGACCAAAACACAAAACTTAATATTGAGCAATGAACTGTGAAAATGAGGTCAAGGTCACATAAAACCTGCCAGACTGACATGAACATCCTAAAATATTTCCATACACAAAATACAGTTGACCTGCATACAGTATTAGAAAAACAGACCAAAACACAAAAACTAAACTATGACCACTGAACCATGAAAATGAAGTCAAGGTCAGATGACACCTGCCAGTTGGACATGTACATCTTACAATCATTACATACACCAAATATAGTAGACCTATTGCTTATAGTATCTCAGATATGGACTTGACCACGAAAACTTAACCTTGTTCACTGATCCATGAAATGAGGTCGAGGTCAAGTGAAAACTGTCTGACAGGCATGAGGACCTTGCAAGGTACGCACATACCAAATATAGTTATCCCATTACTCATAAAAAGAGAGAAATTAACATTACAAAAAATCTTAACTTTTTTTTCAAGTAGTCACTAAAACCATGAAAATGAGGTCAAGGACAATGGACATATGACAGACGGAAACTTCATAGCATAAGGCATCTATATACAAAGTATGAAGCATCCAGGTCTTCTGCCTTCTGAAATATTAAGCTTTTAAGCTGTTGACAAAAGTCGCAGGCTCGACAAAAACTAAATCATTAATATAGAGTTTATTGTGAACGATCTTCGACTTGTTTTTATACTATTTCACACTAGACTTTATTGAGCCTTCTTTAAGGGTCTTCTGGTTATTTTGACCATTTTGTAAAAATGCTTCTGTATATATCAGAATTCATTGTGGTTGTTACCAGAGAATGAACTACGAAATCTCAACTATCCCAGCCTATGGGTTGGTGTCAAATACTTTATTGGTTTATAAAAATGTAAGTGAAATTCTGAAATTGCTTCTACTGGTTGTGTTGGCCATCTTAAGAAAAAGCTTCAGTACACATCAGAATACCTTGGGTCTGCTCAATTAAAACATAAACAAGACCCAGGGAATGCACTTCGAAATCTCAACTATGGATGGGTTTCAAATACTACATGGTTGTATGTAAATGTACACGATTTTATAAAATTGTCTCTTTAGGTGGTTACCCTATTTTCAAAATGCCATCCCTAGATACCATGTACGTTTAAATGGAACGTCCCTCTGCAAACTTAATAAACAACCTTTATACCTTTATGGGAAATGTTTATAATCCATCTCTGTTTATCATATTGTTACAGTTATATGCCTTACAATATTGCCATAATTTTAAAATGTGTTAAGTTTCTGTTTTTATCGTCATTTATTTGCTTTCATTTTGTCATTTTCATCTTCAAGATAGCTTTTCCATTTTACTTAGATGTATAAAAATGATGTAACTCAATCACACAGAAATCTTTTTTGAAAGGTAATTTTATAGTATACATAACCCGTGGCGGATCCATGATTATTGAAAGAGGGGTGTAATTCCATAAAACTGAAGAAAAACTGTAGGCGAAATTTTTTTTGGACAATTTCATGGTAAATAAATGGAGAATGTGTCTATGGGCCACAGATGCCCCCGCTTGTAAAAACGGATGAGTCAACTTCCACATACAGATGCAGGATTCACGTAGTTAAGACTTTGTGATTATAAGCATAAGTTTCATAACATTTGGTTGAGGCAAACTAAAGTTAGAGAATGGAAACGACAGATTTAGCAATTTTTCCATTTATAGAGGGGCATAACATTAACTCATGAACGGTAAAAGTGACGCCACCCAATTTTGAACTTGATCAGTGTTTTGTGGTAATAAGCATTGTGTTTAAGTTTCATAACATTTGGTTGAGGCAAACTAAAGTAAGAGAACGGAAACAACAGATATAGCAGTTTTTCCATTTATAAAGGGGCATAACTCATGAACGGTAAAAGTGACACCACCCAATTTCGAACTTGATCTGTGTTTTGTGAAAATAAGCATTGTGTATAAGTTTCATAACATTTGTTTGAGGCAAACTAAAGTAAGAAAACTGAAACGACAGATTTAGCAATTTTGCATTTATAAAGGAGCATAACTCATGAACGGTAAAAGTGGCAACACCCAATTTCGAACTTGATCTGTGTTTTGTGGTAATATGCATTGTGTATAAGTTTTATAATATTTGGTTGAGACAAACTAAAGTTAGAGAACGAAAACCAATTTTGGGAACATTCGGGGACAGACAGGACAGACAGGACGAACGGACATGGGTAATACTTAATGCCCCCTCCGCTATGGCATAAATATGATATATTTCCAAATCAAAGGAGGAGAGTACACCCTTTACACCCCACCCTGAATCTGCCACTGATAACAATAAAATTACTATATTTACAAAAGAATAAACTTACCAAAGTATGTAAGCACTGCCAATGATGCTACATATATACATAAACTAAATATTTCTGCTAGTAACATCAGATAGTGCCAAGTTCTTATTGTAAGACTGACCATTAACAACTCCGTCAGGATAAGGGAGGTAAATGTTATGGACACAACATGCACAAAATCGTCTTCAAACAACCACAACGCTCCATAAATGATTATTCCACCTTCAATGAAAAAAATCGTCATTTTAATTATGTATAATATTCTTTACTTTTAATTATAAATATAATTTAAATATATAGTTTTGACACTATGCCGAATTAATGTTATAAAATGATATTTACAATATTTTCGATTGGTCACATAAATGTATGTATCAGTCAGCATGTGTAGTGTTAACTTCCAAGCATGCATGTAAGTCTGTTTGAATAAAATAAATCTATGTAATTGCTTGAATCACTTTTCTAAATCCAACTCTAGCTATCTCTGAGGTATGGTTACATTCATTCAGTAATTTTTTGGATTACGAACTGTTTAAGGCAATTAATCATTTCCTCATGTTTCCCAGAATTCAATGTAATACTGTCTACAGTAATCCATACCACAAAAACTTTTGGAATTTTCGGTACTCAATGCCACTACAAACCAGTAAAAGTCTGAAATGGCCTATATCTGTACTCGACTGTACTGATTTTTACTCGACCAGTCTGAATTGGTCTGAATTTTACTCGACATTACTCGACCCCAGTCTTAACCATACTCGACCGTACTGATTTGTACTTTACCCTTATCTTTGCCATTGAAAATAGTCTGAACTATTACTCGACCAGTCTGAAACAGTCTTAACCCATTCTCGACCTGTACTCGACCAATTTTTTCAGTCTAAACCATACTCGAACAAAGGTCTGAACAATACTCGACCAGTCTAAACCATACTTGACCAAAAAACCTATACTTTTTTTTATTTAGCTGTTAAAATTAATTTCTTTTTTTTCTGACATGACAACAGCCACAATAAAATAAACATATATATAAAAACATATTTTTACATCCTTACATGATTCTCAGATTTATCAAATAGAGATAGTTAAATTAAATTATCTTATATAATAATTTAATTATATTAATTTTAAAGTTTTAGAGTTTTGTTAAAAAAAAGATTTTCTTTTAACTAAAAACCACCCCTTTACTGAGGGTAATAAAACCTTATTAAGGTGCTTCTTGTTTGGCATGTGTTTTTTTTTTTTTTTAAACTTAATTTTCCTAAATTCCTTAAGAAAAACTATTTAGGTTTCATGGTTACATACAATAGTTATATAATTATCTTTTTAATGAGGTAACAACAGACAAAAAATCACTGAAATTGTTTAACCTTATATTAGAAATATATCTATTCTTATTATAATTTGGGATATATTATATATAATATATACCAAAAAGGGATAAAAAAATTAAAGAAATAGATAAAATTTTTCTTCTGATTAGTGGTAAAGTATAAAGTAATACCTCATGCTTGGGGCAAACTCATTAAAAAGATCACACCTGGTCAGAGAGTATTAATTTCTAATTAACATTCATTAAAAAATGAAACATCCTGTGAATCTTAAATCGCAAGGCCTTTTGAATTCACTAGATAAGTAATACACGAGTTTAAGAAAAAAAGGGCTTTCTTTTTACCTGTAAAACACACATGTACTGAGGTAAATAAACCTTATTAAAGTGCTTCTTGTATGCCATGTCTTTAATTTTGACAAAAGTTATTCAAATTTAATTGAAATAATTTTTTTCTGCAACTTTGGAACACATTTCCTTTTTTAAATGGTTATCAAGGATTGCTATGGAAGTTCTATTATCATGATTATATTAAATTCTTGGTTTTACAAAACAAAAGTGTGATTTTTAAAATTTAATAAGTTGCTTTATATACTATTTTAAATATATTTTAAGAAAAAAAATGTTAACTGCATTATTAACTAAACTCAACTGACACCATAAATCTATACGAGGCTTAAGTTAATGATGAAAATTGTCCTGTAACCATAAAATATATCTGAAACATTAAAAAAAAATTGAATAACATTGAAAACATTAGTCACAATTCAGTTTTGAGATTATTTGATCAGCTTGTTTTATTTTTATTTTAAAGGTGATATATATATGTAAGTGAGGATAAATATGGTGTTGAATTTATACTATGTTTATTGAGAAATTTTGGTTTCAATGCCATATTGAATACATTTTAAATTTCAAATTGTTGTTCAAATTTCTAGCCAGGGGAAATAGCTGTTAAAAACAGTTCCTTATAAATTGTTGAAATACAATAGATAGATACAAAAATTAGGTCTAGGTTGGTTAAGACTTAGTCGAGTATGGTTCAGACTAGGTCGAGCATGGTTCAGACTAGGTCGAGCATGGTTCAGACGAAAATAAAATGGTTAAGTACTGGTCGAGTACAAGTTCAGACTGTTAAGTGTGGTTCAGACTACAGTCGAGTATTATCAAGTAAATTTCAGACCAATTCAGACTGGTCGAGTAAAAATCAGTACAGTCGAGTACAAATATAGGCCATTTCAGACTTTTACTGGTTTGTAGTGTGCTCCTCAACTACGTTCTTTATTTGGCCTTTTTAACTTTTTTGATTTGAGCCTCACTGATGAGTCTTTTGTAGACAAAATGTGTGTCTGGCATACACAATTAAAAAAGCCTGGTATCTTTGATGAGCTTTTTTTCTTTGTTTTAAATGTCAAAATACCTCAAAACTTGCAGAAAGAAATTGTGACACCTATTGTTTTCTTTAAAAAATAAAAAGTATTGGAACAGAAATAATGGTGTTTGTTCCCTTGTGTATTTGACGTTTTTTTTCTGTCCTACTTGCTGTAAATTCAGAAATTATTGCGTGCATTTATTATTGCGATTTTTGAAGAATGGACAAAAAGTTGAGATTAATTATTGCAATTTCAGGAAAATCTGCATACAGATTTATGTATTAGATATCAGTATTTGAGTTATTATTTTTGCGATTTTCACTCAGTCGCATTAATCGCATCAACTTTCTGAATTTACAGTAACATTTTCTCTGCCAGTACCCATTTCTGATTCGAAAGAATCATCGCTTTAATATCCAGTATGAATGATGGTGTTATTAAACCAATCACAAAGCTTAAGAGTGTGCTTTTGAAATTATTACCCAGAATGCATTAGGTTCCAAAACATTCAATTGGAATTTGAAATTTTTTTACTTACCTTGATAGACACTAATTAGCACCCACATGAAAAATGTTTTGAATGACAGGGATCTTCCCTACAACAGATTAAGAATTATTTCAATAGAAAAAAATATGTTAGATATATGTCGATGAGTCAGCATCCTTTGACACTATAAATGTCTGAAAATAAGTACATTTGTCCCATAGTATTGAATCTCAACAATTCAATTGGTAAAGCGGGAATTCATATCAAAGTTTATACTCTGTGAAGGACTACATGACAGAGCTAGAAAAAATGCAATGACGTGCAGTGAGGAGAGTTTTTTTGCTCCGTGTTGAAGGCCTCACTGTGACTTTGAGATGAAGAACAGCAATAAAAGCACTGTTCCTTTGTTTTTTTGTGTGTTTTTTGCTGTGCATTTACTGATTTTGTGTCATGGATGGATACCCCATATCCTTTGTTTTTTTTTCTCTCTTACAAAAACCATTATAATATATTTTTACCTAATTCTTCATCAATAATTTGGAAGTTTTCTTACGTGTTATTAAAATAAGGTTGAATGCTTTGCTAACCTTGAATAAGTTAAACTGTGACCTGTTGATATTAACTTTCACAAATTTTGGTCTTTTGTGAATACTTGTCTTATTGGCAACCATACCACAGATTCATGAGGATTTATTTAATACAAAATATTTTGAAATGGAAACTACTTTTAGTGTGATGAAACATTTTTAAATCTTCAACTATATTTTCTTAACAAGACATATAATCTGATTACCTTTGTCAATTCCTTATACAATTCTGGATAAGTCATAGCAATTTCTGCTTTTACATCTTTATCAAGCACCAATGAAAATACAGGATACATGGTATAGACAGTAGAAAATCTAAAAACCAATGAAAATAGAGGATACATTGTATAAGCAGTCATTTATAAAACAAATGAAAATCAAAGTCAAAGGCATATCTATATTTCTTTGTAATTTTGGATTTGAGCAAATAAAAAAAATATTAAAACAGTAAAACAGTCATTCATGCTATAGAATACAAATCAACTGTAACAAAATCATATTTGTTAAATATCAAAATATCAAATTTTGCATTATTTCTTTGATTTGATGCATATATCTCATTTACTGTGAATTCATTAATACTCGTGGACTTCATGAGTATCGGTAAACCACGAATTTTAATGTTCAATGAAGTTCAAATTTTTTATAGGCTTGTATGGAGAATTTGACAAAACCACAAAATCAAATATCCATGAAAACATATTTTTCATCAATCCACAAACATTGGTATCCACAAAAATTAACGAATCCACAGTATTCTGAATTCCAAACAATTTGTATCTTGTTACTAAGCTATAGTGTTGTCAGTCTGAATGACAAATATCATGACAAGAAAGTTTAAAAAAAAACCATTGGTTCAGTCATTCTTGAATCAAATTAAATCTTCTGAAACTGGAAGTAATTATGCTCTTTAATATAATACTCACCCAACCATTAGGAAACCAGGAAACAGGGCTACAGAAGCAAAATAAAATACAGCACAAAATACAGCCTGCATGGTAGATATGATCAGTCCTCTGTGTATCACAAACTGACTTAATGCTGCAGATCTTTTGTAACTAAAATATATACGGTAGATCACAAATTTAAAATACAATCAGATAAGAGAGATATGGCCAATCATAAGAAAAAGAGAGGTTATAAGTTGAGGTAAAAATAGATAATTACAGTAGAACTTTATTTAGTCGCAGTCCAATGGACCGTACGAAAGTATTCTATTTATCCAAAGTTCGACTCATCTGAGGTCAAGAGTGCATGAAATATGGTATGAGATTTGTGCAAACTAGATATTTTGAACAGTGTATCTTTTTCCAATATGACAATTTATGATTGTGTATTCAAGCTCCATATTTGTTTGGTCCAACATTACAATGTGTATTTACAGATACTAAACATTCACAAATAAAATAAAGACACAAAACGTTTACAAAAGATCAGTCACTTTAAATGATGTAATCGTTAGTAGAACAAAACAGAGTTTGACGCAATAAGGTTTGACTGTATCTAAAGACACTTATTGAAGTAGTGGATAAAACCATCAACTTTATTATGTGGTTTGTGGTAAGTGCTGGCCTGTAACTCATTCATGTAAGTTAGATAGCTCAATTTTGCAGTATTACAAATAAATTCATTGTATTAGTTTTGGTCAGTGTTGATCTTTAGAGCTCAATTTATTAACAAACAATAAACTGTTAACACAGAGATATGTCTCGCCTATTTGTTATTTTGATATGCAAATGTTGAAATTAAAATAGCAATACTTTAACATGTAAGTTATGCAAATATTCAAAGTCAATGAATCATGACTGAAGGTACAGGGCTAAACAATCTCCATGGAAATGAGATGTGCCAATGCTAATTCAACTGCATACCAAATACCATTGATTTTTCATAAGTCGTTCCCTTTAAACAAACCTAAACACAAACATTAACTTGTAAACTATGTAAAAATTTCAGTCAATGAACCATGATGAGGGTGTGGGGCTATATAATCTCCATGGAAATGAAACTTGCAAATGCCAATAAATTTGCATACCAAATATCATTGACTTAACATTAGTGGTTCATCGTAAACTACCTAATCACAAACTTATACAAGGAAAACTAAGCAAAAGTTTCAAAGTCAATAGACCATGACTGAGGGGGGCAGGGCCAAATATTCTCCATGGAAATGAGATGTGCTAATGCTTATACAACTGCATACGAATTATCATTGACCTACCACTAACAGTTCCCATTAAACTGACCTAATCCCAAACTTGTACATGAAAACAAAGCAAAAGTTTCAAAGTCAATAGACCATGACTGAGGGGGCGGGGCCAAATAATCTCTATGGAAATGAGATATGCCAATGCTTATACAACTGCATACCAAATATCATTGACCTACCACTAGTGGTTCCCCATAAACTGACCTAATCACAAACTAATACATGTAAACTAAGCAAAGTTTCAAAGTCAATAGACCTTGACTGAGGGGGCGGGGCCAAACAATCTCCATGGTAAAGAGATTACTAGTGGTTCACCATAAACTAGACCTTATCACAAACTAATACGTTGTTGATGCCGCCGCCGCCGCTGGAAACAGCATACCTATGTCTCGCTTTTTGACTCTGTTAAGGCGAGACAAAAATCAAATTTTAATTTCTGCAAAACTTTATATAACTGACAAGAAAAGTCAACAAGACATTTAGTCACCAAAAAAAGGGCCCATTTTGTTTTATAAGTCTGTTGTATTTACATTGATAGTGGTTATAATGCTTTAATTACTAATTGGAGCCCACATATTCAAGATATTTATTACCTTAAAAATACAAGACCTATCATTACAAATATTCCTTAATAATGCTTTTATGATAGCTTGCTATGCTTCAGTTGTAATGATCTTAAAGTAAACTAACCTATTTCTACCATGAACCAATAACAATCTTCCAATAAAACTAAACTGGGTAATGGAAAAATCAGCTGCTAAGGAGGCTTGTTTACCTTCCTATAAAAGATAATGAGAATTATTAAGTATTTCTTATGAAATATTCCAGTCAGTATCTAAAATGAATAATATCTATATACTATCAATTCAAATTTTTTTTGTGATGTTTTTATTGATGCAATAAAATGCTCCGCTGGGCACAGCTTGATACAACTGCAGAGGTCGAACCCTGAACAGTTGGGCAAGTATGGACACAACATTCAAGCTTGATACAGCATTGAATTTGGATTGTGATTAAATATTTGACACAGCATAGGTTTCTGACACAGAATGAATGTGGTCTAAGAACTTAAGATCCATACACTTACACAAAAGTTATGAAACTAGAAAAATGCTTGTTTTTTGCCCCTTTTTTGGCCACTAATTCCTAAAATGTTGAGGCAATTACCCCCAAATCAATCCCAGCATTCCCTTTGTGATATGGAACTTTGTGGTACAATGTCAGAGAGATCCATACACTAACACACAAGTTATGTCTGGAAGTTACAAAAATGCTTATTTTTGGCCCCTAATTCCTTAACTGTTGGTACCATAACCCCCAAAATCAATCCCAACCTTCCTTTTGTGGTATTGAACCTTATGGTAAAATTTCATAGAGATCCATTCACTTAAACTAAAGTTAGAGTGCGAAAACCAATGTGTCTTCGGACGACGACGATGCCAACGCCAATGTCACACCAATATACGACTGCAAAATTTTTTTGCGGCTGTATAAAAAATGTGACAGGGTAAAAATCCACTTATTACAACTCAGTTTATTTCTGAAAGCATTGGAACAATTTACAAATTTGGTGGGTCTGAATCACTTTTCTTGACTTACCTTCATTAGGGATGCTCAAAACAAAAGTTTTAAAGCTGTAGATTTATAAATACTTGCAGAGCTACATGACCAAAAAGGACCTAAATAGAATAGCCAAACACCAAGGCCAAAGGACAAGGTACACCTTTTACCAAAAGATAGTCTTGAATTTGAACTTTATCATAGAATGTCAATTAAGGCCACACTTAGTTTCTCAAATGGGTCTCTTTCGAAAAACAGTAAAACTAAAAAAAAATCTCTTTATAAGAGTCTGAAGATCAGAAGAGGCAGCCAAAGCTATCAATGCAATAAAACTGTTATAAATTATGAAAAAACAGACAAAAACTGACGTTACAACATAAATAACTTAAAATCTAAGTGTCAACTTATCAACTTATAACGTGATACGCCTAAAAGAAATTATTACAACTATTTCTATGAAAAATTTGAAGTGTTTGGTCAAATTAAAAAAGACATCAATATTTTAGGGTCAATTTTAACCTTTTATGAACCTTCTCCTTTGCTTGAAGGAGTCAGAACCTTAAATTCTTAATAATTTCAAGAATCATAATCAAAAATTCTTTAAACTGTATATTAAAAATCATGTAAGTGACAAAACACTGACTACTGGTCTCAAGATCTATTTTTAACTCAAATGCAAAAGAAACAGAAAAATTCAGAGTTCCAGATTCTAATGCATTCTGGTTAATATTTTTTAAAGCGTAAACAAAAATGTTGTCATTTGCTAACAACCTCCTTAAATGGAAATTCAACCTAAGATGTGACAGTATTTTCATTATGGGGTACAAACAATTATATTACCTATGATCCTTTAGAGTATAAAAAGGGAAGTTTTCAATGTCTGGTCCATGAATTAAAAAAATTGAAATCCACTGGACAGAAAATCTAAATTGATCCCTCACAGTAAGTAGCCTTACTACCAAGTGAGTATGTCAGTATTTCATATTAAGTTATTTGCAAATATACATGTATGAAAAGTTTCATACAAAATATATATGTATGACTTACCTTTCCAACAATTCCAATACCAGCATTTGCAGCTTGGATCATACTAACATCATTCCCTCCATCACCTAAATAAAAAATATAATCTGATATATTACACTTGACTCAGTTAAACATTGACTGACATTTTTATTCTATAAATTTGATGCTACTCTCCCAACTAATACTTTGGAGTAATGGCATATGTTAATTCCTATTCATGAAAAAAAACTATATACATTTATGTGTTTGTACTATTAATGGTCCGATGAGTTTATCATATGGAAACATCCAAATGACATAACCATTTTACTGTAAACATTTTGAACCACTTTAATCGAAACCACAGCTAATGGACACATATCAAGTTGCCAAAAAGCTATTTTACTTTGGGAAATGTAAGATTTTGAAAACATTTCAAAATGAGTGAAGAGTAATTGAATTCAGAAAGACATAGGCTTCCAAAGGTTTCTGAAATTGGAATCACTTAAGAAAGGTTTTTTCAGCAGTTAACCTCATGGAATCAACATCAAATTGCTGATGATTTTCTAATTTTAAAGGAACATCATGAAGGTTTAGTTTGGTTTGAAATCCTGTGTTGAATCGCTCTAATTTTCAATGGATACTATGGATTCATTTATTTTCATTGATAGAGGAAAAATTGTATTTACATGGATATTTGATTTTATGGTGTTGTCAAAGTTTGCATATTAGCCTATAGAAAATTTTTACTTCATTGAATATTTAAATTCATGGTTCACCTATACCAATAAAATCCATGGAAATTGGTTTCCCATGAATAAGAAATTCACAGTATTGTTGCTTAGGTGTTAAAAAAAATTTCATACTGAAGGAGATAGCAGTTGCTGAGATTGCAAACATTTTTGGCAATTTCTGGTTCCTCTTCATAATAAGATAAAAGAAAATAACACATCCTCATTTAATTCTCACCTATTGCACAAGTCCTTTTCCCTGTGTGATTTCGTAATAATTTGACTATATCAGCCTTCTGTGTTGGAGAACATCTACAAACAACGACACTGGGACATTGACAAGCTAACTCCACAAACTCGTGTTCATAATACTTTAAGCAAACCTGGAATTATATTAGGTCAATAATTAAAATATATATTTGCAGTAACATTTATAGCCTCCCCTGAAAAATGTTAATGAGGAGACAGTTACAAACATTCCCCTCCCTCAGCTGATGGAAGGAAAAGGAAATATCAAAATTGAAAAAAGGAAATCCTACATGCAGTCACTTACCTGAAGTGAGTTGCCTGTGATGACTAGAGCTGCATCCTGTTTACGTCGGAGAGCATTAAGTTCCAAATGAGCATCAGTTCTGCCAATAACAGTACCAAATGTATGAATGTCTTGTGTCCTAGATACCAGTTTAGAACTTTTAGCAATGCAGATGGCTGTTTCTAACTTATCACCAGTCAACATCCAGACCTGATATACAAACCAAAAAGAAAATATTCAATGAAATATGCTGATTCGGAAAATTACTTCACTGAAAGTAGGTAAATGCAAAGTTTGATCTTTTTTTGTTAGTGCCAATATTTAGAAAATTTATTGCCTTTATTTCTCAATAACTCTATTCTTAATTAGCTTACTGCACTGTTTGATATAAATAAAAAAAAGGAGATGTGAGTGTATAGGTCAATGAGACAGCAACCCAGAAACACAAAAATTAAATCACTTTTATGATCTTTCAATATAGACAAGTGTCTTTAGAAAGAATGTATACTAAAAATTATTTCAGAAAAAGATTTATAGTATAATATGGGAGCCTGCATTTCTGACTGGGGTCTATCTTGCTGCTTATTTTTTTTTCAATACTCTAGCAAGACAAAGCCATGCCTAGAATGATAGTGTATTACAAATTCATGACACAAAATGATGGGCACTTGATGAAATAAAAAGCTAAGGAGCAGTACTTCGTACAGCTGTTTTTCATTTCACACTAATAGTGATGCCTTCTACATGCCTCACCTTTATGCCTGCATTCCTCAGTAACTCTAATGTAGGTCTAACACCTTCCTGTAACTTGTCTTCTACTCCTGTTAGACATAGAAGCTCCATGTCACGCTCAAGACTCTCAATAACAGCCTGGACTTTTGTGTTTCTGTCCTGTGTGCTCATCTTAGCTTGGTGATATCGAATCTAAAAATAGACACAAGGCATAAATGTATTTCTGACAACATTTAATGTAACTATTTAGCTAGAAAGCATGACATCAAATCACCCAAAACTTGACAATAAATTTAAATTGTAATTTATAAATATCTATTTAATCAATACCCCCTTCCATTAAATTGATTAGTTCCTTTGAACAACTATATCCTTCCATGACAGTTTTGTTAATTTGAGGATAAATTCAAACTAATGGAATTTGAGAATTAAGTAAAGTAAGACTGCTCTTTTTCATACTACATAAGAAACCAACAATTGGATTAAAATTTCATATTCTGTCAACCTTTTTCTTTTTGATGGGTGGTCGGGGTATGGGTGTAGAGGTGATAGATTATTCAAACAATAACGTATTAAATCATTTAAAAATAAACATTTTTTAACTGTTTCATCTTCTCTTTCATTAAATCCCACACTTGTTGGTAAGATGGTAAGTGTTAGCTTTGTTCTTTTTTGCTGACTTTCCCACTCAATGCTTTACTTTTAACCTTGTCAGAGTATAACCATCATTTGTTATTAAAGGATGGAACAGGGAAGCCAATAATAAATTTAAAATTACTATTAACCAAATACCTCAAACTCCTGATACTGTTCTTCTGTCAAAACTTTTTTGGCAACTACCAATGTTCTCAGTCCTTCTCTAGCAAGATTTCCACACTAAAAGAAAAGTATAAAAATACACAAATCAAGAATACATGTGTTTCCAAGAGAATGACTGACAATAAACTGCTTCGCTGAGCGCAGCTAGATACGCCCGCAGAGGTCCAACCCTGAACAGTTGGGGCAAAAATGGACACAATATTCAAGCTTGATTCAGGTCTGAATTTGGATTGTAATTAAATATTTGACATATTATAGGTGTCTGAATAAATGTATTCAAAGAACTTGTAATTGGTTATATGAATTGAATTTATGTTCAATTAAAGATTTCTTGCTGTTGTGCAATACTTAGTAAATCTGTTGTCAGACTATAAACAAATAAAGTATAATTAATTCTCAATGTCATATTAGAAATTTATGAAAATAAAAAGGGAGCTTACATCAATAGATATAAACAATTCACCAAAGTTTCATGAGAATTGGTGACAGCATTTTTGAGTTATTGTCAGAAAACTGGAAAATCACCCCTTTTTAATGAATAAAACCCCATAACTCAGAAATGTAAAATGTAAAATTTATAAAATTCTAAATGGAGCTTACATCAATACATACAAACAATTCACCAAAGTTTCATAAGAATTGCTGAAAGCATTTGTGAGTTTTTGTCTGATAACTGGAAAGTCCCCCCTTTTTTTATGAATAAAACCCCGTAACTCGGAAACGTAAAATCTAAAATTTATAAAAATCAAAAGGGAGCTCATGTCAATAGATATAAACAATTCACCACAATTTCTTGCAAGTTGGTGAAAGCATTCTTGACTTATTGTCCAAAAACTGGAAAATCCCCCTTTTTTTAATGAATAAAACCCCATAACTCGGAAACGTAAAATCTAAATTTTATAAAAAACGAAAGGGAGCTCACGTCAATAGATATAAACAATTCACCAAAGTTTTATGCAAATTGGTTTAAGCAATTTTGAGTTAATGTCCGACATGTTGACGACGGACAGACGGACGGACAGACGGACGGACGGACAGACGGACAACGGTATACCATAATACGTCCCGTAAACGGGCGTATAAAAAATGATGGACACCTTACAACATGAATTTTATATATACAATCCACAATTATTTCTTTTTCTTTCTTTCTCTTTTCAATTGACTGTTAAGTTTTATTTATTGTGGGGTTTAAATTTTTTCATTTTAAAGGCCAATCCTATCTGTTAGGATTGATGTACAAAATTTGTTTTCCCTGTTTTACATCTCCCTTATAAAAGATCTAAATTGGAGAATGGGCTAAAAATAAACCACTAGTAAAAATTATCCACTTTACAGTATGACAAAAAAAATGCTTTATTAAAATGATGTTAATATTTGATTTCCTGTATTTGCAGAAAGATAAATTTCTGTTTTAATACCTAAAGACTAAGAATTATTTAACAGAAGTGATATGAACTGACTATTTTGATTCTGTGTCATCTGTATTGACCTGATACAACTAACCACATGTTTATGCCAGGGACATTACAGAAACAACCAATTATTAACCCTAGTTTCAAACCTCTTCTTTAAACATTATTCATACTGTAAATTATAGCTGTTCCTGTAATACTGCTGCCAGTTAGCTTTATCACTAAAATTATCTCCCTTCTAACTTACCTCTTCCTCTAACCAATCATTATACTGCACAATGGTTGTCATGACAACATCTGCTCCTTTCATCAGGAAAGTTATTTCCCCTGTATCTTCTTCCTATTTTATAAAGATAGTTGATTTCATTAAAATGCCAAAAGTTTTAAAACGGAATTCCACCAAATTACTGTGATTCACAGATTCTAAGAAAACCACAAAAGTTTAAATAAAAAATAAAACTGAATTTGAAGTTTGACCATCTTAATTTATCAGTAACTTGATTTCACACTCACAATACCTTAACAATTAATAAATTTAACAAAAATTTTCACGTAGACAACCTTGAAAATGATCAATTTAACAAAAATATTCACATAGACAACCTTGAAAATTTAACAAAAATATTCACATAGACAACCTTGAAAATTGAACAGCCTTGAAAATTTAACAAAAATATTCACCTTGACAATGATTCCCATCCTTTTTGTTTCAGATGTAAAGGGAAACACCTGTAAAATCTGGAATTTGACAATACTGCCTGATGGAGTTCGTAGCTGCATGCTGTTCAAGTCCCGTTTGACCAGCGTCAGGTCCACACTCTCTGTCCATTTCACCAAAGCAACCTTTAATATTATGGTTGAAAAGTTGATTAATGTAATAAGTTAAAAACATGTATTATATAATGGATAAAATTGAGAATGGAAATGGGGAATGTGTCAAAGAGACAACAACCCGACCATAGAACAGACAACAGCAGAAGGTCACCAACAGGTCTTCAATGCAGGGAGAAATTCCCACACCCAGAGGCGTCCTTCAGCTGGCCCCTAAACAAATATATATACTTTGCACAACAAGTTACATACCATAAATAAGAACTGGTTCATGTAAATAAAGGAAACATGAAATGCTTGTATGAAGAATTTGGTGTTGATGGCAGAGACTGGTACTCTCTCTTTAACTTAATCACTTATACAGATTTAGAGCTTGACACCTGCTAAAGACACATGGCTGTCTATTGTTGAAGATACTATTTTGACCTCCAGACGTCTTTTGTTTTTTTGGGGTTTTTTTTTGGATTGTTGTTATGCAATCCCATTATCTTTTGTTATTCATAAATGTGAAAAATTAATATTGCCATCACTGTTTAACACAAACATTATCTTCTAAATAATTAAATAATTGAAGTAAAACTGGCTGAACAATACTGATTTAAATAAGTTATCACTATCTAAAAAAGGTAACAATTTAATTTAAAAAAAAAGTGGCTGACAAAAATATGGTTAATGCTGTTATAGCACTACATACCTCATCAGGACTAGAGGCCTGGTACACCACAGTCTGTCTACTTTGTCTGTCAGCCTCTGTATCATCAGAGTTAACATCTTCATCATCCTCATAGACTGGTGTGACATTGTGGCACAGTGCAATAGCTCTGACAGCTTCATACACACGAGTTACTACCGTTCTTCTCACTGGACCTCGAGTTGGTGTCATTGATGGCCCAAGAAAAGGTTGTTGTGTCTGACCTGGATCCTCCTTCTGTCCAAACATAGAGTTCAGGTGTTGGGTAATCTGAAATTAAATCATAAGCTATTAAATTCTGAAAAAAATATATACTCTATGATAACCCCTCTACTCCATTATGTCCATATATAGGGGCCTCGGTGGCCAACTGGTATAAGTAGTCGAACTACTATATCACTAGCCAGTCAACACTGAGGTTGTGAGTTAGAATCCCGCACCTGCCAGGTGCGCTCGACTTCAATCTTAATTGACTAGGTTTGTCAGTTTTCCTACCGAAGGTCTCTGGTTCTCTCCTGGCACTCCGGCTTCCTCCTCCAATAAAAACTGACTGCCACAAAATAGCACAATAGTGTTGAAAGTGGCATTAAACACCAATCAATCAATCAATTATGTCCATATAAAGATATTTTGTCATAGTATTAACTGAAAGGATGATGGTCATGAATTTTAAAGAATTGGAGCTTATATAAGAGTACTAGAAGTAAGGAATTTAAAATCTTGAAGGTTTGGACCTAAATTAATGCAAGGAGGCCTCATTATTCCTAAACCTTCAAGGGAAAACACTGACTATTCCCAAAACAATCTTTCTTTGTTCCTCAGTGTAATTATATCACACATGCCTTAAATTTGCAATGAATATGCATAAAAACATGTCTTTGAAGTTTTATTCAACAACTATTGGTATTATTTCTTTTCTTGTATTAAGAGTTGTACATATAAAATAGTAAAGCTGCAGAAAAAAATCTCTTATTTTTTTTGCTTTTATGGAAACGATCTATATTATATTATTTGAATTTGTAAATGTTTGGTTTCTCTTTAAAGTAAAGACAGTTTACTGTATACATTGGAGTAGCAAGTAAAATGTTTTCTCCAGAACACTGAATTATTAGTTTGTTTTTTTCTATCAAATTCCGCATCTATTGTATCTTGGTTTAATACTATTACAGCAACTCACCTCATCAGCAGTTTCTGGTGTAAAAGATACAGTTCCCAAGTGTAACTTCTTAAATATCTGAAATCAAAATTAAAAAGATTGAGACAAAGGTATGGTGCCAAAAAACTGCTGCAACCCACCACTTTCCTTTGAAAAATCCTATACAAGGATGGGAAAAGGGAAAGTGATGGTTTAATTGTTCAATAGGATGATATTTAGTTGTTTTTTTTCAATATTTGTGAATGATTAGAGTTCTGAAGTTTAAAAACAGTGGGGTTTACTAAGCTTATTAATTCCACACACATTTTATTTAGATAGATGATTCAAAATAGCAAATAAAGTTGACACTGATTCCAGTTATTACAGCCACCTGCGAACATATGATTGAAACTAACAAATTTTCAACAATTTTCCAGACTACTGTAAACCTACTAATTTTTCACATTCCTGAGTAGAAAATTACTCAAATATGAATAGCTTCAATTTTGTCAAACAATGGGGCTTCTCTTATATGAACACATCAACAAAGCTAGGAAATAGTGAAAATAAATTGTCATATAGCAAGAAAAGGCTACAATTGAAAAAAGTCTTCACAAAATTAAGTTGGTTTACAGTATGTTTTAAGTTTGTATAGTATAGAAATTATGAATAAATGGTACACTCTTGTAATAGAAAATAAAGCAAATCAGATAAATTTTTCCTTGATAGTTAGCACTAATCATACTGAATAAATGAATATCTAGCCAGAAACTAGAACCATGTCCTTTTTTCATGAATTAAGATAACACTTCAATTGTTGATGCCAGTAAATGTTGAAAATTAGATTTAATATGTATTTACCATTTCATTCTGAGTCAGTGTCCCTGTTTTGTCCGATAATAAATAACTAATTCTACCGAGCTCCTCACAGATAGTAGTACTTCTAACTATAGTTTCGTTTATAATTTTATCTCTCATGATGAACCAGGAATAAGCAGCCTTTCCCATATCTAAATTGACTCTTAAACTGCAAAATGAAAATCATCAAATGTTAAAATACTGCAAAATGAGAAACTATATACCTAATCAGGGTTTTTTTTCTACCCCGAACTTCAATAATTATTTTTTTTAAATCACAACAAACCTGGGGTGATTACAGATTACTTATTTCATTTAGGATAATATTGATGATTTGAGAAAAAAATCAAATGAATTTCCACTTCTAACAGCTTCCATTACAAAACCAATAACATATTTTTTTTAATGAATGAAAAACAAATTTGGAATATTCATTGAAATTTGCTGCTTTTTTTCGTAAAAAATATAGAAATGTTGACAAAATGCTTATAAAAAAATTGAGAGTTCTGGAATAAATTACTTATAAATATGGTTGAAATATACCCTAATTTTGCTTTTCATATTAAAAACTTATCATTAACAACAACCTTACCTGATAGGTATAATATATGAAAACAACAGCACAAATCTAAATAAATATCTGTACCATGGGCCAGCAAAACCCTGAAATTAAATACATCATACTTTTTAAAATGATATGCAAAACAATTTATTGAATTTAAAAAATGCACAATATAAAAGAAAATGTTCTTTTGATTTTGACTGATTGATCAATGGCTTCTTAATATCCAGTTGCAAATATTACACGCATATTAATTGTGATAACATGCAATTGTTATAGGAATAAACCCTGCCTTGTAGTGGGCTGACAAGTAGAGAAATACTTTTAACATGCTACACGTAGCTTATAAAGTAGCAGTCCACAGGAATGCATGTCACCCTACCAGTATACATCATTCCAACTCTGAGCTGACAAGTATTTCTTAATACTCCTAAATCAATTTTCAAATTTGAGCCTTTTACTCACTTAAAATATTAATTTTAAATTCTAAAGATGGAACTGAAGAGCTCAAAGATATTGATGTTCCTAATTTTATATTTAAAATATCGTCATTTTTTTCTATTGGTAAATAATTCTTTGCTGGTGGCAATTAGGTGAATTTTAAATATACTCACATTTATTCATTTACTTTTATGGTTATCGTCATATCAAAGTTTGTCATTTTTTTTTATCAAATTGATGTATACCAAGTTCTCTCATCTTATTCAACATATATAGAATGGCATGTGTTTTGAAACTTGAAACAGAAATAATCGGAGTGACTCTGACAAACAAAACAAATATACTCTTCTGTCAAGATCATCCAAATTATATGGTTGATCAGGAACATCACAATCAATCTGACTTTATGTTATTATTGTCAATGTCTGATATCTAATAAATCATAGCATTAGGGCTATTCCATTCAAATGGACGTGGGAGCGTAGGACTTTCAAACTCAACCCACAACCAATCGTAACATACATTTTTTATTTATTAATTTTGCATACATCAAATGGACATATAATCATAAATGACCAACCAGAAGCCCAAAAATAGAATTTACCTTCCTTCCCTCCCCCATCCATTTAAATGGAGTAGTCCTGGTAGTGATACAGAGAATATCAGAGGTAAAATATTCAGTAACATGTGCAACAGCTGAAATAGGAAGCAATGACCCTTGCACAGCACCAGAATTCATCCCCCGTTTTTGGTGGGCCAGGTTAGTGCTTGTTTTCATTTTTCTTTGCTGGTTGTATTTTCCATATTTTGTTTTTTTTGTTGCCCTATAGATATATTCTTACTTTTTATACTGCTATTGTCTGATTTTTTTTATCAATTACAGAAGAAACGTGATACAAAGAAGATCAGTCAAAATGGTCAACATGATTTAAGGTAAAACATTCAATAAAATGATAATTCTTTTTATTGTTTACAAACCTTTAGTATCATCATCACAAAGGATAAAACTAAGACAGCAAAAAACAGAAATTTGGTTAAAGTGTTGACTTCTTTGTCTAACAAACCAACCTGCAAATACAAACAAAAAGTATGTATAAGATTGAAATCATGCATGTCTTTCTGTTGTTTATTTCTATGAGCAAATATTAAAATCCAAATTATTTCAATGTTACTACTTTTTAGTCATAGTAGGGCAATAATCACATTGTCACTTAAAAATGTTCTAAAAATGTACTCATCAGATTTTGACAATGTCATCAAGTTTCTAGCCACTTCATTTTTTTTAAATTTATTGTCAGTGCAATATCTAAAGCAATAATAGGGGCTGTTCTACTGTTTCCCAAATCCTTGTCAAATCTGGCAAATTTCAAATTTTCTTCCTGAAATTCTGCTGAGATGGACATTAAATTAGACTTTGCCACTTTTTTCAATGCGTTTTACTGAAATGGTCATCAAAAATGGATTAAGCAACTTTTAATAATATCACATGTTTCAAAAGAGTTGCTGACACAACATGTGGACAGACTTACAAATGAACAGAAAAACAAGCAAAAATACATATATAGGGAAACATAGAAACAATGAGTGCTATACATCCCTGCTTTTCTAAGTGAATGAATGATTTCCCAAAGAAAATTTAAATCAATTTTCTTACTTTACTTTGAGGTTGTGATGTATTCATGACACTCCTTGTCTCGGCACCAGTATAGATGACCACACCCAATGCTGTCCCTGAGGCTACAACTGTATTTGACCACAGTGTATTATCTACAGTCAATGAATCTTCATAAACTTCTCCATCAGTCTGCAAAACATAAGTTTGTAATAACTATTGAATATAATGCTAAAAAGGTTGAAAAAAACACTTCACAATTTTCTTTTAAAGCTAAAATCAGAATGAGAATATAACTATAGTTCTTCATAGAATACTTTCAGAAAACAGCCAAACTAGTCATACAGTTTTTGGTATCACATAAGTGCCTTACAATGAACGATACTTGATTACAGTGTGTGAAATTTTCTTTCTTAGAATCATACCATATATCTGATATTATCCATACAAACAGTTCAATGGTTTATTTATGCTAAGTTTAAATTTGATGATTTCTAGAACCAAACCTGAATGTGAGGTTTTATTTGTCATTTTTCTTATCACTGATTCTGATCTTCCTTAAAAATTCACAAATTTCCTCAATGGAATATTTTTATAAATTTATCCTTAGTGCAAAATCAGCAAATCAGAATTCTTGTGATAATTTCTAACATTACAGTAACTGGAAGATGACAGAATAACGTTGGACTAAATCAGCCTTTGTGTTGTAAATTCCATATGTTGCATTGCAAGATATAGTATCCATGTAATTTTTTTTTTTCTAATCCACAGTTGTCTCCCTTTTTAAAGTTTTTAATGTTGCTATGGTATTTTATACATGCAACTGTAACACACAGTTTTATTATTAATACTAGACAGAAAAAAACAAGGGTTGGTGTAATCTGTAAAGTTACTCATGTAATACATCCGTATCTGATTGTTATTTTATATATATCATAAAGAGCATAATGGTCTCTGGTGGAGAGTTGTCTCATTGGAATTCATACCACATCTTCTAACTTTATATCAGAAGCTATCAAATTGCCTTTACAGATTAATTCTAATTCATTTCAATTTATTAAAAGGCAATACTCAAGATCTTTGAAATGTTTATACAATGTAGCATTCAATATGTACAGATAGAATACCTTATCCGGATAAACATTACAAGATTTTTCAGCTTTTATTTTGAGGTGGGATTTATCTAATTAATTGTTTTTGGTATGCTATTTTTGTATCATTTGGTTAAAAAAAAAAGAAAAACTATACTTATGCTGTTGAAAACTTTGCTTCTAAATTTGGGATTTCTTATTAAAAATCTATAACTGTCAGATTTTTTAAGTAGACTAATTGTTAATTACAGCAGGTTACCTACCCTACGGAATGTACCAACAAAATTATGGATGTCCTTCTGTGGTGCTTCAGCGTACAACTGTGCTCTTATATCTAATATTTCCTGAAATTTCAAAAGAGTATTTAACCAAACTAACAGAAAGATAAAGTATACATGATTGAACAAATTAAAGATAGAAAAGCTTTTGTACAAGTTTGATTATTTGAAGCACTTCATTGTCAATAAGAGTATTACTAAGATCGTATTGTTGAAAGAATGGGTATCTTGGGAGCACAAATATATGATGTCCCCATTATTCAATCACAAAATCTATCAAAACTAATTCTGATCTTTATAACTGATGAATCTGTGTTGTTGGTTTGCTGTCGGTTTCCATATCAACATAAGCTCTTTCTGAAAAATTTTGTAAATTTGTTCATACATTTTGTAAAATGGAATCTTTTAAGAAAAAAAGACAAAGATGAATAAAATGCTATTAGCATCATTATATATTCAATAATTTTTTTTTTTCATTGACATACCACATTAGAGATAAGTCTCTGAGTATTCTGTATGGCTAATTTGAGTTTCCAGTCTGTCTCTCCATCTAACTGGTCTGTCCTTATAAAACATGCACCTTGTTTCTCTGTAGTTCTAACAAATATCATATCAGCTGGCACACGCTGGTCCTTTAGAATATAAATTTCGCAGATAAAAATTATAATTATGACATATACCTTCTGTAAAAGATAATATCTGTCATCTGCATCTGTCATCTGCATCAGACTACAAAGTTAAATCTGTTAATTAAGAAATTTGGGCAAAGTTTGTTACATTAAAAGATGAGTTCAGTAAAGAATATATATTTTGACATCTAATTATAATTCTTTCCCATTCTATTAAAGGACATTTTACAATATTGTACTAAAGATTTTAAAGGACAAACTCATTAGAATATACTGGTTGAACTATATCCTTTTATGCATATCTTTTATTATATAGTTTATTTTCTTTTTGAATATACCAATTTTTGAGTAGACAATTTGCCTTGTCCATCAAATTATGACTTTACAATTTACACATACGAAATATAACAAATTGACAGTCTTATGGAAACCATCAGTCTACAGTGCAGTTGTTTTGGGTTTAACCCCAACCTGGTTCAAATTAAAGACTTTAAACTTGATATTTGCTGTACCTCCACCAAAACAAGTGACATTTAGAAGAAAGAGCAAAGGACTGGTCATTCTAGAGTCAGAATAATGTCTTAGAAGGTTTGTATGTCTTGTAGACATTGCGAGCTAGCCATATAAAAAATTTGTGTGTATAGTTAAAATAAATATCACACAAATAATAAAAAAAGTCATTATCAAACATGAAATATTTGCCACTGAATGTTAACTTACAATCAATTAATCAATCACTAATAATATTCATTGCTTGCCTCTATTCATAAAATAAATAATTCCACAAATAACTGAATTTATGCTACAAAACTGTATTACCTTTTCGACCTGAATAAGATCCCCAACTTTGATATCTGAACTTGGAATGGTTATGAGTCCATCTCTCGTCAACTTTTTATATTTCTGTGAATTTGCTTCTTTATCTCTTCTGTATCTTCTGTAATCATCTAGAGCCTCCCTACACATTGTCACAAATATCACAAAGCCCTTAAAAAATAAATATTACAAGTGTAAGGTGTAAGAATATGTGATGATCACAAATATCACAAATCAGTCAAATATATGAAAGGTTTCTCTACTTGTGATTATACATTGTAAATATCACAAATTCCATAAATATTGTATATTTTATCGTGCAAGGCCTCTCTATATTTTGTTCCTCAAGCATGTACTATCAATTCCTGAAAATCAAAAACACATATGTTCATACCTAATAACAGACAGAGGTAAAACAGTATACCCCACTTTTTTAAAGCGGGGGTATAATAATAACTAGAGGCTCTAAAGAGCCTGTGTCGCTCACCTTGGTCTATGTGCATATTAAACAAAGGACACAGATGGATTCATGACAAAATTGTGTTTTGGTGATGGTGATGTGTTTGTAGATCTTACTTTACTGAACATTCTTGCTCCTTACTATTATCTCTATCTATAATGAACTTGGCCCGGTAGTTACAGTGGAAAATATTTTGTAAAAATTTACAAAAATTTACAAAATTTATGAAAATTGTAAAAAATTGACTATAAAGGGCAATAACTCCTTTAGGGGTCAATTGACAATTTTGGTCATGTTGACTTATTTGTAGATCTAACTTTGCTGTACATTATTGCTGTTTACAGTTTATCTCTATCTATAATAATATTCAAGATAATAACCAAAAGCTGCATAATATTTCTTAAAATTACCAATTCAGGGGCAGCAACCCAACAACGTGTTGCCTGATTGGTCTGAAAATTTCAGGGCAGATAGATCTTAACCTAATAAACAATTTTATCCTGCACTAAATGCTTTGGTTTCAAAGATATGAGCCAAAAACTGCATGTTACCCTATGTACTATTTTTTAGCCATGTCGGCCATCTTGGTTCACGGGCGGGGTCATCGGACACATTTTTTAAACTAGATACCCTAATGATGATTGTGGACAAGTTTGGTTAAATTTGTCTTAGTAGTTTCAGAGGAGAAGATTTTTGTAAAAGATTACAAAAATTTACGAAAAATGGTTAAAAATTGACTATAAAGGGCAATAACTCCTTAAGGGGTCAACTGACCATTTTGGTCAAGTTGACTTATTTGTAGATCTTACTTTGCTGAACATTATTGCTGTTTACAGTTTATCTCTATCTATAATAATATTCAAGATAATAACCAAAAACGGAAAAATTTCCTTAAAATTACCAATTCAGGGACAGCAACCCAACAACGGGTTGTCCGATTCATCTGAAAATTTCAGGGCAGATAGATCTTGACCTGATAAACAATTTTACCCTCTGTCAGATTTGCTCTAAATGCTTTGGTTTCAGAGATATAAGCCAAAATCTACATTTTATCCCTATGTTCTATTTTTAGTCATGGCGGCCATCTTGGTTGCTTGGCCGGGTCACCGGACACATTTTTTAAACTAGATACCCCAATGATGATTGTGGCCAAGTTTGGTTAATTTTGGCCCAGTAGTTTCAGAGGAGAAGATTTTTGTAAAAGTTAACGACGACGGACAACAGACACCAAGTGATGAGAAAAGCTCACTTGGCCCTTTGGGCCAGGTGAGCTAATAAATACTAACCAATTGAAGAGACTAAATATAGATTAGTTTTCCTTATTTTGATTTTGATGGACACTTTTTGATAATTTGGACCTTAATGTTTGCACAACACAAATTCTTTCCTTTTGCCTGGTATATGTACTGATACTTGAAAATCTAAATTGTCTATAGGTGTTTGAATTTACATAAATAGTATGCTGTTGCAAATTTGACTGAAAGTTATAGGCTAATAGCATATACAGAAGACCACATCAATACGATTTTGGAAACAATACTTGTCTTAACGTAATCTTAAACATACACAGAAGGCCACACTAATACTATTTTGAATACAATACTTGTCCCAAACATAAGCTTATAGCATATGCAGGTCACACCAATATGATTTTGAAAACAATACTCGTCTCAAAGTAAACTAAAAGCATACACAAAAGGCCACACAGATATGATTTTGAAATTAATAGTTGTTACAAAATAAGCTAAATGCATACACAGAAGGCACACATATACTTTTTTGAAAAAAATACTTGTTTCTAAATAAGCTTTAAACATACACAGAAGGTCACATCAATACAATTTTGAATTTTTTTTTTTGTCTGAAATGAAATTAAAAGCATATCCAGAAGAGTGCATTAATATGCTCATGATGAAAATTTCTCATTAAGAATGTTACCAAAAAAATGAGCTGGTGTGGCCTAGGACAGTTATGACTGATCTTACCAGTGGTCCCCAGTAGGTGTACAGATAACCAATCCTAATGGCAGGTATAAACTGTGATGTAGCCATAACCAGAAAGTACAAATTCAGGAAAAACTTGAACTGCTCAAATAAAACCTGAAAAAGATATAAAAAAGAATTTATAAAATCATATATTATATGTTTCCAGTGAATATATTTATATATATATAATTAAGTATTAAGAAAACTATAAACCAGTAAACTTAATAAGTATCCGATAACCTAGAAATTCATGCAAGTTTTAAGATTTGTGCACCAATACTGATAAAAGATATATATGAATATAAAGAATAGTAATTTAGTAGTGAAACTTTAAAAAACAAATATTTCTGAACAACAAATGGCCTGCTTCAATATTTTTTGAAATTTATTATGAAAAAAACTTGACACTGAAAAAAGCAAAAAATATTTTTTGCAAAATATGTAATACTGTAAATTCAGAAATTATTGCGTGCATTTATTATTGCGATTTTGTCATTTTAGACTAAAATGCGATTTTAATTTTTGCGATATTGAGAAAAATCCTGTTTAATTTATATAAAAAATTTCAAAATGCGAGTTTAAATTATTGCGATTATAACCATGTTGCATTTTTCGCAATAATAAAAACATCGCAATAATTTCTGAATTTACAGTACATGCAGATATGTTGATGTGATTTCAATATTTTTTTTGGTAAGACTGTTACTTAATTCAACTTAAGTTAAACCAAAAAAAAAAAAAAGTATAATATCAATTTCTAGTCAATCCTATGTAAATTTTGACTACTTTGTGATGTCAAAGTGGCAACACCAATGAGAATCTTGAAAACATTAAACATACTGCATCATCATACTCTTTCTTTATAAATTTGCATAATTTTTACAAAGAAGAACATTAACTATTTCTATTTCGAAAGGATTGAAGATTTAAATTATTTTTGGAAAATTCTATTTTTTTGTCCCTCTCTTTTGTACTTATGTAATTATTTGGTTGGTACCTTTGGAATAAAGGTGATTATGCTGTATTTCTGATTTCTGATGACATTCTTTGGAAATTTCTCATCTTTACTTGGTTCTAAACCAATTGGTACAATTCTGGATTTATAGGTCTTTTCTCTATTGCAAACTTTCAGGCAACATCTAAAGATAATAGTAACTAGTAATTAAAAATTTTACATTTTCCACAAAAAATATTGGTTTACACAATCATGTACTTGTATGTAATGTGTAGCTACTCAAAAAACATAAAAAACATTAACATATTAATCATTTTTTTTTGCATGCATATATTGACAGCCGAATACTACCAAGATTTATAAATTTTTGTAGGCATTGAATCTGTTCAGGATTTCCCCAAAAACTGATAGCATGATCACAGTAAAAAGTGTAATGTAATCCACTCTGAGACTTGACAATAATATTGGCAAAAAAACTTCTTTTTATTCAGAATGAAAAATCCATATCATGTGACATTTTTTATTCATCTTCGTTGTTTTTCACTTACGAGAATTAAGCAAATGCAATCATTTTAGAAGATTTCCACTTGAAAAAGTCGACTAAACTTTTGTCTTTTGTTCTCTCACCCTGGTGAAAACCCATAAGGTAATATTACCATTTAGTTGATATTCCAGGCAGATAAAGTTTTATTGATCCCAACAATGCATAGATTTCTGGTGTAATCATGTGACTTGTTTGTGAATCAAACTATTGTATATAAATGTGTGTGTTTGTGTGTGATACTGTTGTAAAAGTGTCATGAAATAGAAGTCCCTTCGTAATATAAGTTCTTTATGGATTAAATATTCTGTAATATTATTTCCTCTTTAACAAAAATTACAGTATTTGTTCCTAAAGGAATAAAGGATATAGAATATTTGTTCCAACAAGAACATATAGGATGACATTGCCCATAACAAAGTTTCCAGGGGAACTTCTGTCAGGCAGAACAAATATATGTTGACAAAAATACACTGTAAAGGAGTAGGGGAAATAAGGCCCTTATTTAGCCCAAATATTAGTGCAATTTGAAAAGTAACCATACATATTCTTACATTTGTCTAAACTACGCTAAGGTACAAGGTGGTCAGAAAATGAAAACAAAATTCACATATGAGTTACCATGGCAACAAGCTATGACAAAATGTGCATATTTTGTAAAATGTCTTGATTTTCCTTGTTTTATGTCAATTTTTAGGTATATATAATATTGAAAAAGTATAAGCGCACAGAGGAAACAACTTAAGTTTATATTTGGTTAGAATATGTCAATAGTTATAATATAGCTTCTCTTAAATTATCTTGCCTGCCCACAATGTTTCCATAAAGGAAATAATGACAGAAAACTGCTTCAACTTAGCAGTTTCTTTTTTTCCATGAAATTGGTACAATTTTTATTGTGACGTCATAAAATCAAAATTCTTATGTAATTTATTCATATTTTTTGAAATTATGCATTTCCAAACATTATGTGGAAATTTGAAATAGTTCTTAAAATCTTTATTTTCTTAGGCCAAAGCTGGGCTTTAATGCCCCTGTTCCTTTTTACCTTGCACAAACACCGCAGCAACCTTCAAAGAAAAAACTCAGCCTTGACTGATTGGGACGTCGATGTCGCTTTGGTCTGACAAGAGAATCGCTTTCATCATCCATGTCAAATGTTGTCTCTCCTATCATTAACGGAATATCATCTAATTCTCTCTCATCATCATCTGATGTCACTCTATAAAAGAAAGGAGATCTAATTAATGAGTGTCTGGATGGGGTTACTTCGTTTCTTTATTTTGTAACTATTTAGACCATTTTTCACTATTCTTTATTAATTTTGACTGTTATTATCTATTCCTTATATTTTAGAACTCCATTATTCTCTATTCTTTGTCATTTAGGCTCATTTTTCTATATTCTTTACATATATTGCCCTTTATTCTGCACTTTTTGCCCATTATTCTCTATTCTGTAAACCCCATCCACACCCTCATTAATGTTAACTTTTTTGTGACATGGTACCAATTTTCTTGGTTTGTGACAATATAATGTCTCAAGTTAATTGATTGAAGGTTAAAATTTCCAATGGTACACATAAGTTTCTGAATAAACATTAAAACCATGTCAATTGTATCAGATAAAATAATTACATAACATTTCTAAAACACTGAATTATGAGTAACGATATTTCAATTATTACATTATTTAAATTACCATAATTATTCAGTTCAAGGACTGATACTATGATATATGTACATGAATTTTTTGCATAATGATATTAATGCTCTTTTTTGACATGCATATCTTTTATTTATGAGTTATTTTCCTGGTAGACATGCATTTGATTATTGCTAAACATGCTAAAACAGTGATTTTCTTCAAATTGTAATCATTTCAAATATTTTAGAAAACTGAAATATATTGACAGATACTTTGAATGTTCAACTACACTGTAATCATTGCATAGGAATATTTTTTTCAATCTAAGTTTCAAATATATATCTATGGTAAAATAATTGCCCATTATATATATATATCTCATTCTATAAACATATTTGAACAATATAAGATACCTTCAAATTAGAAACCACTCTGCAATAAAAAATTTACATCATAAAATTTATTGGAATGGTGGTGAAGGTTTTGCATTTATACAGGAAACTTTCAGGAAGGCTTTAGAAAAGTAACAAACATAGAGGAAAAATTAAGGTCTGGAATAAGTATTATTGGGACGCTCCAGTAGTAACTACTACTAGACTAGTTATATATATATATATATATTATATTTATACAGGAAACTTTAAGAAAAGCTTTGGAAAAGAATGGACAAATTTAAGTCCAGGAAAAAACATTATTGGGATGCTGCAGTATTAACTACTACCAGTTATATTAATGGGATACTGCACCAGTTACTGCATTAAAACAGGAAATTTTGAGGAAAGGCTTTGGGAAAATTATAAGAATGGATATATTTAGGTCTTGGAAAGCACATGTGTACAATGTTGTAATGCTCAAAATACTTAATCTTAAATTACTTAACATGTTTTCAAACAAGTAAAACATATCAAATGCCATAATTAGTTGGTTTTTTTGGGGTGGTCACAAAGGGAAGACAATTCTAATGTAAAAATGTACAATCACTTATGTACATTTCGTCTGTATTGTAGGAAAAGTTTGATACATAAATAAAATTGATTTAAGGGTGTTCGCTCCTCTTGTTTTTGAATTTTTGCCATATATTCGGAATCTTCTGGTTTTATCCATGTAGTGCCATTAAAAATTTTTGCCCACTAACTCCTACTTTTCTTTTCATAATTTGATTAAATATAGTTTAAAATGCCATCTTTGAAAACCTTATAAATCCTTGTTATTTTTTCATACTTTTAGACAGAAAAAAGGTGCCAATGTTAAATGTATGAAAAATCTAGAGAGAATCATTTCCCGCCAAATTTTCAATGGCTTATATCTCAAAAACAAGCACACAAACCCCTCATTTTTTTTCTTCTTTTTTAATTCCTTTATTTATTTACTATCAATTTATAACAGTCTTTTAATAAAATGCTTCGCTGGGGCGCAGCTTGATACGACCGCAGAGGTCGAACCCTGAGCAGTTGGGGCAAGTATGGACACAACATTCAAGCTTGATACAGCTCTGAATTTGGATTGTTATTAAATATTTGACACAGCATAGGTTTCTGACACAAAAAGAATGTGGTCTAAGAATTTGAATTTTTTTTAATTTACCTATTATGGTCCAATGTCCAAAATCAAAACACATGGTTAGATTCAGCATATCAAAGAACCCCATATATTCAATTTTTGTTAAAATCAAACAAATTTTAATTTTGGACCCCAACTTGGACAAACTTGAAAACTGGGCCCATAATCAAAAATCTAAACACATGTTTAGATTCAGCATATCAAAGAACCCCAAGAATTCAATTTTTGCTAAAATCAAACTAAGTTTAATTTTGGACCCTTTGGACCTTAATGTAGACCAATTTAAAAAACGGGACTTAAAATTAAAAATCTAAATACACGGTTAGATTTGGAATATCAAAGAACCCCAATAATTCAATTTTTGATGAAATCAAACAAAGTTTAATTTTGGACCCTTTTGACCTCAATATGAACCAATTTGATAGCGGGGCCCACAAATAAAACATCTAAATTCATGGATAGATTCAGCATATCAAAGAACCCCATATATTCAATTTTTGTTGAAATCAAACAAAGTTTAATTTTGGACCCCAACTTGGACCAACTTGAAAACTGGGCCCATAATCAAAAATCTAAACACATGTTTAGATTCAGCATATCAAAGAACCCCAAGAATTCAATTTTTGTTAAAATCAAACTAAGTTTAATTTTGGACCCTTTGGACCTCAATGAAGACCAATTTAAAAAAAGGGACCCAAGTTAAAAATCTAAAAACACGGTTAGATTTGGCATATCAAAGAACCCCAATAATTCAATTTCTGATGAAATCAAACAAAGTTTAATTTTGGACCCTTTTGACCTCAATATGAACCAATTTGAAAGCGGGGCCTACAAATAAAAAATTCGTAAGGGTTCCGCGGAACCCAGTGTCTCGCCTACTTTTTCTGTTAATCGCAGGCTCAACAAAAATGAGGAAGTAAATCAATAAAAATATTCCTCTTGATACTATCTTTTGATTGTAAGAAGCTTCTGTCCAAGTTTGGTAAAAAGCCAGGATAGTTTATGAATCTAATAAATGTTTAAAAACTTTAACTGCAGACTGATGAATGTAATGTTAACTGGAAGAAAACAAAATTTCCTTCTAGATACTAGCATTTGATCATAAACAAGCTTCTGTCAAAGTTTGGTACAAATCCAAAATAGTATAAGAAAGTTATTAAAATTTAAAAAACTTTAACCACAGAGTGAATGTGTTGTTTCCTGGCAGAAAACCTAAGTCCATTTAAAAGTAAAAAATGGAAAAAATGGATTTATTTTTTTTACAAAATTTCCTTCTAGATACTAGCTTTTGATCATAAACAAGCTTCTGTCCAAGTTTGGTACAAATCCAAAATAGTATAAGAAAGTTATTAAAATTTTAAAAACTTTAACCACAGAGTGAATGTAATATTTCCCGGCAGAAAAACTAAGTCCATTTATAAGTAAAATACGGAAAAAATGGAATTTTATTTTTACAAAATTTACTTCTGGATACTATCTTATGATCATAAACAAGCTTCTGTCCAAGTTTGGTAGAAATCAAATATAGTTTAAGAAAGTTATTAAAATTTCAAAAACTTTAACCACAGAGTGAATATTTGTGGACGCCGCCGATGACAACGACGACGCCGCAGACGGAATGTAGGATCGCTATGTCTCGCTTTTTCGACTAAAGTCGAAGGCTCGACAAAAATCTAAATACATGGTTAGATTCAGCATATCAATGAACCTCATATATTCAATTTTTGTTAAAATCAAACAAAGTTTAATTTTGGACCCCAATTTGGACCAACTTGAAAACTGGGCCCATAATCAAAAATCTAAACACATGTTTAGATTCAGCATATCAAAGAACCCCAAGAATTCAATTTTTGTTAAAATCAAACTAAGTTTAATTTTGGACCCTTTGGACCTTAATGTAGACCAATTTAAATAACAGGACCCAAAATTTAAAATCTAAATACACGGTTAGATTTGGAATATCAAAGAACCCCAATAATTCAATTTTAGATGAAATCAAACAAAGTTTAATTTTGGACCCTTTTGACCTCAATATGAACCAATTTGATAACGGGGTCCACAAATAAAAAATCTAAATACATGGTTAGATTTAGCATATCAAAGAACCCCATATATTCAATTTTTGTTGAAATCAAACAAAGTTTAATTTTGGACCCCAATTTGGACCAACTTGAAAACTGGGCCAAAAATCAAAAATCTAAATACATGTTTAGATTCAGCATATCAAAGAACCTCATATATTCAATTTTTGCTAAAATCAAACAAAGTTTAATTTTGGACCCTTTGGACCTTCATATGGATATTTTTGTAAAAAAAAAAGATGCAACATTTGCAGATATTTTTACTGGTCTTCCTTTATAAATATGCATTTCTTTACACATAATTTAAAAGCAGTGTAAGGGAAGTAACCAAAACGTTGTATTTGGATTACCTCCCTTACACTGTTTTAAATTATCTTTATTGTTCATTAACCATTACTTTATACATAATTTAAAAGCAGTGTAAGGGAGATAATTTCAATGATGTATTTGATTTATCTCCCTTACACTGCTTTAAATTATGTTTTGTACTAAAGTATTTGTCCATTAACCAGGACAACCTTGTTTTTCCCCCTTTTTTGCCCCTAATTCCTAAACGGTTTGAGCCATAACCCCCCAAAGCAAATCCTAACCATCCCTTTGTGGTATGGAAACTTGTAGTATAATTTCAGAGAGATCCATACACCGTTCCACAGTTATTGTCTGGAAACTAGAAAATGCTTATTTTTGGGCCCTTTTTGGCCCCTAATTCCTTAACTGTTGGTACCATAACCCCCAAAATCAATCCCAACCTTCCTTTTGTGGTATTTAACCTTATGGTCAAATTTCAAAAAGATCCATTCACTTAAACTAAAGTTAGAGTGCGAAAACCAATGTGTCTTCGGACGACGACGCCGGACGACGACGACGACGCCAACGTCATACCAATATACGACCACAAAATTTTTTTGCGGTCGTATAAAAAGCTTATTATTTTGAAACAGAGAAGCGAACATCCCTAAGTTATTTCTACCTATGTCACTTTAAAATTACAGCAGGAGTTTAATCAACTTGACATAAACATGATAAAGGTACTGTTGTACAACATTCAAAGACAATGCTTTTTTTAAAACATGGCAAACCCTGACAGTTGACATGGGTTTAGAAATATAGTCATCCCTGGACTTCTCCAGTTTGGTATTTAAAACCTGGCTAGGGCATGGCATCTGTTTGGCTGTGAAGGATGTTTAAATACACAGCCACACCAAGTTGGAACTGATACATTAAATCTGATGAATTGTTTGGGTTAACATTAGTGCAATATCTGTGTAATATAGAACCTTTGTAACAACTATAGCCTTGAGAAGTATATAGGCATCCTATTACTTTACCAGGTAAAATTTCTACCCTTATCCAACATAACCTTCTATTTCCAGAGGCAGTCCAAGTATCCTGTCCTCCATCCTGGTCAGCCTACTTCCAGAATCCACCTATTGTATTACTAGTTAAATTGTTCTCATCCTTAATATATGTATGAAGTATTTGCCCCTGGACATTAATTATCTTAAGCAAGAGACAATCAACCAATCACAATTTGACAAATTATATCTTTTTCATACTTATCAGATATATATCAGACATATAATTTTGCAACTCAGTCTGCCATTCAGAATTTGTACTACTTTAATAAAACAATGCGAATAAATTACACCAATAAAACATTTTTTTATCATCATTCATGTGCTGTTGTGCAGTAAGCAGTTTAAAGGAATTGGATAGATTAAAATGTGGGTTCTTCCATACCTTCCCATTTTCAAGACTATAGTTTCATGGGTTTTTAATATTTTTACAAGAGCTTTTTCTATCATTTCTTTAATCAGTTATTGGTGAATGCCACCAAGAGTCCTGCTTGTGGAAAAATTCTAAAATAAATATTGAAAAAACATGTACCCCGTATTTCAATACAATTATAAGATCTATTTTTAAGATCATACATGGCAATTGAAAAGTCATAAGAGGTGAATTGTACATAACCAGTACTTTAAATTAAATTATACAGTATTGCATGTTCAAGATGTACATGTTGTAAGGGAGGTTGCAATATCTATACCGTGCATATCTTAGACTAGAGGGATGTGTCTGACAGGTCATCCCGTCATATATCAGTCAGGGGTTATACTTATTGAAGTGTTTTTATAATTAACTTGTTCAGGTAAAAGGGTGTGAAAGATACCAATGAGACTTTCAAACTCATAAGTCAATAAAGTTGTCAAAGGAAGCAAATTAGTTAATCAAATGATTACAAACCTTTATAACTACCAATTTGTATTTAAATTGATAATTAACGTTATGTAACACTCTGGAAATAATATCAACAATTGTAGTTTACTACATGTAAGCAAGAATAGGGGGATTAGTTCTAACTTAATTATTTTACATTTGTACCTTCGGACAACTTATACATCATTGTTTGTTGTACATGTATATATCATCAATGATCATGTATACATTTTTATGTTTTTTTGTTTTTTTTTCTCTTCTTTAGATTTTCAGTAGTCCTTCATTATCTGAAGATTATATACTGTTTTGCACTGTGTGGCCTATATATATATTTACAAAAACACAAAAATAATTGAAAATGAATTTGGAGTGCGTAAAAAAATTTTAAATTGTAAATAAAACTATGTACATAGGCTTATAATGAATTAAATGAATTTGTGGAGAACAGTTGGTGTAAGCTGTTCTCTGAAAGTGTTGACTGTGGTTACAGCGACTGTGTGGACTGGTAGTAAATTCCACTGAGTAATAGTGTACAGAAAAAATGAAAATTTATATGTATCTTTTTTGGTGGAAATGTGTCTGAAAGTGAAGCTATGATATTTGCGGATTTCTACTGTCTGATGGTATGAGAATAGCAGATGGGATTGCTACGATTTGATGTACTATTTTGTAGAACATTATCAATCTTGTGCATAGTCTTCTTTCTTGTAGCGTGGGCCAGTTTAGTGAGTTTATCATGTCTGTAGGACTACTGATGTTATGGTACCTGTTACAGACATATCTGGCACGTCTTTGGACCATCTCGATTTCAGAGGTTTGTTCAACTGTGTGAGGGTCCCATACTGAACATGAATATTCAAGCTTAGGACGAACTAATGCCAGATATGCCTGGGTTTTGATGTTCTGACATGATGTTTTTAAATTTCTTTTTAAGAAACCCAAAGATTTGTTTCCATTAGCTATGATGTTGTCAGTATGTTTTGACCATTTTAAGTTTTATTGTAGTGTAATGCCCAGATATTTAGCTTAAGAGACTAGTTCAAGTTTGTGATTGTGAAGGATATAGTCATGTTTAACTGTTTTTTCTTTTGTGATACTGTAAGGACTGTGCATTTGTCTGGATGGAAAGCCATCAACCAGTCTTGCTCCCACCTAGCAGCTGCATCTAAATCTAACTGGAGTGCATCACAGTCACTTTGAGATTTGATGGTTTTGTAGATGATACTGTCATCGGCAAACAGTCTGAGCTTACTGGATTGTAAGTATTCTGGTAGGTCGTTGATGTATACCAAAAATAATACTGGGCCCAGAACTGTGCCTTGAGGGACACCTGAGGTGACTGGAGCCAGGTCAGATGACTCTCCATCCAAGACAACTATTTGTGTTCTGTCATTTAAGAAGGCAGAGACCCAGTTTAGTGTTTCATTTTGAATACCATAATAGTTCAGTTTATACAGAAGTCTTTTATGAGGGACTTTGTCAAATGCTTTGGCAAAGTCCATCATAATTAAATCTGTTTGTGTGTTGTTGTTGTTATTTGCTGCAAGCTCTTGGATGAAAGAAATGAGTTGGGTTTCACATGATCGTGACTGACGGAAGCCATGCTGGAGGTCATACAGTATGTTGTTCTTTTCAAGGTGGTTGATGATGTGTTTGGTGATGATATGCTCCCTAAGTTTACAGGAAATACATGTCAATGATATTGGGCGGTAATTTTTTGGCTTGTATTTTTCCCCTTTTTTAAATACTGGTGCTACATTGGCGTGTTTCCAGTCTGTTGGTGTTATGCCTGTTTCAAGTGATGTTTGAAAGGTTAGTGTAAGAATTGGAGCTGTTTGATCTTTGAGTTCTTTTAAGGGGGTCTCATTGGGGGGTTCTGATCCCAGATCCCGCTTACTGTTTTGTCATATTCCCGTATCCCGCTTACACTATGTACGTAAGCAATTCTCATTTTTTTGTAATTTCCCGTGTCCCGCTAGACTTCATTTCCCGTTTTCACGGCACAATAATTTGACTTTCACGTGTCACGCTTACAAAAAATCGGCAATCCCGCGTCACGCTTAGACCCCAATGAGACCCACTTTTAATATTCTGCCACTGATGTTATCTTGGCCAGTTGCCTTGTGTGGGTTTATGTTGTGTAGAAGTTTCTTGACACCTGGTAGTGATATTTCTAGTGGTGTTATTGTGGGGTGTGAGCTTGGACCTTTGTCTGGAATGCTGTTACTTGATTCGGTTGTAAACATTGATTGGAACTGTGTGTTGAGGATGTCTGCCTTTTGCTTTGAAATGTTGATTGAAATTGATTCGTCTTCTCCAATGTCTATATTCTCATTTGTCACTGACAATCGGACATACAGTAATGTGGAGCCCTGGTGCCATGGCAAGCAACATAAATACATATGATTAATAAACATAAAAGTTCACAAAATGTTTAAAATTGTGTATACAGTATACTGTTGATCACTTGTTGAAATTTCCCAGTGGCTATTAAAACTACATTTTTATAATAAACAGATAAATGATACCTGCAGTAATTTTCCACTGGTTGTATATTCTTTATAACAAACTGTTTATATCTTCACTGTTGAGTTCTGCAAAGGATCTAAACTCCAACTGACAGATGCCAAAAGAAAAAAATAACTTATGTCAAGTTATGACTCACTGTCAAGTGCCTGAAGTGGTATTTTGAGGACAAATTTGTCAATTGTTATAGGGACCAGCTATTTTTCATGTCTTTGAATCTGCTTAATACCTTATATACTGATTTGATCGACGTGCTCGTCTAGTAGTACCGTATACACTGCTTTTACTCATTTATCCTCATCACCAAATATTGATTTCTTCCTAGCCGCTTGTGTCATGAAAACCTCAACAGGAAGAAAATGGAAGTTTCCATTAAAACATACCATCACGCTTTTTAAATTAATTTTTTTTTAGAATAAATGTTATTCAAGATTAAATATGTACGTAAATTCATTCAGAGCGATCAGTAAATCAAAATATTTTCAATGATGTAAGTAATTTCAAAACAACCGGAAGTACGAACAGTGCTCCATAACAACAGGATGCCTGATAAATTTTTAGACATGTGAACCCACAATTTTAAATCATTTCAATCACAGAAGTGTTCAAAATGAGTGCTTGTAGTAATAAAAGTAAACACAAACACATCGAGGTAAAGAAAAGAAATAAAACATTACTAATTTATAAACAAATAGGGATACAATTTACAAAAGTACATTTCATTATTATTAACATGTATGAGTATGATATTTAAAGTTCATTTACAGATATCTCTCTCCAGTAAAATTTTGTTTTTATCTGGAATAACGAAATAAATATTCAGTGTGTTTAGGTGAATGTTAAGACCAGCATTGGTAGGTTTTTTGTTTTATTGCTATATGGATCATTGCCACTTTTATTTGTTACACATCAATGAACAAAAACAGACAATCCATTTTATATATCAACTCCTTGTTAAATTTGTCATATGAATTGAACTAGGTAATAATACACTTAGGTACTTTCTTAACCATGCACAAACATGAAATGAAGGAAAGTTACAAACAATACACTTCTTTGTGTTGATTTGTTTGATAATTGATGGTTGTAGTGAATGCAAAACAAATAAGATTTCTTTTAGCAACAAAATACAGATAATACAATAAAAATGTTTGCACCACGCTATAGGCTGGTAAGTTAAGTTTTCTGATCTGTTCATCATTCTTATTTTTTTGTTGTATTCAGTCTTATCACTAACATTTTTTTTAATTGGGTAAATATAATACATATGTATCATAAATATATCATCTGTCTTTAATAACTAAGATGTCTAGTTTTTGTGATATTGTCTTATACATGTAATGTATATATACTACCATCTATTAGTCATATCTGCTGACTAATTTTTATTGGGGAAGGGGTGAACCCTAGGAGTAGAATTACATGAGCATGAATTTAAACTGTAATAATTAAAAGGGGTACATACACGTATATGGTAACTAAGTGTTATACACTTGTTTATAAAAAAGTGATATGAATAAAAGCATATATTGGATATTTGTGAATAAGACAGTAACCCAACAACACAAATGTAACCAAAAGACATTTACAGATTAACATATAAAAGAAAAACAAAGGATATGGGGTATCCATCCATGACACAAAATCAGTACATGCACAGCAAAAAAACACACAAAAAGCAAAGGAACAGTGCTTTTATTGCTGTTCTTCATCTCAAAGTCACAGTGAGGCCTTCAACATATAGTCTGAAACAAAATCATGACTTTTTCTGCCTTTTGTCATTTAAAGGTCCTACTCCTAGCCCATTGAATTCAGAACTTTACATGCAAAAGAAAAAAAAATCGAAATTTATATCAGACTTAATCACTTATAGAATATTTAGAATTTGAATATTATTTTATTACGATCGGGTTTAGTCAAATATTCAGTCAAATCCACATTTTCCTGCTCTTCCTCCTTATAAAGTCACCACCACAGTATATCCTGAACTTCATCGTTCTACATGTTTGCCAGTAAGAAAGATTTGAATGATAATCTCTTGGTCAACACACAGCAATACACAAACATGACAAATGCCAATATAATATATGTCAAGTTGTATTCCTCAAATGAATGATTTTAGACCTGAAACAAAGGTAGATAACCCATGTTGCATGTTTTCTGCACAAAACTAGCAATTTGAAATCACTTATTAAATTTCTTATCCTGGACAGATACCTTTTTTTTTTAATTTTCATTGATGAATACATTGTGTTAACAAATAGCACTGCAGGTAACTTGTTTAAGAATTAAAGACATTTGAAAATAAAATACATTAACACTTATTTTGAAATTACGCTTGCATTAGCAAACTGAATTAACAGCTGTATATCATTGTTGAAAGTCGATTATGCCTGAACAGTGATAAGGCAGGGTTCTCTCTAAGGCAAGTCCAGGAGTCCTGGACTCGTGAAAATTTGACTGGACTCATTTTGAAAACTGGTGAATCCAAAGATGCATCAAAATTGAAAAATATTGTATCAACTAAAGCACACAGATCATCATTTTATAGCAAAAGTTTAAAAGTGATCTAAATTAAATGCCATTTCCTTGCTTTATTTTGTCATGGAGACTGAAATAATAATTTTTATCGCAATAAGATTTCTTCTTCTCACTGTTGGACTTGCCATGGCCAAAAATGACGAGTCCCTGGACTTGCCTGCAAAAATTCTTAGTGAGATACTGGATAAGGACTGTCAATAGCATTAAAAAAGATCTGATGGGGAAGAAGAATATACTGATGTAAATAACATGCATAATACATAGTACCCATTAGGCTGTTGGCCATGCTTACTTGATAGAGTTGATCAATAGCTATTTTCCTTTAAAACTGAGCCTTTGTGGACATACTTAATGAATTATTTGTGTATTATAGAGTGATGTTGACCCATTCATGTGCACCTGTGGGCCTTGTAGAACATTTTGGAAGGACAATTTTGGAGAAGCAGCAGAATTATTAAGAGAATCTTCATTAAGCAGAGCAGATGACTCTACAACCATACCACATGATCAGCGAGGTGTTAAAATTGGAGATCGAGTTCTTGTGCGAGGGCAACATGCTGGTAATTAAATATCTAAATTCCATAAATACTCTTTGTAGAAGTTTTGTTCTACAGTTTTAACAAAGAAAAATTAATGTTTATAATCTACATATAACCATGATAACAGAGAAAAATTTCAGAAGCAAAGTAGACATTCAAATTATTAAATCGGAATCCACGATTGCAAGAGAAAAGAAATCAGAATTATCTCCATTTGTCCATACATGTATATATCTGTTTTCACTTCATACATTGTACTTAATCTACATTTAAAATTTATTTTTAATTTTTCTCATATTCATATTTACCATCAAAATTGTTTATAGGACATTTGAATTTGCTTTACAATATAATCAAGCAAACAGAATGAATAGTGCAGACCTTATTAAAGAATGTTCCAAAGAAAACAAAAATTACAACATCTCATGAATATTCAAATGAAAATGGTGTGCATTCTTTGAAAAATCCATTTGGTACTATAAAAAAAAAAAATAAGGAGACGCGGTACATGTATGATTGCCAATGAAACAACTATCAACCAGAATTCAAATGAAGTGGATACAAGCAATTGTAGGTCATGAGACAGCCTTCAACAATGAGAAAACCCATAACGTATAGTCTGCTATTATAGGCATGAAAAATTTGAAACAATTCAAACCAGATACTTAACATGCTTAATGTCTTATTTGTAACAAAACATATTACAAAAAAACAAATATGACAGACATGAACCAAGGAAAGCTAATTCAAAGTCAATCACAACTAATAAATAAATTATGTTCTCCCAGACAAAAGTATCAATCAGTACACATTCAAAGGTTTTAGTATAAAAAGGTAATAAACAGTCTGAGAAATGCATGATCTTGTGCAATGTCTTCAAAATTAGAGAGTGTTTTCATTTAGGAGATCCTTTACATTTTTGTATGCCTGGCATACATGTAGAAGTACAATCAAATTAGATTTTCTCATGCCAAATATAGTTGTTTCTTGTTGCAATAGAATGAGAATAGGGTGAATAGGTCAGCAATTTTTTTTCATTTTACAGTTCTTATAGTAATACAAATGTATCAAAAAGTTGCCAAAAAAGTTTAGGAAAGAATTTTTATTATTAGGAACTTTTTTAACTAAACAAATGAAACAGTATGATTTTGGAAACAAGAAATCATTCTATCATGGAACCCTGTTGCAGAACATTTGACAGTGTCACTGCAAGTTTCCAAAATTAAGTACAGGGTTAGATTTTTTCTGACCAAAATCCCTGGTTCCAAATGAAGTTTATAGTAATACAATCTTTTATACGTAACTTGACTGCAATTTACATTTTTTCATGATGGTCATTTATAAATAGGTTCTAAATTTAGAAGAGGTAATATTTTTTCCATATAGTTGATGTAGCATTTAACATTTTTTTAAATTACAGAGGTGACAGTCCTACGCCTTCCCACATATATTTAATATTATTTATCAATTTTCTTGCAATTGATATATTTCATAAGATAAAACTAAATTAACAGATGTTTAGATTTCCTTCAGGTGTTGAAACTAAATTGCTTAAGAGGGTTATTTCTTAAAACCACCTACTTTTTATCCTGTCTTACTTGAACAAAATTGATATCTATACTAAACAATATTTTTTTAAATGGGACCTGATAAAATTTTCATTGAACTGACCATTTGCAAGAAAATTAGTTAAAACAAGAGTGTTATCTGCTATAATAAATCTGCAAAAGTGTATTTTGATTCCTGTGTTATCTCAATTAACTAAGATATTAATCACTTTTAAATCTTTAAACTTTTTTGTTATTAACCATTGGACAAATAGAAGGTATTTTTAGATAAACAAAAGTAAAACTAGATCTATTTTTTTTTTCTCTTTTTTTATTAGCTCACCTGGCCCGAAGGGCCAAGTGAGCTTTTCTCGTCACTTGGCGTCCGTCGTCGTCGTCGTTAGCTTTTTACAAAAATCTTCTCCTCTGAAACCACTGGGCCAAATTTAACCAAACTTGGCCACAATCATCATTAGAGTATCTAGTTTAAAAAATGTGTCCGATGACCCCGCCAACCAACCAAGATGGCCGCCATGGCCTAAAATAGAACATAGGGGTAAAATGTAGATTTTGGCTTATATCTCTGAAACCAAAGCATTTAGAGTAAATCTGACATGATGAAACTAATTATCAGGTCAAGATCTATCTGCCCTGAAATTTTCAGACAAATCTCACAACCTGTTGTTGGGTTGTTGCCCCTGAATTGGTAATTTTAAGGAAATTTTGCAGTTTTTATACGACCGCAAAAAATTTTTGCGGTCGTATATTGGTATGACGTTGGCGTCGTCGTTGTCGTTGTCTTCCGAAGACACATTGGTTTTCGCACTCTAACTTTAGTTTAAGTCAATGGATCTCTATGAAATTTTACCATAAGGTTCAATACCACAAAAAGAAGGTTGGGATTAATTTTGGGGGTTAGGGTACCAACAGTTAAGGAATTAGGGGCCAAAAAGGGGCCAAAAATAAGCATTTTTGTAACTTCCAGACATAACTTGTGTGTTAGTGTATGGATCTCTCTGACATTTTACCACAAGGTTCCATATCACACAGGGAATGCTGGGATTGATATTGGGGGTAATTGCCTCAAAATATTAGGAATTAGGGGCCAAAAAAGGGGCAAAAACAAGCATTTTTCTAGTTTCATGACAATAACTTGTGTGTAAGTGTATGGATCTTTCTGAAATTGTACTACAAGGTTCCATATCACAAAGGGAAAGCTGGAATTGATTTTGGGGGTAATTGCCCGAAACGTTTAGGAATAAGGGGCCAAAAAGGGGCCAAAAATAAGCATTTTTCTAGTTTCCAGACAATAACTTGTGTTCAAGTGTATGGATCTCTCTGAAATTGTACTGCAAGGTACCACACCACAAAGGGAAGGCTGGGATTGAGTTTTGGGGTGATGAATCATAAGGGGGTTCAAAAAATTTGGGGGGGGGATTTTTTTTTTTCCCTTTTTTTTTTCTTTTAAAATTTTCCATTTTAAGTTGGTTATTTCTGTTTTATATTTAAAAGCAAATAATAATGATATGATAGGAGATACACACCAAACAGGATGTGTAAATTATTATATAATAAGTATTGTGCAATAGCAAGAAATTTTTCAATTGCACAGTATTGCACAATAGCAAGAAATCTTCAATTGCACAGTATTTGCGCAATAGCAAGAAATCTTCAATTGCACAGTATTGTGCAATAGCAAGAAATATCCAATAGCACAATATTGCGCAATAGCAAGAAATTGTCAATTGTACAGTATTGCGCAATAGCAAGAAATATTCAATTGCACAGGATTGTGCAAAAGAAGATACTTCGTATAAATTGCTTATTTCTTGACCAATTTCAATGGGGTTTTATTCTTGAATTCTTGGGGTTCTTTAATATGCTGATTCTTACCGTGTATTAAGTTTTTGGATTTTGGGCCCCGTTTTTAAATTGGTCCACATTGAGGTCCAAAGGGTCCAAAAGTAAACTTTGTTTGATTTCATCAAAAATTGAATTATTGGGGTTCTTTGATATGCCGAATCTAACCGTGTATTTAGATTCTTAATTTTTGGTTCCGTTTTCAAATTGGCCTACATTAAGGTCCAAAGGGTCCAAAATTAAACTTAGTTTGATTTTAACAAAAATTGAATTCTTAGGGTTCTTTGATATGCTGAATCTAAACATGTATTTAGATTTTTTATTATGGGCCCAGTTTTCAAGTTGGTCCAAATCGGGGGCCAAAATTAAACTTTGTTTGATTTCAACAAAAATTGAATATATGGGGTTCTTTGATATGCTGAATCTAACCATGTATTTAGATTTTTGATTTTTGGGCCCCATTATCAACTTTGTCCACATTGAGGTCAAAAGGGTCCAAAATTAAACTTTGTTTGATTTCATCAAAAATTGAATTCTTGGGGTTCTTTGATATGCTGAATCTAACCATGTATTTAGATTTTGGATATTGGACCATAATAGGTGAATGTCCAATTTAAAATTTTTAAGTTCTTAGACCACATTCATTCTGTGTCAGAAACCTATGCTGTGTCAAATATTTAATCACAATCCAAATTCAGAGCTCTATCAAGCTTGAATGTTGTGTCCATACTTGCCCCAACTGTTCAGGGTTCGACCTCTGCGGTCGTATCAAGCTGCGCCCTGCGGAGCATTTTATTGGTTATTATCTTGAATATTATTATAGATAGGGGTAAACTGTAAAGAGCAATAATGTTCAACATAGTAAGATCTACAAATAAGTTGTTATGACCAAAATTGTCAATCGACCCCTTTAGGAGTTATTGCCCTTTATAGTCAATTTTTAACAATTTTTCGTAAATTTTTGTAATCTTTTACAAAAATCTTCTTCTCTGAAACTACTGAGACAAATTTAACCATACTTGGCCATAATCATTATTAGGGTATTAAGTTTAAAAAATGTGTCAAATGACCCCGCCTTCCAACCATCATGGCCGACTTGGTTAAAAATAGAACATAGGGGTAAAATGCAGTTTTTGGTTTATATCTCTGAAACTAAAGCATTTAGAGCAAATCTGACAGGTAGCAAAAATGTTCATCAGATTTTGATTTATCTGCCCTGAAATTTTCAGACGAATCCGACAACCTGTTGATGGGTTGCTGACCCTGAGTTAGTAATTTTACAGAAATTTTGCAGTTTTTTGTTATTATCTTAGATATCATTATAATATCTAATACTATTAATTATGATTATAACCTTATATTACATGATTTCCAAAGCATCAGTAAATACAGGTGAGCGACACAGGCTCTTGAGAGCCTCTAGTTTGTTTTTACATAGTGTGATTATATTTATAATGTAGATTGTCGATCAGTTATGTGAATTAGGCGATTTATTTTCTCTGCCAATATTTTTCTGATTTAATCTATCTAGATATCTATCTGGTTTTTATTTCACCTGTAACACATATCACAATGTGAGACGTAGGTGTCACTTGCTGGTGACAGAGCCTGAGCACTATACCGTATAGCGGGTTATTTTCGCAGGGTGTTTATTTTCGCTTATTTTGGCGGATAAACGAAAATCGCGAAAATAAATTCCGCGAAAATTTATGCATACGTTGGCATATTTTCTAATAGCTAAAACGTTTTGTGAACGATCTATTTTTCCCAGTCGGCAAGTCAATAGAGGTATATGTTAGTTTTAACAACATAAATGCCAAAGGGCATAGTACATACATGTATTTTATAAAATGACTGTCAGGTGTGTATACCCTTATTAATAAGTGTCAATTAGAATAAGAGTGTAAGGTACTCTGATCAGATAATTACCCTTATTAATTAGTGTCAAACTATACAAGAGTTGTAAACACTCATGATAATTTTGTAACCTAATTAGTAAGAACATCAAAGGTCCAGTCAATTTCGTAACTAATCAATCGTAAAATTTACAAGACGTTTGAATACCTGTTATCTAAGTCATCGGTATTCTATTTATTAACTGTATCAGAATATAATCAATAAATTAGACGTCATTCAGGTAAAAACAAATCATTTTACCATAACAATAGACACTTGTTTGTCAAGTTTTACAACTTTTTAAGTGCAACAATTTCAGTATCCGCCAAAATATTTAATTGGGATTTGAGAATCCACCAAAATAAAAACCGCCAAAATTTTTCGTATACTTTGTTGCCCCTAAATCGCGAAATTTTACACCCGTGAAAATAACCCGCTATACGGTATTTGTCAACACCTAATGTAAAGTTTTCTTATAAAGTTAATTTAGTGTAACAACCTATTATTAGATTGTCACTGTGGATTCATTATTATCAGGGGTGGATTCAGGCGGGGGCGTGGCGGGTGTGCGCCCCCCTAAAATTGCAAAGCATGGGTTGTCCTCAGCTTAATAAAGAATATTTCGATAATTTTACCTCGAAAATTTAAGTTTGGCCCCCCCCCTCCCCCAAACCTAAAATCCTGGATCCGCCCCTGATTATATGTTGAATACTAATTGGGTACAGGTGAACCACGAATTTAAATGTTCAACGAATTTCAAATTTTCTGTAGGCGTGCATACTGACACTGGAAAAACCATGAAATAAAATATCTTAGAAAATGCAAGTTTTCCTCAATCCACAAAATATTGGTACAAATGTACCCAGGAAAATAAATGAATCCTCAGTAAAAACAAATATTTTATATTTGGTTCCATCTAGTATTCAACTTAGCTGTATAAATTTATGAAAGGCTATTGACATGTATAGTATGCTGTTGAATAAGAAATCATGCATTTTAGTTTTAAGCATAAGCGCCTTCTCAGTTATGCTTCAGTGATATTGTTTATTAAGGGTTATTGATAAAACTAACAATCCTAGTCAATTAAGATTAGTGAAGTCCAGCACACCTGCCTTGGGCAGGATTCGAACTCACAACCTCAATGTTGACAGGCTAGTGATATAGTAGTTAGACTACTTAGACCAGTCAGCCACTGAGGACTTTTTTTTTATAAGAGCAACACTTCCTATTCAGTTAGACAGATATTGATGAAAATTTACCCAGTTGTAGAAAACTACCTGAGGATGTACGTAATTGATTAGTTTCCCTGTCCTACATTTTCAAGGGGATTTTGTCTCCTAGAAGACTGTAAAATTGTATCTGCTCTGTTTCTTTTTTTGTAATTTTATTTAGACCTAGTCTTTTATATTTTCAATATACAAATAGTATTGCAGGGCACAGGTTATCGTTTTCTAGTTCACTCACTTTTTTTGGTTGCTGTATCATTGATGTAATTACTGCACATCTCCATTCATCCATATTTTAAAATTGATTGCAAAATTTAAAGCAAGTTAGAAGTATAATTGGGGACAAAGGTTATAGGATATACCAAAATTTATATAAAAAATCCAAAGAAAAACGGATTTAAAGCAGCTAGACCTTAACTCCTAATGTCTATTGTGAGTAACAACCCTGCCTTTATAAAGGAAATTATTAAAAGATAGGCAAAAGATACCAAAAAGATATTAAAACTCAATTTACAACATTAAAAAAAAACACAACATAGAAAACCAAAGACTGAGCAATGATGATGATGAACCTCACCAAAAAAGGGGGTGATCTCAGGTGCTCCGGAAGGGTAAGCAGATCCTGTGGCACCCGTTATGTTGCTCATGTAAATAAATTATCAACTGGAATTTTGTTTGAAATATATGTTTCTTCTATGTGGAATGAAATTTATAGAAACTAGAAATTGGTAGTAGAAACTAACTACAAGAACTTGAAACTCTTTTATTAGAATTATATTTGAAATGTATGTTTTAAAAATATATTGACAAAAATTGATTGTATGTTTGAGAAAAATTAGATGACAATAGTGAGATTTTTGTTACCAGTCATTATACTATCAGTAGGGTTTCTGGAGAAAAGTTTTTTTTTTATTTATTGCCAAGCAAAAAGGCAGAAAGATGAAAATTGAAATTGGATGTATTCTTAAAATAGATGTACTTAGTGTATAAACCTTAGACCTTAGTAAAACCCATTATGTTTACTAATTTCAGGTACAGTGAAATTTGTGGGAGTGATTGATGACAATGCCATTGCACCTAGATTGTATGTCGGAGTTAAATTAGATGATAATAGTAAGTTTTTTTTAATTTCAGTTATTATACTTGCTGTAAGAATGTTCTAGGATAATTAATATTCTTTATTTTGGCATAAGTGGATGCGGTATGATTGCCAATAAGACAACAGACCAATAGAGACCAAATAATATGGATGTAAGCATGCGACTATAGGTCACCATACAGGCTTAAACAATGAGCAAAACCCATACAGTATAGACAGTATAAAGGGCCTAGACATGACAAAATGTGAAAAAAGATCAAATAAGAAAACCAATGGCTTGATTTATGACAAAGCAACAAACAAAAAATAAATATGACAGCAACCAACAACAATCACTGAAAAATGGCTAAGGCTCCTGACTTGGGACAGACACATACAAAATATGGAAGGGTTGAATATGTTTGCACTCAACCCTCCTTTGGAGCAATGGTAAAATATCACAAAATAAGAAAATACTGTAAAAATAAGTTTGAAAGGACTCATCAGATTGGCAAAAAGGACACATTCAAAAAACCTACAAAAAGACTTGACAGAAAGTACCGATCTAATGACTCAATACTCACTAAAATCTAGTTCAGGAACTTATGTATATATTTACATTCCCTGTTTTTTTTATATCATTGTCTTCAACTTGTTTCTCTTTTTCAGTTAATTCAACACACAATGGTGTATTTAAAGGAAAGCGTTATTTTTATTGTGAACGAGGGCATGGTGCAATGGTAACATACACTGAAGTACAAAAATTAAAACAAGTAGACAAGCGTCCTCCAATGCAAGGAAATTTCATGTATCCAAGTTTTGAAGAAGTTAAGAAAAGGAGGAAAGAGAGAAATCAAAAGTAAGCTAGAGTTGAAAACTTTTTGATTAATTTGTAACAACAGTGAAGTACAAAAATTAAAATAAAATTTATTTCTTAGGTTAATACAGGGTAACGATAGTCTTCATGATAATGTTTTAGACCCACCTTCTAGACTCATTTGTAATTAAGTGCCAATCTGCCTAAGAGTAAGGCAGTGGTGAAAACATGACAAACAAAAACCCACTCAAGTTGCCATTAAGTTATGTTCAAATTGTATAATGGTGCACGAATATAACATATTGGTTTCCTTTTCCTGTTCTGGTAATTCAAGAGATAATTTGGTTGAAAAATGCACTAGAAATTAACAATTAAGGTATGTTACCATATGACTCCGTTTTTTGCTATCATTTTAACAAAAAGGCTAGAGATTTCTCAAATTACCAGACACGTAGAAACAAAAGACCCACTATTTCTAACCCAGGATGAAGGTAACTTCAAAATAGGATGGTTAGGTCGGTGGGTTTTTTTCGGCCATGTTTTGAAATTTTCTAAATTGCCTGATTCTTACAAAGACTTGCACTTAAGTTGTATAGAATATTTTGAACTGTAAATAAAATACTGACAAGACTAATAAAATATTACAAAGCTGGCATGTGGTTAAAGTTATAGGTTGTGATGAAATATGAAATTTCCAGCAAAACGTCTAAAAAGATTTGATATTCTCTTATGGTAAGAAACATTTTGTCATTTATAAGCCACCCCAGTATTAAACAGTTTTTAACAGGGTTGTAATTTAGCCTTAACTTCCTAAAATTCTGAACTTTGTAAATGAAAAAAGAAAAATCTTATTCTTATTGATCTAGATTTCCTGATTTTTTTAGTGTCATTGGATGGCTGATAATTGATGTATATTCTTTATAATTTTTTGTTTTTATCATAGCTAAGATTTAACAGTTAAGATTATTCATGTTTATATGAAATCAATGCTTCAAATTTATTTCTTGAACGATTGGACTGATCAGACTTACATTTCAGTATATTTATTCAAAATATTTGCTGCAGTTCCATTAAAAGTAACTAAAACTCATTTTATTTATCATCCTGAAGATGCATGAAATATTTGCCACTGGCATTAAGCAACCAACAATCAATCAATCAATTCATTTTATTTAACACTATGTGGATACAAATACAAGCATGATATATGAATTTAACATCCACAACTTCATATTTTATTCATACAAGTTCTTAGAGGGAGAAAACATTGTCTTATTTGGATATCATTGTTTTTTTTTTTTGTTTTTTTTTATCATTTAAATTCAGGATTTTTTTTCAAATTTCTGAATCACATGTTACTGCTAAAATTTGTTTTAAACCATATTTTGAAATTGCAGAGTTATAAGGTAATTATGATCTGGTTAAGCTTTGAGCATGGTTTTGCCAGAGACCTAGAGTATATCTTTAGATGCCATTGATTAACACACCATAGGCTGAACCCTAGAAAAAACAGAACTATTCACTAATAAATTACATTTATTTGCATGTATATGAAAAAAGAATATACCAAAAGGGTGATAAAAATTGTTAATTGAATAAGGACAGACAAACAAACAAAAAAGACAATATATTATTCTGTTGTTGGGTTACTGTCCCATTGACATATTTTCAACATCTCCATTTTGTCATAGACAATAGTCTACAAAAAATTAGACAAAATCCTCAAAATAAGTGATTATGCACACAACCCTCACTGAATATCGGGGGAGGATAGGCACATTGATGTGTGACTTGTGGGATGTTATTGTTTATTATTTAGAAATTATCTTGTTAACAGAAGAAAATTATTTAACATTATTCATAAATTTTCATTTATTTGCTCTTACTAATGAATTGTGTATTCGGCCATCATTATTGATATGGACTATAACACAAAAAAACACCAAATTGAATCAATTTGATGTCACCAAATCTTTTGATTGTATGTCACAGACAAAACAGCTCAATCAAACACATCACATTAATAAAAGGCAAGAGACAGATGATGAAAACAAATATAAGAAAACAATTCAGTACGAATCAGGAGTCGGTTTCACAAAAAGACTAAGATTGATCGAAAGTATACTGAATTGTTCATGACTTACGATCAATTTTAGTCATAAGTTTTTTGTGAAACCGACTCCAGCAAAAACGGATATAGAAATAAAATGGATAAAAGACTCAAATGATTTGTTTGCAATACTCATGGTATGTAATTTGAAAGGCAATAAAGATGTCTTGATATTTTGTAAAAAAAAACGTCTTTTTGAATGCTAGAAAGGAAATGTAGATATCAAAGTGATTAAAGAATGTAGTTTTCATGATTAGCTGATACTAGTATGAGTTTAAAATCCTTGTCTTAGTCTCCATCTGGATGTTTATAGCAAACAATCAACCAATCTTTGTCAACTCCTTGTTTATAATTTCAGAGTAGACTGTTGTTAAAATCTTCATTGATATCTCCTAATCTTAATTCACCTTTTAGAGGTACAATAAGAAAAAGCCAGTGTTTGAATTGTCAAAGCATTTAGGAGGTTTATATGTGTAACTCTGTGAACAATTTCATTTTGAAATTTAGAAAAAAAAAATATGTAGAGTTATCCCCCTTGATAGCATGTCTTTAGTTTTGCTGTGTGTCCCTTATCCCTGTGCTGTTTGTGAATTACTTCACTATTTTATTGTAAACATATTTTATAGCCTTTTAATGCCTTACTTTAAGAATTACTACAGATATTTGGATTAATATTCAGGCCCTCTTAATTAATATTGGCTTTATTTGGTAATCAATGTATTTCCTAAAATATTAGAACATGATTTTGATTTTTTAGAATAGTGATAAGTTCTTATGGCATCATATGTGGTTGACATATCAATTTATTCTTGAAAGAAAAAAATAGAAAAGAGAACTTGGAACCTATAATTTTATTAATGCTATTACAAATGCATAAGAAAACTGTCCATATCTTTAATGGTGACAAACAGCACAGAATTTTTTCTTTTGAACAAATATTTTGTTGCATTTGAACATAAACATATGATTATGTTTGACAAAAGTCTATACTATTCTAATAAAATTAATATTTTGAAAAGGTTAGTAGAACTGTATGCCAAAGCAGGAGTGGCTCCACCTAGCGATTTGATGCCAACGATAGCCAGACCAAAAACAGAACCTATGATACATGTAGGAGATCCAAATGATATTGTTATAAAGGTATGAAATAATAATTAATTTATGGCAAACAAACGAAAAAATATTCAAGAATTAATCAACAAAATTATTGTTTCTGCAGTAACTAACATGAAAAATTACAATAACCTTGAAGGAAAGGTTTATGTGAGGTCTTGATGAGGTTTCCAGAATAGAGAATAATGGCCAAAAAAATTGATGAATAAAAAAAAAATGAGCAAAAATGTAAAGAATAGAGTATGATGGGATTCAAAAGAATAAAGAATAACTAAAAAATAAAAGAATTAATAAAATACTTATTGCAGAAATGAACCATGTACAGAATAAGGAAATCATGTAATAACAAATTAATTCAATAGTAAAATAATTTTCTTGAGAATTTTACAGAATAAACGTTATTTTTAAAGATAAAGAAAAATGGTCCAAAAATTAAAAAGGATTCAGAATTGAAGGCCCACCAATCTAGACTATCATATGCAGAATATGCAACCAAAAAAAAATCTAATCTATTTTACCATGTTCTGTTGAAAATATTAGTAGTTTTCCTTTTATATCCATTTCTTTGTACAAATCCAATAAAAACAAATAGTATGCTATAGATTTAGTATGTTACAGTTTTATCAAAAGTCTAAATGATTAAATAAATTCATCACATAATTGAATTGAAGAAATACAAGCTTTTTTGTGTTTGTTTAAATGATTAAATTTATGAAACTATTATATTTGTCATGCACTAGTAAGTTCCTATCTTATATATACATGTATATTTATGTTTATGTATGTTTTCTGTTTAGTATTAAATTTATAATTAAGATCCATTTATTACATCGTTGATCCGTTTATTTGGCAATCGCCAATGGCAGTCAGCAGGGTTTAAGAACATTTGTTGTTCGACCTGTTAGTCAAATGCGTTTTGTTTAAGTATACTTTTTCACTTTTTTGGTCTTTTAGAAATTGTTGTTTGTGCTGTATTTAGACCCCTCTAACAAGAAATTTGTTTTGCATGCACACGTATAAAAATTGCGGTGTTTATCCAACGCAATCATAGGTTTGAACGTTGTTTTCAATTTAGACATGCATGTATATATATATAGGGACAAAAATTTGTCAGTATAAAAATCTAATTCTAACATTGTTGGGTTTAATTTTCAGACTTATATATAAAAAGCTTTTCTTCAGTAAGTCTGGTGAAGGATGAAAGCGCTAGACTTTTAAAATTTGTGTTTATTTTGATGTTTATTTTATTTCAAATATATATATATTTATATTTTGTTTGATATTGATATGAAATACTTTTTACTATGAGAATTTAGTATTAATAAAAGAAAATAATTGTCCCCTTTTTGCACTGCAGGATTTAGAAAGGCAAAAAGAAAGAGAAAGAAGAAGAAGAGAAATAATGAATGAAGCAGATCAGGAGAAACTTGAACTTAGAAAATTACGAATGCAGTTTGGAAACAACGAAAATGCAGACAGAATGGCTATAACCCTGAGAAAATTACAAAGAGCTTATGAAGAAGGATTAGTTATATCAAAACGTAGGGGAACAAGGGCTGACCTTGATTATGATAGTGATGAAGATTAATGGATGCTATTTTTATTACGAACCATGATATTTTATTGCGTAGGAAAAGACATCTTAGTTGATATGCGTGTTGTTTATGCATAGAAAGAAGAATGTATGCTAGTTCCTCATTTTTTAACCAAAAACAAAACAAGTCACTTTAAATGTGATATGAGATTGTGTAGTTGGTTTTTTTTTGTTGAATGATGGTAGCCAGAAATTTTGAAAAAAGTGTTATAGTTTAAGAAATGTAGGTGTCAGAATCATGTAGTAGTAGACCTAATCACTGTATTGTATGAAATATTATTATATGTTTTTGTTTGTTAAGAGTATAGAAGTATGTGAAATGTATCATAAAATCAGACTTCAATATCCTTCACATATGTTTAACAATCATTTTAATATGATACATAAATTTGTAAACATAGTGAGAATTCTTTTTTAAAAGTTATATAAGACATTTAGATAAAAATACTTTTGTAAAGAAATATGATGATCTCAAGAATAAAAATTTTATCAAAAATTCTTTTTAGTAAAAGATCATGAATCAGTAAATTTCTTTTCTTTTCCCCTTTTGTTCATTTAAATAGGTGCATATTTGATAGTACTGTGAAACTATGGCACTTACTTTGCGAACTATATGTATATCTGTATTTTTTTTATGAAAGAAAATTTTTGTCTCGCCTGCGACGAAAGTCAATGATAAGTTTTCTGCTTAAGTTAGTTTGATATGAACTACTTGCGATGGACCAATATTATTTTCTATAAAGTTGAATTACTATCAGTACATATCAGTTTGATGACTATCCTAAGGCCCTGCCCCCTAGGTCATGGTCCAGTGACTTTTAATCAATCTTCAATGTTAAGTTTTATGATTAAGTTAGTTCGATAGGAACTACTTACAATAGACAATATTTTCTATAAAGTTAAATTGCTGCTTGTACATCTCAGTTTATCAACCATTTCGAGGCCCTACCCACTAGTTGGTCCAGCGACTTTGAATTAATTAACAATGTTGCTGTCCATCAGATTGTCTCTTTCTGAATTTTATGCCGACAGGCGAGACATATGTCTGTGTCAACAGTTCATTTATATGAAAGGTTTGTCTGTGAGTCTTGTTTATTATTATGTATAGGTGCTGTTTACATGTTTTAACTAATAGTTTTTTTTTCATTTGTCTAACAAGAAATGCAGAAAGAGTTACTCTTTATATGTGACAATACTAGAATGTAATGTTTTTATATACAAGATACCAGAAATACTAACAAATTTTGTATAAAAGAAGTTTTTTTCAGGGGAATATAAATTTGACATTTGTAACAAATTGGGCATTATACAAATAATTTCCTCCTTTTATTTTATCCAGTACCAAAAAGCAAACACATTATTTTATCGTAATTTTCAATAAAAACAGGGATGGTATCTATTGTACTTGAAAATAATGGACGAATTAACCAGACAATCGGTGATAACCTCATTTTGAAATCATGAAAAACATATCAAGGACAGGGGACCAGAGTATAAGGTGAACAGGATAAAAGCTGCTTGATTTTCAAAGCAGTCATAAGTGTGCAGTGCAACAAATGACAACATTTAAAACTGACATAGAAAAAGCAAGATGTGAATTATTAGAGTTATCTAACCTGAATGTCAAATAATATTCCTAAATATGGAAAACTTTACAATAAGAAATAAATTAAGCAAAAAATTTTCATTTATCATAAAAATTGGTATCAACAAAGTTATAGTGATTAATTTCTTAGTAATCATCTTATAGTTTTTATGAGAAACTATCTTTAAAAGCATAAATGTATAGTTAAGTTTGAGTAAGAAGTATTATTTTTGTTTGTATATAAGTGTATTGAGTATAAACAAATTGTAAATTGTAAATTGAAACTTTTGTAATGAAGGATTTTGATTATGAAATCTTCAATAACAAGTCAACTCTCTGTGATATTTTTAGTAGGTATTTTAACACCATAGCTTATTTTTGTTATGATTTACAACTTTTTTTTTCCTTCAACAAATTCGTAGAATAAAAAAACAGAAAATAACCAAATAAACAAAATTAATTTTTTTCTTTGAAAAACATAAAAAATATATATAACCAATCATTTATTTCGTCTTTCATACCAGAGTTCTGTATTGACAATTGTATTTTGCCAATTAGCTTACTTTTACATATTTGTTTTACATATTTGTGATATTTTGAACATTTTTTTTGTAAAAGATTAGAGCTATTACTCTAGCATTACAGTATATATTATGCTAGTTTACACTTGTTAATATTTTTGGACAATAAATTACTCTATTGATGTCTTGTGTTTTTGCTGCCGAGCCATTTGTAAGAGTATATCAAAATCCATAAGGTTTTGGTTTTTCTCTCGCCTTGACCAAATCGCAAAGGTGAGACTTAGATGTGCTATTTATGACAGTGGTGTCAAAAATGTTGAAGTTTGTGATTAGGACAGTTTAAGTAGAACCACTAATGGTAAGGTAATGATATTTGGTAAGCAGTTGTAATATTACAATTTATTGTCTGACTTTATATGTTTCAGTAAAACAATTCTAAACATAATTTTATTTCATGGTGCAAAGATATTTAAAATGATTTAAGAAAATTATTTCCATTGAAATATTGGATGACTAATTTTCTTGTTGAACTATTGCATTTAAAAAAAAAGAACGCTAAAATAATAGGTAGAAGAATGGAATAAGGGTAATAACATTAAGGTAGAAGAATAGAATAGGGTAATAACATTAAGGTAGCCGAATGGAATAGGGTAATAACATTAAGGTAGAAGAATGGAATAGGGTAATAACATTAAGGTAGAAGAATGGAATAGGGTAATAATGTAACAGTGGTTTGATTCCGCCAGTGTACTTTATCCGGAGGAAGAAAATCCCCAGTGATTTTTATCCAACAAAAATTCACTAGGTTTTTCTATCCGGGTCCAGTGTAAAACATCCACCAGTCGTTATAAGGTTCTAAAAAGGGTTTTTTGAAGGGGAAACATATATGAAATGTGGCTTAATAGTTTTTAGTGTATTTGAAACTTGCATAAATAATTTATGTAAAAAGTGGAGAGTTTTCATCCAAGGAATGTTCACACTAGTGTTTTTAAACAAGGAATGACTAGTGATTTTGTAACGGAATGATTGCACTAGTTATTTTATACCGGGATTAATTACACTAGTGCTTTAGATCCATACATTGATGAAATGATTAGTACTCATTTTGAACACACGATAACACAATAATGCTTATTAATGAATAAGATTTAAATATTTTTTCTATGCAAATCTTTAAAATCATATGCTTTTAAATTGTCACTAAACATTGTAATATTTATATTTTTTGGGTTGCCGAAGTTTTTCTGTGTATTTGCTTTTCGGTCGACTTCTATAATTGAAACTTTATGTAAGAACAAATCTGCTCTTTAAATTTGGTTTATATCAAGTTCAATGTCCTGATCATTGATAAAGTATTTTGAGTTATAAAAAAACCTCCTCATCATCATCAATATTATTTATAATTGCTAGATTGACTCAGATTAATTAAACTGGTTTTTTGAAAATCATTTTAATTTTAACCCATTTATTTATGTAAACAATAAACCGGTCTAATATAAACAAAACAACGATATCACGATCGACGCTTTCACACTATTTACATCCAATATTCTCTAGTGAAAAACAGTTACCCGGAAATAATACACACCGAAATGAAAGTACGCTTACAATAACATTAAGGTAGAAGAATAAAATAGGGTAATAATATTAGGTAGAAGAATGGAATAAGGGTAATAACATTAATAGTACCTATTTTTCTGCACCAGATTGGAATTTCAACAATAAATGTCCCTTCAGTGATGCTTGATGTAATTATTTAAATATAAATTGATTTAGATTATTACACATGATCTTGGATGTATTTTTATGTCCCACCTAGGGGCATTATGTTTTTTTTCGGTCTGTGCGTGCATTTGTCAGTCCGTCCGTCTTTCCCGCTTCATGTTAAAGTTTTTGGTCAAGGTAGTTTTTGATAAAGTTGAAGTCCAATCAACTTGAAACTTAGTACACATGTTCCCTATGATATGATCTTTCGAATTTAAATGCCAAATTAGAGTTTTGACCCCAATTTCACGGTCCACTGAACATAGAAAATGATAGTGCAAGTGGGGCATGATTGAGTTAAGCTATTTCAAGTGATATTTTATAGTGTGTCTTTCTATGTTGTAATGTTACACTACTATTTCAGGTTGGGGTGAAGGTTGGTGCCTGTTAAAACGTTTAAACCCGCTGCATTTGTTTGCACCTGTTCTAAGTCAGGAACCTGTTTCAGTGGTTGTCGTTTGTTGATGTGGTTCTTAAGTGTTTCTCGTTTTTTATATAGATTAGACCGTTGGTTTTCCTGTTTGAATTGGTTTACACGTAATTTTGGGGCCCTTTATAGCTTGCTTTTCAGTGTGAGCCAAGGGTCGTGTTGAAGGTCGTACTTTGACCTATAATTGTTTACTTTTTACACATTGTGACTTGGATGGAGAGTTGTCTCATTGGCACTCATACCACATCTTCTTATTTCTGTATATTCTGTCTTTGTTTCTTATGAAATTAATTGTTTTTCAATACTGCATGTACTGTCGCTGCATATGAATTTGGATGTTAGATACTATTTATGCTATAACATATCAGGCTGACTACACAAGGTACAATACTGAATTATTACATGATGAAATCGCGACCTGTTATAACTCTTACCTTGGATAAGTTGATAAGTTATGTAGGGTCCTTATGACTTGGACTTATCGAGGTTCGAATGTAACAAGTTTCCTCTAATCTGCTATAAAAGTGAATGCATAGAAGGGTGGGGATCCCGCTAACATGTTTAACCCCGCCACATTCTGTATGTATGTGCCTGTCCCATGTCAGGAGCCTGTAATTCAGTGGTTGTCGTTTGTTTATGTGTTACATATTTGTTTTTCGTTCATTTTTTGTACATAAATTAGGCCGTAAGTTTTCTCGGTTGAATTGTTTTACATTGTCATTTCAGGGCCTTTTATAGCTGACTGTGCGGTATGGGCTTTGCTCATTGTTGAAGGCTTGTACGGTCACCTTAAGTTGTTAATTTCTGTGTCATTTGGTCTCTTGTGGAGAGTTGTCTCATTGGCAATCATACCACATCTTCTTTTTTATTTAGAAGCCAAGACAATGACGATTGTTGTTTATTCACAACTTATTTGGACTCTTGGAATCAGTGTTTGATGTTTTGTATAGACAAACCCATGTATATACTATTGTTGAAGACCATGAATTTGACCTCTAAATGAACTTTTTCGTGTCACTTGGTTTCTACTTTATTAATGTATACCCCACAATCTCTTTCATTAATGTAGGAACTAATTTTTGTCAGCAACCAAATATCAAAAACTTGTATAAACCTTTCTATTCCTTTATGTAGAAGATATGCACAATAATTTAATTAATATATTGTTTCCATAGGACATATGTTAATCAGAGGCTATGGTGGCTGACTTGTCTAAGGAGTTCATCAAAAGTGACCACCAGCCTGTCAACAGGGAGATTGTGAGCCTGAAACCTCTCCTTGGCAAGGTGTGTTTGAATTTGATCTTAATTGCCAAAGGTAGCTAGTTTTCTGCCAAAGCTGAGCGGTTCTTTCTGACTTCCTCCACCAATAAAAATTTGCCACAATGATATAGCTAGGTGTGCTGAAAGTGGCATCAAACACCAAAAATCTATTGATCAATCATATGTCAACTGAATTTCACTTTCATTGTAAAAATCAATAAATCATGACAAATTATATTTGTAAATTTCTTATATCAAGTGATTTACTAACACAAGATTACTTCTGACTTGTCTAAATAATGATGTACATGTATATATCATCCAGGCACAATCAGTACTATTAACAAAACATGTCCAGCATTGTTTTTTTCTTAATATTCCACCATGCAGACTTATTAAAAGGATGTTGAATCCTTTGTAACAACAGCTTCAGGTATCATCCAACAGAAACTTCACATAACACAAAGCATCTGTAAGCAAAGATTAAAAAACATAAAAGATAGGTACATTGTGTACATGTATAGCAATTAGATACAACACTGATGTAAATGTTGAAATTTATTCAAGGAGCATAACTGAATGTTATATGAAAAGTAAAATAACAAAAAATACCGAATTCCAAGGAAAATTCAAAACAGAAAGTCCCTTATCAAATGACAAAATCAAAATCTCAAACACATCAAACGAATGGAAAACAACTGTCATATTCATGACTTGGTACAGGCATTTCCTTATCTTTACTTGAAATCTTTGAAATCAAAATAATTGAAATATTTAAGAATTGTTTGCATTATCATTTAAATGGAATAAAGTTCAATTATGCAAGTCATAAAATGTTTGGCTTCTGCTGAAGAGAAACACCTTGATTATTTGAATGGCTAATTAATAGATGCTGAATATTAAGCAGAAAATACTATATGCTTATTCAGGACCATAACATATTATTGTGATATGATGATGATGGATAGCTGTTTAACACGCAGCGGCAAATTAATATGCATATTCAGGACAAGAACATGTTTATGTAATATGAATACTAACCCTGCTTTGTACTGGACCGACACACTGAGCCGGATTTTTAAAGTGCTAGTTCACAAGGTAACAGTCTGCAGGAAGACATGTCACCTTACCCAGACACATTGTTCTGACTCCAAGCCGACCAGTCTTTGCTCTTACTCCTTAATGCCGTGTGCTTAGTGGAGATACATCCCAAATACCAATTTTAAAGTCTGTTTGGCCCGACCTGGGTTCACACCCACGACCTCCCACACTCGAGGCGAACATGCTACCACGAGACCACTGAGGTGGTATATTGTGATATGAAGATACACTGCTTTGTACTAGACTTTTCTTCATAAATCATGCCGTTGGTTTTCTTGTTTGAATTATTTGTTTTATATTTTGTCATGTTGTGGCCTTTTATAGCTTGTAAGGTGATATGAATTTCGCTCATTGTTGAAGGCCTTACGACTGCTTTGAACTAGACTTTTCTTCATTAATCATGCTGTTGGTTTTCTTGTCTGAATTATTTGTCTTACATTTTGTCATGTTTGGGCTTCTTATGGCTAGCAATGCCATATAAATTTTGTTCATTGTTGAAGGCCTTTCGATGGCTTATACCATAAATCATTACATGTAGGTCATTTGGTCACTGGTGGATTGTTGTCTCATTGGCAATCATACCACATCTTCTTATTATTAAATTGACAAGCTAAGTTAGATCTTTAACATGCTATTTCACAAGGTCGTAACAACTTGTCACCCTACTCAGGCACATTATTCTGACTCAAAGCTGACAAGTTTTTTCTCTTCCTCTTCCAGTTTCCTGTTTTACATATCTGATAAAATCAGCAAACATACCATTCACTTTCTGTGTTGTATCTTTATTTCCACTATTCCACATCTTCATAAAATTATCACTATCAAACTTATGAACAGTATATGTATCTAAAAGATGTTTCTTAGCCCAATATCTTCAATTCTGTTAAGGTACATTGTATATTTATTTATATATATTCCATCAACATCCAAAGTTGATAACATAAACACATGACAAGTTTTAACAAAATATAAACAACTTTATTATAAGGAACAGAATGGGACATAGTATCAGAATCAATCTAATTAGAACATGATCTTTATTTCCTCTTGTTTATTGTTAAATTTGTAAAGTAAAGATCTAGAAACTTCTTTCTACTAATAAAATCATGGTACTGACATATAGTCTGAATATTAAAAACAACTTGAAGCATTACATAAATGTACTTGGTGGGGTTCATTATTTTGATGATTGTGTTTGTAAGTTTCCAATAACTCCCATGTTTACAGTTGGAAAGCAGGTCACGGTTTGACCCCAAGTCTATCAGCAACAATAGAGTCACGTGACCGTGAAAATTCAGTAAAACTACGGATGAGACAAACCTCACTTTTACTCACTAAAATACCACTGTCATGGTAAAAACTTATTGATCAAAATAATCTTCAATATACATAGTTTTAACTCGTCAAAACTTACACATCAACTCAAAGTCCTTTATTCTTTATTTTATCTTCAAACTTGAAGTTTGTGTGAAAATTGTCAAGGCTCCTGATGGAAAAATCTAAATATTTTCGAGGAAACTAAAAATGATGGGCTGAGTTTAAATTTAATAAAGCATCTCATTAAGACAAACACTCGATATGAATATCTAGGTAATACAGTTTTGGAAACGCAAACGTCAAGTTATGTTCAACACGAAGCGGTGGCTTTTTTGCCGATTTGTGCAAGTGGTTATCTCCCCTTGATATCACCAGTCAAAAATAAAAACCCACCAAAATGAATAAAAAGGAGTTTATTTTACAAAAATCAAGAAGAAAATAAAAGAAATTCGATTAACAACTATGTTATTATAATATTAAGAAGAGATACTTCCCTACTTTTCAGAGAAGGATTACAGGTAAAAATTAAAAGATAAAAAATTGGTAAAAATTAGATCTAGAAACCTAGCTGAATTGATATAAATTAGCTCTGGCTGATGACATTTACTTTCAGTTTGCAATTTTTATAATGGGATATGAGGTCACTCCTAATGGATTTTTTTAACTACTTCTAACAATGTGTAATGCAATAAAACATACTGTATACAATTTTAATAATCTTCTGAAAAAAAAATAGTGCTGACCATTTATATTTTATATTTTAATAAAGTGAGACCAAGAGTAAAAATTTAGTTTCTTCAAAGTAAAAAAGCCTTTTAACTCAAGCCTATGTTTCTTAGTTGAACAGTACAGTACTGCCTAGAAAATATCCTACAGAAAAAGGAAAAGTTTACCAAAAAAATGACAAAAGTTCTGTAAAAAAATAATGCTTAAAATTATAAGTGAAAGTGACATAATTTTGAATTTCAAAATCATTATTATTGTAAAATTCAATTATTTGATTAGCTAGCACAGTAGCCTTTGTCCAATTTCTCAGGGTATTTTATTGATTATGAAAGTGAAAAAAAAATGGGGCTTCTTCTCTTCAGGTTGCTGTATCTGCTGCTTTACATATTTATAAACAAAGTATTGTATATTTTACCTGAATAATTGGATATTAATCTCAGAAATGAACATTGGTATGACAAATTTTGTGCATTTTACTTTAATAATGATCAATGATGATTAAATTTTACAAGAATTTGCCATTTGAATAAATTCAATTTTGTAAGAACACATCTCTATGAATTAATTTCTTGTTTGACTTGAAAAGCTAGTGTTTGCTCTTATTAATGTAGCTTACTTAGTAAAGAGATAATTAATAAGCAAGGTTTTTAACTTAAAACATATAAATATAATTAACTCACCTTCATTTCATTTTTCATTTTTTTTCCTCCAGAAATTTTCTTTGCAATGCATTTTCTATTGCTATATTTGCTTCCAGTATAAATGAAATTTTCTGAGAACTATAGTTTCAAACGCCATAAAGAAGAACTTTGTTTGTTGTTTCACATGTCCAATGTGTAAATTTTCACAATGCACATGACCCTGACACATATTTTGTAAACGTTATATGACGTATGTTGAAAAAGAAAACAATATCACCGTCAATTTGTGTAGGGAATCAAAAAGGGTTTTAATTACTTTAAAATGGAAGTATCGTATGGAATTGTGAAAAACAACAATTTTTAATCACAATTTCATTCATATCTATAATAAAATCAGTATTTTAGAGTACTTTGGAAACAGGTACAATGAAAAGAAGTTGAACTTTACTGTTTTGAAGTAGAAACGCAGCCAAAACCAGGTACAAATTGACATGACTGGTGGTCATCAAAATTGATGTATCATAGTAAAAAATGATGGCTTCAAAATTGTGTAGAAATTTGAAATAGTTTACCCGGTTTCATTTAAGATTATTACCGTTCTCTTCCGTATTTGGATACGCAAACGTCAAGTTATGAAAAATCGATGTTTTTGGCGAACAAAAAAGATGGCTGAAATTTTTTAGAACGGACAGGATAAAGAAATAGTAATAACAAGCTATTTTTTATAATGTTTGTATGACGTATTGAATCTAAATTGGTCGCAAAACCTACAAATTTTAAAATTCAATTATAATAAAAGCATGACAAGTTGAAATAAATACTTTAAACGTCAATCTTTTAGCCGATTGATTTGGCGGACTTTTTGGCGTCACGGAAGACTGTAGCGCCACCTAATTAATTCCCCCTGCTATTGTTGCTGATAGCGCTTGACGACAACGGACGTTTCTAAGGACTTGCTTTCCAACTGTTTAATTGTCAATGATAGAGAAAAAGTCACTGACTATTTTCTGGGATTCCAATTCAATTGTAAAACATATTGAGATTAACTTTTTGTTGTAACTATTTGTTGTTTGTCTTATTCCCAGTGGCAAATATTTCATGCATATTAAGGGTGAACAAATATATTGAGAAAATATCATGGGGTTTATAAGTGAAAAAACTTAAGTTTCAACAAAGAAAACCACACCATATAATTGGTCAATTAAATTTTACCATAAAAAAGTAACCTCAAAGGGACCCCTTGTTTGAATTCACCAGATCACCATACATCAGAAGAAGAAAAGAAAAAAAACTAATGTTAATCAGATTATGCCTGGATACAATCCAGGTTAAGATTTTTTACATCTAAGGATACTGGTGGTGTAACAGAATATCAATATCATTTAACCATTCAACCATGTCTGCAAAAGCTGGTATTGTCTCTGTTGTCATGGTGACAAGGTCCAATGGTAAACCCTTTGATACAGTTGTACTATAGTCATACTGCTTGGAAATTCTATCACAGCAGTCTTTCAATGTGTTCCTAAAATATACAATTTTATTATACTATTATACTTATAAGAGGACTGTATAACAAGACTCATCTACATTGTAAGCTACTTGTTCAAAATGTTTTAAAACAATAAAATAACAAGAGAATATTAGATGCAAAATTATAAGTTACCAATTATTCAATGCTTGTTCTTGTTTTACAATCTGTCAAACATAAAATTGAATTATCTGATGATGGTACCCATTTATATTGCAACTGATTGCTTTTAACTTTATAAAGAGACGATTTAAAAAATGTCAGATGTTGAAATGAAAATGGTTCAAAAAAGTTACTTATCTGGCAAGTGGTTCCTTATAATCTTGATTGTTAGAAAAACTTTTAAAATAATATTAGGTGTTATTATTTTTTTTAAATAATCAAGTGAACATCATTAAATTAGGTGACTCAACCTTAGATTTACATGTATTCAATTTCATATGAGCAATTGTAACTCATACAGCTGTTTATTTTTTAAGCAGCTCACACAATAATCTAGATAGACATGAAAATCTGAAAGAAAAATTGGTTACCAGTAATGTTTAATAAATAAATGATTTCTGATGTAACTTATTTCTATTCTTATAAAAACTTACATGTAAATATGTAGTTTATTCAACTTTTTGTCAATCTCTAAAGATATCTTATGCAACAATTTTTCTCTCACATCTGGTAGCTGCAGTAACAGCACATCTATACCTGCCTCTTCACAACAAGTGTATTGCTCAGACAAATTTTGCAAAGAATCTATTTCTTCTTGACATTGTTTTAATGTTTCTTTCCAGGTTGTTTGACACTGCTGAAGTATTTTGTATGACTTCTGAAGTTGTTGGTATGCTGATTTCAATCTTGGATCAATGTTTTCCATTTTACATCATGCAAGGGTTGGTAAATGTAGTTTTTGCTGAAAATTTTAGTAAACATATTCTAATTTTAATAAATTAAAATGTAGGTCTATAATGGTTTACTTTTATAAATTTTGACTTGGATGGAGAGTTGTCTCATTGGCACTCATACCACATCTTCTTATATCTACAAATCAATGAAATGGGAACCAAATCTTACAATAAAACTTTAAAAACTAGATTTTTTTTAAGTCAACATATTACAGTCTCCAATAAAAGAGAAACAAGAAAAATGCTAAATCATAGCAAGTTGCTAATGAATTCAATCAGAATTTCATGATTGTGTGTGCTTAAAATGAGCACTTAAAATCTCTGAGGTTGTACTTAAACTTTAATTTTATCCCTGTTGTTGTTTTTTTTTTTTACCTTATAGTAAAAGTTAATGATGATTCATTATTTCATTTCTTTAGATGGGCAATAAAATGAGTTTTAGGTAAAAAAATAATACTATTTAAGTATACATATATCCCCTATTCTTACCTCCGCAGGGCTGCCAAGTCTCTCACAATTAGCGTGAGACTCACTCATTTTCATGCTTATCTGGCTTTGATCTTTTGTTTTTTCTGTTTGATTTTTACAATTATGGCCAAATCTCATGCATTTGCTTCATGAAAAGTAGGCAGTACTGCCTCTGTTGTTTTCATAGTTAAATATTAGTAGACACGGATCAAGGATATGATGTTAGGAGGGAGCACTCCTGAGAATTAGGAGTTATATGACCGTATTTTGACCAAAAAATTGCTGTATTTAAAGTTTACCTATATGTTATATATTATTTTCTTTTTCTTTTAAGGTTCATCATAACAAATCGACAAAAATGGCTGTATTTACATCTCAAAAACTACTCTGTGTACAGACTAACCTGTGCAGTTTGGAAAGTTTTAAGGCCAGGCATCCGCCAGATATATAAAATTTAAATGCATTTTGTGTTTCAGAAAGATAAAATCATGTTTGGATTTTGATTGGCATTTCTTTCCTTCCTGCTGTTGGTGTAAAAATAAACAAACACCTAAATTACATTTGATACTGTCCACAGTTACACACTTTAACTCACCTATTGTTGTGTAGATATTTTTTGTCCTTCCATTGTCCATGCCAATCAAGGACAATCAATTCAATGCAATACAGTTGTTCCCCGAGAGGGAGCATCTTAAAGATTTACCCAACTTAGTATATTTTTACACCTTCTGCAGGAACGAAAAAAAAAATGCCCATCAAAATCCAAAAAAGATTTTATCTTTTCAAAACACAAAATTCATTTAACTTTTACACATCTAGTGGATGCCAGGTCTTAAAAGTTTCAAAACTGTACAGGTATTAAAGTCTTACACAGAGTAGTTTTTTGAGGTGTAAATACAGCCATATTTGTCCATTTGTTATGATGAACCTTATTAAAGGGGAGGGGTGCTTAAATATAAAGAATAAGGAATTATGAAAAAAACACAGTATGGCAAACAAATGAATAATTCAGAAATGCAGACTCCCCAATTATATATGTATATTGGCTATTATTATTATTGCTATAATTTATTCTTCAAAAAATTCTCCCCTTTCATAAGCTATACTTTCCTCTAATTGTTACCTGATAATTGAGCCGAAAAAGGCTTTAAACTCTGTTCAAAATAATAGTTGTCACTCGGTTTTAACAGTTAAGTACCACTTTGGTGTTTTTTAGGATTCCCCGCTTCTGACATTTTGTAGTCATGTGACAATTCTTGATCATGTGATACAGTAAATGAATCAAAGTTATTTGTGCGTTTACTATGAATCAAATTTGTCCTGAAGAAAAAAGATATTTATAGATCGGAACTATTTTTGAACCAGCGCTAAATTTGATTGAACTGGTATGAAAAGCTTTGCAATACACATTCTTACTCTTGTTTACACTTATTTTCCTTTAACTTTCCAAAGATGAATATGATGTGCAAGGGAAAGAAATGCGTGTTTACACACAAATTACTCAGGGGCTAAGACTAATCCTTTTGTGATATGGTCGGGATGATCAGCTGATAAATGGCAATTCCCCACTCTTTTTATATTTTGAATAACAAAAGTACATATCATATCAAAATACACCTAAAGCTTTCATGTTCATAGACTATGCCCGAATTCCTCCAAAAGATCTCTCCAAACACTGTAGCTGAGTGATCCAGTCTGGAGGCTTAAAATGTGTATATTTGTGATAAAAATAATAAAATATTGATTTAAGTGTCGATCAAAGTCCTGTCACTGTAAATTTCTATAAGTGAACTAATCACATATTTGTTACGTAAACATTTGGTTTTGCATATGCAATAACTGCAGATTTGTCCTATTCAAATTCCTGCCAGGCAAATTTAATACCATACATTGTATATTATGCCCTGTTAGTGTTATGACGTCATAAGCTTTCGGAACAGCAATGACAGATGGGGAACGTTGATCAAAATGACTGGAATTTGTCAAAGAAATAAAGAACACTACAGTAGTGTCCGGTAATTCCGCCCTTCCAGTAAATCCGCCCACTACCATTTCTTCCATAATTGTCACTTCCGTGAATATTTCGTCTACTATTTTATTCATAAGAACTGTACTTATCATCACTGCATGTCAAATTTTAAAGAAAAATCCTTTATAATTATGAAAATATCTAGTGATATATATAATACAGTTCCTAAAGTTAACGATAATCAGTGTTCTCCCCAGGGCCTTAAAGGACCGCAGGCCCGCGATGTATAATTTTTTACCGTGGTGGTATCGTTCTTACCGCAATGTATTATATTTCTCCGTGGTGCTAAAATTTTTAGTTAAAAAATCGAAAATCGGTAAAGTTTTAAACGACTTGTTAAATCTTTTGCGTGCGGTATAAAATTCCAGGTGAAATTTGACCAGTTCAAACCAGTTCTTAACTTCAGGATTGTTTACACCAGGTGATCGATTTACCTTTATGAGGTTAACCTTTGTTGATTGGATTTAATCGATGTAATTAATACTTGTAAAATGATTCTTTTGTGTTTTAATTAAGAGATCATAACTTTATGATCCTAGATAACTATTTTATGGCTTCACTCACCACCTGACAAGTCGGCAAATACTTTGTACACAAACCGTGTTGACCCGATAGTTGTACACACGACGGTACACATTTTGTACATTATAAAGTTGGCTCATTCCGTATAATTGACCATTATACACTTCTCAATACTTATATAATAGTATTATATGTCTCTGATTAAACCATGGCCAAATTATCTTTAATTTTGACATAGTTTATATTGCATGATATTCCGGTTTCAAACTATCATAGTACATGTATCTGTCAACAAGTAATTCAAAGGGGACGGATCACATGACCAAGTTAGTTCACATAGAATACCCATTGTTATTTACAATTAACTGCAATCCAGAGCTCCAGATAAGAATTCACAAATTGGGGTTTTTACCCACCATTTTTTTATGTAATTGGGTGATAAAGTTTTTTAATTGCACTATCAATTCCAATTCACCCCTCAAGCAAATATCAAATTGGGTTTTTCACCACCAAGCTCCTTAATGTATTGGGTTTTTTCATCAACTCAATATTGAATATTTAGGCATGTTATAATCACATTATATCAACCCCAGATGTGTTTCCATCTTAAATGTGTTTCTTTCTGTGTAGAATATGTGCTAGCTGTTTTATTTGGTTTATTCACCAACGAGCAATTGTACATTTAATTTTTGTCCCGTTTTAAACGTTCTGTCAGTTTTGTATTTTCTCAAAACTTATGTAAACTGCAGCTGGTGTCACTAGTTGGACAGGAACTAATTGCCTGCCTAGATCCCATATGATCACCCTACAGTTTAATTATAGTTGGGGTAGGTGTGGCTAAGTGTTTAGATTTTTGTGTAATATATGTGAAATTTAGGTGCTGTAAGAAAGTTTTGCCAGTCCTTTCACCTATTTGCCAGATCTACTTTTTAATAAAAATAAAAAGTAGTTTCCAGATTTAAGATATACCCCAAAACCTTGAGGTTTATAGGGTGGTTTATAATGACGGAGACCACATTCAACTTAAATTTACAAATAATTCTGCATCATCAGGTAAATAAATGACAATGTTATACTGCACTTGCAAATAAGACAACTATCTTAAGCATCTAGAACAATTAGACCAAAACAAAGAAAGTGTCAAGCTGCATAGACGTAAAAAACGGATATGTGTATTCACTCATCAACTAAAATGAAAAAAATAATATATAAACTGTTTTAGTTTAATTCAATTTAATTAAATCTGGGTTAAATTGTCCCTTATCAGAACTTTTGGTTTCCGATGCTTTCAAACTACATATCATGTCATAATTGATTTGGCCTTTCACTTTTTCCAACTGATTTCGTTTTTGACGGAACCCCGTGTTTATCGCTCTAGCAATGTTCTCGTTATGGTACGCAAACACGCCCGTGCGTTCAATGGCCGCTTCCTAAAATCACTAGCTGAGTCTTGTTATCATCATAACTTTCCCTCAGCTATCAAAAAGAAGCCGAAAACATGCTTCTATTCAATATTTTTACCGGACATTTACTTTCGTTTTAAATCATTGTATGTTATGATAAATCCCGAGCAATTCGAAAAATATGACAGCATGTCACACGCTAATTCGATAAACGCCGAGAAGATCGAAATGTTTTCATAAACACGTGTACCTTTTGAGCAACGAAAAATTCCAACAGGGACCCATTACAGCTACTTGATGCAGGGCTCTATTTTTAGAACGAAAGGACATTTCCAATTATAAATATTATAAAAATAGATTTACGCGACGACTGTAATCAAGTAAGGGTAAATAACGCAAACGATAGCGAATAAAAGCGTTAAGAACCCATGTTTTTGGCATATAATTGGGTTTTCCTTTGAATTTATTGGGTTATTGAACCCTGCAATGGGCAATTGCATTGGGTTTTTAATTATTTTTATTGCGTGATCACGCAAATACGCAGCTTATCTGGAGCTCTGGCAATCTATTCTATTTTATAAATAAAATGCATGATTGTACCTTCAAACTGGATATCTATATCCATATGATAATTAATGAATAACAGAAGTGATTTGCAAATTTTATCCATAAGCACATGTTAAATCTATTTATATCTACTTCCTGTCATTTAGGCGGGAAAATAGGGAGACTTTGTTGTTGACATTGAATAGGGTTACTTATTGAACTAGGATAAATTTATAGATTTAGGAATTCCTTTTAAATGGATCATGACAAATAAAGATTTAGATTTCAGTGCAGAAGTAAGTCTGTATCTATGTTTGATTATCACTAAAGACAAGAAAAGTTAATATTTACATGAAATCTATGGCAAAATGTTTTGAAATTTAAGAAAATTTCTTTTTATTAAAATTTAAGATAGAAACTGGTTCAAATAATAAAACAATATTTGTTCTTGTTAATTTTATATCTCCTTATGACAGGAATCCTTTCACAATACAACATCTTTCATTCTAGAAATAAGAAAGTTTTTTTTAAATTGAACATTTTTGTTCCTTTTTGAATGATATTTTATACTTATTTATCATTGATTTTATAAAAGATTTAATAACTTTAAATTTAGATGAATATTTTGTAATGTATCATGTTTTATTTCTTTTTAAAAAATATTAAAGTATACATGTCAAACTGTTTATTGATTTACTTCTTTTTTACCAATAACTTTCAATGTCTACATAACACAGTACCACTGCATTAAAACAAAACAGGAAACATAAAAACTACAGTTACTAGAAATATATGTAAGCGACGCGACGCGACGTGACACAACTGATTGTATGAATCATTTCACCAAGCTGTCCACACGCGTTACCCTGGTGCTATCCAAAAATCCTGCGGAGAACACTGGATTATCATATTATTGCTTATTTTACAAAACTCATTTTTGACTTGAAATTATTTTTTAGATTCCCTGGAATCCCCTTATTAGTGGTCTATGAATAAATAGATCAGCTTTTCGTTTCTTAAATTTGTGATAAACTGGCCCTCCATACATATTAACTGCGCATGGGCGAATTTAGCAGACAAACACATTTCCGATAAAATCACGGATGACCCGCTTGTTTTGTTGATTTTAAAATTTATTTCAGATATTTTTTGGGAAATGTGATAAACTACTCAAAGTTGATTTGTCAGTGAATTGATTTGTATTAAATTTGATACAATTTGTATATAATTATGCAGAAATACATACAATCAAAGCCTTATGCGGACAGATTTACTGGACTGCATAGTAGTACTAAAGAAAATCTGACATTGACATTATAAATTATATTCAAGGACTATAAATTTGAACAGTTTGGGAACTTCGTAATAATGAATTAATTTCAATGGAGGACAAAAAAATATATGATTTTGCCAGACAGCACAATAAAATTCTTTTTAATTTTTTAAGCATGTATAATATGTGATAAATAGATTATAACTTGTCCTTTTCCATATGGGCCCTGGTGTGGAAAAGGACATGTTGTCAGGCCAAAAAAAAATATACATGTATGTCTGTTTACGGTTACCCGACCTACCCTACTTTTGAGCGCCGACCCTAAGTCATTTTATTTCCGTCGTAAAGTGAAAAATAAACTGAACTCGTGTCAAAAGTGAAGTTAGTGTTACAAATGATATAAATCAATTGCCTGATACATCCCAATGTTCACAATCGTGAATATGATAGCTGTTTTAAGGAAATTCGCAACTCGAAATAAACACTTTGCCACCATTTTTTTCCAAGGGAAATAATCCAATCATCAAAAATAGGGGTAAACTCGGCCCATGATCAACTCGGACCACGACAAGTCAAAACGGCATGACTCAAAATCATGTCACAAAAAATAAAATGAAAACATAAAATAAAATGGAAATACCGACCTACCTACCCTATTTTTTTAAAGTATGTAACCTTAAACAGACATATATTTTTTTTTGGCCTTATCTATAATTATCAAGTCAAATATGAAACATTACTCTTCAAAACACTAGGCCGCAATTAAAAATATCTTTGTTTCCCCTTACCCTACCCACCATTTTGGAAGTGGGTAGGTAGGTAGGCTTTATTTTTTTTTTTTTTTTAGAGAAAATCCCTGAAATATATCTAACACACAGGAAAACAGAGAAAAACAACAAATTGAACTTTATTGATACTAAAACAACATACTGTATAACGTATTATGCATGACTAGAAGACCTTACAATTTCAGACTAGAAAATGTTTGTAAATATATAAGTCTTTGTGACTTAGAGTAGACCACATATAAATTGAGACACGGTTCTATATTTTTCTTATATTTTTATTAATTCAATTGAAAATATAAAACCCCAACGAGACTGCTACCTAGTAACATTCGATGCAAAAAATATGTACACTTGTTTTTCATTTAAGGAAATACTAGAAGCCACAAACCGTGATCCAAGCGAGTATGGCTATGCCTATTAAGGCTTATTCTAGAAAACTATGAATTTATTTTTAACAATAAACTTTACCATGAAACCTTGGGTGTGCCTATGTGCGGATCAGCATTCGCTGAGTTAGCAGACCTTACAATGTTTGTTAATTCTTGAACACATTTTACAACGCTTTCAACACAGAGACACAAAATGATAATGATAGTTGAAGTTCACCTATGAATTTTCCTGTAATGAAACAATATTCTTAGACACTGTCATAATTATACAAAGGAGAAAGATTCTTTGATGAAGGCATAGTATGATACAAGACATTAAAACCAATATCAAACCAACTGAAACATATCAATATCTGCACAGACACAGCTCACACCCAAAAAGTGTTTTCATTGAAAGGATTTATCAAGGGTGAAGTATTGAGGTATCCCAGAAACACAAGCAGCAAAACTGATCTTAAAAAAAACAGTAAGAAGCTCAAACGAGGATATCAAATATCTGAAATCAACGATTTTTTTTTATCAAACACAAAATACAGAAAGGAAAAACTTGCTAACACATCGCCCAGCGAAATGGGAGCAACTGCTAGTAATGTTAACAAAATTCAACCCATCTATACAGAAACTAAAAATATAATAATAAAACACTGGCATCTTATTTCACAAAACCCTGAATGTGTGACCATATTTAATTATCAGCCCATTATAGCTTATAAAAGACATAAAAACTTACAAGAACTGTTATAAAAGCATTAGCTGGTATAGTCATCTCGACTTTTCACAACACAATATGATACTGAGCTCGAAAAAAATTAACTACTATTTTATCCAAAGACAACTGGTGTATGGTCCAATATAACATACGAAATGAAACAAAATAGCATAAATAGCACGCCAATATACAACTTATTGAGTCGACCACTGATGAAGGCGAACTCAGGGATTTACCACAAACACGGCAGAAACACCGGGCCTAACATTTAAGCTCAAGGGTGAGCTCGGATGCGCAATCGTAACTACTCGGCCATTCTCGCTACGTATTTTGTTATTGGAGGGGTAGCTAGAATGGCAGAGTAGTTACGATTGCTCGGATGCATTTATTTAAAACATTATTCCATTCCAATTTCAGTATCCTTGCATACGTTGTTTACCCTTTGCTGCAAACACCCGGGCGACAATGATTTCGCGGAATGTTGAAAATACGGACCATTCAAGAAAACGAAATTAAAAAACGAACTTTTGAGCGAAACGAGAAAAAAAAAAACAACAACGTGATTTTCGAAAAAATTATTTCAGTCAGCGGATTTTTAGTGGGTCGGTCGGGTAAGGGGAAACAAACTTAATTTTAATTTTGGCCCTACAATCACATAAAACAATATATTTAAACACATATTTGTACGTGAAGTACTGGTTTTAAACATCCAAAGCTGTAATAGACTCCAGGGTCACCATTGCTGGAGATTATGAAGTCCCATGTTCACTGAATATATGCATCAAAAACCAATATTACAGTTATTAATTGACTTAAAAAGAGTCATATTAATAAAATAATATATTATTAACTATATTTTATTAATTTTAGCACAAATAAACTAATTTAAAGCTTCTAGACTTGACCATACTCTGTTTAGTATCACCTGTCATTGCTAATCAGAAGAAATGAAGTTGAAGAATGATGACTACAAAATTGGATTAGGCAGCTTGTTTACCTATGCAATCATGTTTTGTATTTTTAACTTTACATATTGTAAATTTCTTTAAACAAATATTTCTTTTTCTTTATAGACCAATCTTGAATTGTTTTTTATATGAATAAGTTACCCCGGTTGACCCCGAGGTCAATTGGTGTAAATTTTGTCGTTAACAATCGGTTCTTACTGTGACAGGAAATGTACTGGAAAATGCACAAATTTGAAAGTAGTTTTATTGAAAAAGATGGTTACAGAAATCATAGTTTTTAAATAATTTCAATTTCAGACTACACAAATGAATTTTATTTTTACCATGTTTACAGGACATTCGGTCTGGTAAACAACCTAGCTTTACCAGACTAAATGAAATTTTACCAGACCAATTTTTTTTACATCTAATTGTATATTATCCGATAAAATACAAAAAAACTTATGACTTGTTGTGCCCTACTCCTCTCCAAAAATGCACAAAAACGAAATCATGTCTTTACTAATCATTTAAGTGTAATTTCATGGACAATGAAAATCTCATTTGTCTGTTATCTTCAGAACACTGCTCATTTACAAGCCCCCAAGGGGCAATTTTTGAAGGCCTTGCGCAAATACTTAAGATCTTTGCGCAATCAGTTTCTTTGTTGAATTAATGAGATGAAACATTGAACTCTAATCAAAAATTATGAGCTAACCTGAAAAAATTGTTAAAGGCATGTTTTTACATCTCAAAACTTGAGAACTTTGTGGGATTGTAAAAAAAAATTACTTATACAAGTAAATTTTTGAGAAAATTAAGGGGAGATTATTCAAACATTATAATTAACTTATATAAGTATATTTTATTTACTTCTTCAAGTAAATAAAGATTACTTGTACAAGAAGTACCCCTGACTGGTGATAAAGAAAAGTAATCATGGTAATGTCACATTTTATTGGATTTTGACATGAAAATTATTTGTGAACTAAAAATAATTTAGAGTTTCTGTTTAAAATATTTTTTGTTTCTTCTTTCTTTTTCATATATCTTTTGGTTTTCAAATCTAGTGTTTATATTTCATAGCTGTATTTTGTGACCTGCTTGGATTTTTTAAAATTTATTTATTGTATTTGATCGGAAAACCCGGAATTAGCCTTATCCGTTCCCAGAATCTGATCCGGTATTGTCTACATTTCCGGCAAACTCCCCGGCAGTTTCCAGCTCTGATCCGCATACTACTCTACACTGATGGAGTAAAGGAAAATAGTTCCGGAACGGAAACGATCACTGTACGGAGTTTGCATTTCCGGTTGATGGCAGCCATTGTTGTTTTTGTCAGTCAAATATGTTTTTACTCGAATTTACACATTACTTGTTGGCGATTTTCGGCATAAAGCTAGCGGTTGAAAAAAATAAACATCGCTGTCATGAATAATAAAGATGAAAATTATTTTTTTAAATCGTTTGGGAATTTTGCTAGAATGCTAGAAAAATCCATGAAAAGCAACACAGGACATTCGGACCGGAATTCAACAAAATTTTACCAGACCGATTCATTATTCACCGGATTTGTCCGACGTATTTCGTGTAGTCTGCAATTTTTATTTTTGTAAATCATGTACCCACAAATACACTTTATTTATTTACTTATTAGAAGAAAGATAAGTGCCAAGATAAGAACACATTTCAGTTGAAGCAAAAATTCTTTTTTATATACTGAGTATAACACATGAGTTTATTTTAAATAGGATGATTAATGTTATGAAAACTGAGTATTGCAACCTACAGGGGTTCAAATTAGTGTGGGTCCAAGGTGCAGGACCTGTTTTTTTCTAGGATAGGAATTTTCATTTTTGAATTACAAAAGTCAAGGATCTACCATTCTTTACACTGATGCTTAATACACGACCATTCATTTCTTATGGAGGACCCTTCACCTAAAATTTCAAATCGTCCTGGACCTTTCATTATTTAAAGCAAATTTGAACCCCTGAACCTAAGAGAGGGGTAGCATCTCAAACATGTAAAAAAAAATTTACCCATAATATTTATTACCCTTCTGCAGGGGTGCAAAAAATAGTTTTTGCTTTGCTGTTTTGATGAGACTGTTTCTGCACCTCCTTCAATTCAAAATGATTTACTGTTGATTCATTATTATTCGTTGGATACCAATATTTGTGGATAAAGGTTAACCTCAAATATTAATCATTGTGAATGTTCAACCGAGTTCAAATTTGCTATAGGCTTGTATGCAGACTTTGGTAAATCCATGAAATAAAAAAATGCAAGAAAATACAATTTTTCCTTGATCCATGAAAATAAACGAATCGACAGTAATTGCAGTTCATTATTCAGGATAGCATAGAAAAAAGCAAAAGTTTGTCTTAATAAGTTCAAGTAATTCAGAATTGATTCAAAGCGAAGATGTTGAAAGATATCTGTATGTTTTGTCCTTGCAGATGTTCTCAATGTAACATGTATAGTGCATTATATAAATGAAAATAAATTTGAATTTTTTTGTTGATGTTGAATTACATAACCAAAATAGAAAGATCAAATATTAATACAAATTAAGTGGTAAAGGAAATTACAAAAATGCATTATTTTTTCAGGAAGAAAAAGTATGCCAAGAAAAAAGGCCAAGGCATCAACACGTGCCAAACCAGTGTTACCAGACGGAAATGAAGGGGATACGCTATCTGAACAAGAGAAGCAAGAAAAACTAGATGCATTTCTAGAAGATCTTGATAGTAAAGGTAGAAATAAGAAATGTTGATAGTATATGATAAAGAAGTTTGATCCTCAACTTTGGGCATCCCATCTACATGATTGATTGATGTTTGTTTTACTTCCAGTGGCAAATATTTCATGCATGTTTAAGAGGATAGCAAGATAATATTACAATCAGTTTTAAAGACAATAAACAATTAAAAAAAGCTTGAAATTTGCTTTATTTCACTTTAAACTCTTTAAAAATACCAGGCTTATAATGTGGAATGCCAGGAGCGTGTATTGTCTCCATAATACTCATCAATGGTGCTCAAATTAAGACAATTACAAAGCCACAATATGATAATAAAATATTACGTAGCTGAAGAGCATTAATAACCAATGGCTGTGATTTAATGTAAATATACTCTTTAACCTATAACTTAAATTTTACTGTTTTCTTTATAAAATATTACTTATCGTTTATTTGTTTTGCACATCAAGATTGGTTGATTGATTGATTGATTGGTGTTTAAAGCCACTTTCAACACTATTGTGCTATTTCATGGCGGTTAGTTTTTATTGGTGGAGGAAACCAGAGTGCCCCGAGAAACCCTCCGACCTTGGGTAAGAAAACTGACAATCCTAGTCAATTTAGATTGGAGTAGAGTGCACCTACCACGTGCGATATACTACTCACAATCTCAGTGTTGACTGGCTAGTGATACAGTAGTTCGACTACTTAGACCACTGGGCCACCGAGGCCCCTTCACATCAAGAACATCATTCATGTCTTTTGTAGTTTCTTTATAAACACAACAGAGTATATATTTAGTTGTAAGCCATTTTAAGAATGCTTAACAAATTATGAAATGAATATTTGGTCATTAGTGGTATCTTTCTGATCAATAGTACATACTGGACATTAAACAAGCAACAATCAATCAATCAATACTACACTTTAGGAAACAATCATGATAAGGGACCTTTATAAGAGTGGTCTAAAAAGCTAGAATGATATTCATGTGCAGATCTCTTCCATTCATGTTTTAATATAACCATTATAAATTATATTTATATATTTATAACCATTATAGAAAGTTATATAATCAATCCACAATCTTGCTGTATTTATTTGCAAAAAAGCGAAATGCACACAATCATTTGTGTAGCTGATATCATAGAGTTTCAATCACTGGTTAAATGTTTGTAACTGCAGCATTCTGGTATCATCAACCATTGAAACTGTAATTGTACAAATTTGTAGAATAAGTTACTACAGTATACATGTATCTGCATAGTCCATAACTAAAACATAGGACATGGTCTTAAATAAGTGTTTTTACCTAAAAGTACATTAGCAGAAATGAATTTTGAAGTATTCCCTTTATGTGTTTTGTATGGTATTAAACAACAATGTTAATTATATAAAGCAATACAATATCAAATTTTAAACATATGTGGTACACATATATATATATGTAAAAAATATTTCATCACTTGACTGAACAGATAGATGCATGCATCAATCATTAATAAATTTTTGCTGAATTTTGAATTGAATTGTGATATTCTGGTTTCTATGATAATAATTACATGTTTATAGTTTATACATATTAATTATCAAACTATTATTTTGCAGTAATTGAAAAGAAGTTAAAATTGGAAAAACTTATACATAGTGTTTTGAACCACATAGAGGCATGTTATACACAGGAAATAAAGAGATTACCTTTGGTTTGTATAATTTGATATGGATATGTTTGTAGCTTAATATTTTTATATGATTTTCATGATTAGGAATTCTTTACCATAGTAAAGAATTCCTAATCATGAAAATCATATAAAATTATTAGTAATAATTACTTCTTTGGGTGATTAGTGATTTTTGTTTATTTTTTTATAGACCATGTTTACTGGACTACCTTTTTAGGCAGTTAAAACAGAATTACAGCTTGAATTCATGTTAAACAATCAAAGCATGTAAACATTTAATATTTATAATCCAAAGTTGAAAAAACAAAATGAGACAAAAATTACAAGGATATAAAATTAACAAAAAGATGGAGAAGGTACCAAGGGAGTCAATTAAAAGCTGTTATGTTGAAGAAAAACAGATGCCACCAAGGCAAAAAAATCAAAATAACAAAAAGAGAAACAACAGTCCTTGAAACACCAAAACAAAACCAATGATTGAGTAACACTAGCTCCACCAAAAAAGAGGCAAACTCAGGTGCTATGAAATGTTGAGCATTCCTTCTCCACTATATATATAGATATAAGAAGATGTGGTATGAGTGCCAATGAGACAACTCTCAATCCAAGTCAAAATTTATAAAAGTAAACCATTATAGGTCAAAGTACGGTCTTCAACACGGACCCTTGGCTCACACCGAACAGCAAGCTATAAAGGGCCCCAAAAATTACTAGTGTAAAACCATTCAAACGGGAAAACCAACGGTCTAATATATATAAAAAACGAGAAACACTTATGAACCACATCAACAAAGGACAACTACTGAACATCAGATTTATATATATTTAGTGGCACCCATCTTTTACTTAAGGCATGTAAAAAGTAAATTAACAAAAATATCGAACTCAAAGGAAAATTCAAATCGGAAAGTCCCTTATCAAATGGCAAAATCAAAAGCTCAAACACATCAAACAAATGGAAAAAAACTATCATATTCCTGACTTGGTAGAGGCATTTCATCATGTAGAAAATGGTGGATTAAACCTGGTTTTATAGCAAGACAAAACATCTGACTGGTCACAGACTGATGTCACAATTAAGAAAACAAGGAAATGATATATATATAAAAAGCTGAATAATAAGTTCAGTCTAGGTGGCTGAGTGGTCTAGAGTGATGGACACAGTGCGGGCAGTGTTGTCTCGATATCCCAATAGCATGAGTTTGAATCCTGGCGAGGGAAGAACAAAAATTCTGCAAATTTGCAGATTTTACATTGTTGTGCTGATATTTAGAGTAGTTATATATATATACATATACATACTGGAAATAGGGGTTAAATAATATAATGATTTTCACACAAAAACAGAAAACAGGAATTTTTTCTTTGTGGTATGTTCCTTGTCAAATACTCAAAAAAAACATGATAAGGAAAAATTTTAATGACATCATCAGAATTTCAGTCGTTTTTCTACTTTTTCCTTTTTGAACTGATATAATCTATGACATGAAATGATTCGTTTTAGAGATAACCATGTTTAGGCTCTATTTCATGCATTTTACTACTAACACTGCTTCACAACACTTGGGGTAAACTTTTGAGGAAGATCCTGTCTACCCATGATGAAAACCATTGATTTTTCATTGTATTATAAAAACCATAAAATAGACTAAATAACATCTCTTTTCTCAAGGGATAGATCTACTTAATATTTTTAAAACTGAACATCTTAACGTTAATATTTAAGTGCAATTTATTTTGTTAACTTTTTATCTGAAAAAATTAAACTATTTTATTTAACTGTTTGGTTTCTGCATAGAATTACTTTAAACATTTATTTCTAGTTATCCATTTCTATGAATTGACCTCTGATCAGATTTTTCATTCTTTTGTTAGGGGTTAGTTTATAGTTTAGCTTGTTGGTTTTAAGACATGTTTTAAAATGCATAATGAAATTACATTTAATGAAGTCTTACTGTTATATTTTCAGACCATAAGACAGATGAAACTCAGTGATTTCATAGGTTTGTATTTAAATGTCAACACAGTTGAGCCTCCTCATGGGGTTTTTGATTATGTGATTACTTGGCCGTTTTTATAGTGATTAAATGATTACCAGACCAAATATTTCATGATTATTTGATTATTTGATAATCTAGGACTATATTTTTGATTATTGGATTATCTTGTTTAAAAAATTAATAAATGATTATGTGATTATATTCACCAAAAAATTGTGATTATGTGATTACTTGGACACCCCTATGAGGGGCCTCACAGTTAGAACCTGCAGAAAAACACAATTGCAAACACCATAATTTAAGTAAATTTGAAAATTAAATTGTTTTTTAGATAATATGGAAAAAAAACTCAAATTCTATGTGATTAGGATTGAACACTTAAACAATTTAGGACCACTGTCGGATATATTTTGCAAGGACTAGTAAAATTGTACCCGTAGTGGCCTGATGACTAGTATTTAATTGTGTTGCAGCATTTATAGAACAACTGTCACTTGCTTTAAATAAAAACAGTAATGTCTTTAATATAGATATTGATAGAAAATCAATATCAAAAGCAAAGTTACTCAAAAATAGTAGTAGTATTAAAATCATTGGCATTGTAAAAACCTATCTACTTTCCTTTCGTCACCAAAAAATTAACTTTTAAAGGAAGTTAATTTTTCACATTAAATTTTGCAGGTTCACTTAGAAATATGACCAGAGACTGAAACTGGCATTTTTCAGATTCTTGTACAAAATGAGCAACATTTAGAAATTAAAGCAGACAAGTTAGCTTCAATTAAAAAAAATGTGTCAAGAGTAGGGTGACTTGTCCTCCTGGGCATTGATGATAATCTGGTGTGCTAGCACTTTGAAAACCAGTCTTATCATGACAGTCTGATACAAAACATGTGAACACATGACATCAAATAATGTATATATGACAATTGCTGTTTATCTTTTTATTAATAGCCTTAGGAGGAACAGTAGATGCAGTATTGAATAATCCAGATATATGTGAAGCTGATGATGATTTTGATCCAGCACAGATGAAATGTGTTTCTACAGTAAAAAGAGCATGTGCAAAGTAAATTAAAATTTCATGTAGAGTTTAATGCATGAAACTGTTTATATTAATGACAGCTTAGGGATGTGTTATTAAAAAATATACATGGTACAGTTTGACCCTTTTGAAATGGTGTAACCATCTATAGATATAAGAATATGAAGATGTGTTATGGTTGGCAATGAGACAAACTATATACTAGGTACCAAATGATATAGATGTTAGCAAGTTTAGGTCACCATACAGCCATCAATAATGAGCGAAATCTGTAATAATAATAGCTTTTTTAAAAGAGGCTAAAACATGGCAAAATGTAAAAAAAATCAAAAGATGAAACCAATGGCCTGATTTATGTATGAAACCATATACAGAAGCAGTATTAGAATTTCTCTTACACTTTAACTGTACATGAACACCAACCTATAGATGAAATTTCAAAGTGCCTTCTATTGGTCCTATGTAGGACTTTATGGAACAGCCCTTACCTTTATCACAATAAATTACAGCTTGAAAACAAATGTATATGGAAATTTTCAGAAATATGAAATTGAAGTTATAATCATATTCAAATTAAACACAATAATGAAAACAATAAAATAAAGATGAGGAACCACTATTGTAAATGGGAAACATTGACATATTAATAAATGTATCTAATGAAACAGAATATATGTACAGTTACATATTTACATTTCTTCTTCAATTTAAACTTCATTTCCTGAGTGTATCCAAAATCCGTCTGTATTCCAAGGAAGAGAGGAAACTTATTTATTGAGCTTTAGACTTCCTATATGTATGTCAGAACAAAGACAACATATGTAAATCACTGACACTCAAGGTTATAGAAACCTGGCATGAATATAACCAAGTGAAAATAATTGTTCAGATTTTTCCCACCTAACAATAATTGATTTTATTATACATTGTAGTTTTATAGTGTTATATAGTTAAAAGGTTAAAAACAAATTGAAAAGTTACTGTTGTATTTTGATGAAACTGTATATGATTGTAGTGGGATCATGTTTTCTGGTTGGTGTTTCTGTTTGTTTGTCTGTCCCATTTCAAGTGAAAGGTTTTAGTTAAGTAGTTTATCATAAAGTTGTGGTCACATCAATATTAAACTTATTACCGGTACATATTTTTATGCCCCACCTAGAAACATTATGTTTTTGGTCTGTGTGTCCGTCCGTTCGTCCATCCATCTGTCCCGCTTCAGGTTAAAGTTTTTGGTCAAAGTAGTTTTTGATGAAGTTGACGTCCAGTCAACTTGAAACTTAGTACACATGTTCCCTATGATATGATCTTTCTAATTTTAATGCCAAATTAGAGTTTGACCCAAATTTCAAGGTCCACTGAACATAGAAAATGATAGTGTGAGTGGGGCATCTGTGTACTATGAACACATTCTTGTTTTTAATATGTCAAATTATTGTTTTGATCCAGATTTTGAATTTCACTGAACACTAAAATGAGATTTTACAAGTGGGGCATAGTGTCCTTTGAACTCATATCATTTGCTTTTTATTATTTAGATCGAGACTCAATTCTATTAGAATGTATGATACTATATCAGAGGAAGGCCCAGCAGAAAATAGTATGATGGCATCAACAAAGGTAAGGCAGTGTTCCCGCCTGCCCTAAATAGAAGGGCGGCCCGCCCTTGGTGCCCTTACCCTCGCCCTTCTGCCCTCCAAAGTAAAAGAATGCACCCCTCTGCCTTTTCAAAAAAAAAAATTTCCAAATGTCATGCCTACTGGCATTTCCGGTAAAATTGTTACCTGATTGTGTAACACTAATTAACTGACAATGGGATTAAGTTAAATACCTAGTGCTTTGGCAGTTTTATTACCTTTGTTAATGATTGTTTACTGCTAATTAGTGGATTTAAGATAATTGAACAAATACTAGATATTTAATACAGAATGAAATGTCCACATGCATGTTATCCATTTGTAATGTTTATGTGCAGCATGTACACCTGAAAAAATTTATTTCAGTAGGCTTAACATAAAAAATAAAATCTTAAACAATTTTAAAGGCATACATAGTTTTGACTTAATTGGTAAAAAATGTTTTGTTTCATAACCATGAGAATGAAATTTAAAGAGGAATCAAAGAAATTTGTACTTTGAACATAACAAGATTCACTTCCTGTTTTTAATACTTGTATTTTATAATCCTCCTGACATAGGAGCACTCAACAAATTTATTATTAACAATGATGGAGAAAAAAGTAACTGTTTATACCTTCTGCAATATATTATTGCATCAATATAAAATATGATCATCTCCTGTCTCACTTGTTATATTTATAAAACTCCTTACTGAGGAGCACTTTGATATGCACTTAAAAATACTTTTTTGTAACAATTCAAATGATAATAAATAACTCTCAATAATATATATACTATATGTTTGAACAAGTAATTTAAATGTAGATAATTTAATTACATTCAACATTCAATTTTGCATGTATAACTCCATCTTTCAAAACTACTTGTTTATTTTGGTATAAGTTATAAAACATTGAAATTTCTGATGATTATTTTCCATACCAAATGTACAAGTTTGTTTAGATTAACATCAAAATGATGTGCTTTGCTTCATGGTATGATAATTTGATGAAAAAAAATTCTTACTGGAACCAACATCAATAACACATTAATTTCTGAATATGGTTTAAATACAACTAATGTTCTCCAGCTGAGCCTAGCAATATTCAAGGTAATTTATACACTGTCCATTATTGCCCTTAAAATCTTGGTTATAACGCTAAAGTGCCCTTTCAGACAACTAGCACCCTTCTGCCCTGAGATTCAAGCTGGAACACTGGGTAAGGTCTTATCTTTTTAGAAAGTCAATGTGCCAGGATAGGTACATTTTAAGTCAACTAGAAAAGACAATAACTAAGAAAATATTTCAGCTGCTTATAGATAAAAGGATTGATTGATTGATTGATGGTTGCTTAATGTCCAGTGGCAAATATTTCATGCATCTTCAGGAAGAGAACAAATTAAAAATAAATACAATAGGTAGGTCCTGTAATAGAGGCAGTCTGGGATGAAGGTCGGGAGAAATTTAGACTACCACTAGAAAATGAGGGTAAATTGGATAGGGACAGAATTTTACCATGCAACAGGCCACCTACGGACCTCTCAAGGGTTCTTATCGAGCAGAGAGCATGGCACTCTCTCTACACCAGGCATCGGATTTAACGTCCCAATTCTGACAGGACGTGGCTGCATACTTGTACATCCTGCACAGCCAAACAGACACCCCACTTTGGCAAGGGTTCTACTGCTGGTCGGAAGAAGACCTGTAGTGACCATATTTCTATTCCCCAGTCACCCTTGGGGAGTAGATAAAAGGAGATGTTGGATATACATCAATGAAACAGCAACTAAATGACTCAAAATAACCCAAAAAACATCTACAGGTTAACATAAGATCTAAGTGTCCATTTATTTTGTCAGGCTCTGAGTCGAGGCTGGAAATGAAAGGAATACATTATTTCACCGTTGAAGACAACCCAGAAGCAATTGTCAAAGACACACTCTTCCTTAATTTTAATTTTATCAATGTGTAAAATTGGTGGATGTACTCATGGATTATGTTTGTTAGTCTATCCCCATATAAGATATTTTTTTTATTTTTTGTAATTCATTTTTTCCACTCACAAGAGAGAAAAACAATAGGGACAAATTGCTTATATAAAACAACTCTTTTGATAGGCTGTATGTGTGTAAAGTAATGAAAGTATCCTACTTTTGGAAATTTACAACAGGTCAAAACATAATCTCTATGATTATTATTTTAATTAATTGCTGATAGTACAGAAATGATAATCATTCTGCAACATAAAGTTTTCGATTAACAAGGGAAATAAATCACTGAAAGTATCAGCAATGACAATAACTCTACACAATATAGTTTTCCATTAACAAGGGAGACAAATCATTGAAAGTGTCAATAATGATAATCATTCTACAAAATATAGTTTTCCATGAACAAGGGAGACAAATCACTGAATGTGTCAATAAAAATAATCATTCGACAAAATATTGTTTTCCATGAACAAGGGAGACAAATCACTTAAAGCGTCAATAATGATAATAATTCTTCAAAATATAGTTTTCCATTAAAAAAGGAGACAAATCACTGAAAGTGTCGATAATGATAATCATCCTACAAAATATAATTTTCCATTAACATGGGCAACACAAGCATGCAGATGTCAGTTTAGTTTTGAAACAAAGGTGGGTTCCACAGAGGAATTTCAAAAATAAAAATGAATAATTTTTACATCATGATGTAGTGCATCACAGAGTATTAATTGAATGAGAAATAATTATTTGTTTATTAACAGATAAGTAATGTTGTCTTTTCAATAGTTCATGTTTAGTTGAATGTAATACTATTTTTGGTAGAAAAAGAATGGAGTAAAGAAGGCGAGGAAAGGAAAGAACAGTAGCATTCTAGCCAACATATCTAATACCATGCCTCCACCAAGTATGCCTCCACCTCCATCCTCAGCGTATAGAAATGGGTATGGTAGAATTGAAAGTCACTTTGATTTTCCTTTTTTTTTAACTGTAACGTTTTCTGAATTTGATAGTAATTAAAAAATATCCGCTAAATACACAACCTATTTTTTAAAATTGGAAATGATATTGAGCAAAAATATGATATTTGGTGAACCCATTTGTTTGTTCTTTCTTCAAAATGTTTACTAATGATAAATGCTTTCATTACCCTTTAGTCCTCAGTTTGTGTGCGTGTCTTTGACACTACAATCAACTTTAGTATTTTGTACTGTTGTTTGCTGTTCGGGGTGTTGAAGACCGTACTTTGACCTATAATGGTTTACTTTTATAAATTTTGACTTGGATGGAGGGTTGTCTCATTGGCACTCATACCACATCTTCTTATATCTCTTTAGTTTATTCAGCAGAGCTGATATTAACAGAAATTATTAAAGGATTTTTATATTATTTTTGGGCCATTTTTGCTATCATGTATAATTACTATACTTCATGTTTAAATGCTAGTTTTGTATTGGTTTAAGAGAGGGTGACATTCTGATCTAACACATGGTTCAGCAGGTAACAAATTTCTGAATGTTACCCTCTTGTTCAGAGCAATAAGTTATCAATGATTTAAAAGATAATTAGTTACATGTAATTCTAAATATATAATATAAAAGATGATCTGTTGATAATAACAATCCAACATACTGTATCATTCAGTATAGAATTACATTATATGGACATGTCATATAATTCTGTAAATTTGATTTGCTGAGGCATTCCCAATAAAATGCAAAATATGACTGGATGTGCTCTCTATGACAACATTAAAACAATTCATTGAAGAACAAACCAAAGGTTTGATTTATATCGTTGTTTAATGTTTTTAGCATACAATTGTAATTGTAGGTTTGTAAAAGCTTTATTTGCACATGTTTAAGGAATAAAGTACCTCAGTGCATCACACAAAATGTTTTTTGGTCAACACTTTCAAACCCAAATAAGTTACAAAAAGAAGCATTCAATTCTTAGATAAATTAGATAATGCATAGGTGAGATGGTGCTAGAGTAGGTAGGTACCTCTGATAAACATTGTCTTGGTTGACATTGTTTTTTTTTTTTGGGTAACAGTCTACCCTATCACCCTCTCAGCTATGTGTTCATGTTATTTGTATAAAGGAAAATATAGGATATTGTATACACAAAATCACTATGCACACAAAAGTAAAAACCAAAAGCATAGGAATATTACTTTTATTGCTGTTCTTCATCAAAATACACTTTATTGAGACATAGATGCCTTCATTATTAAAAAAATCAGCAGCAGACTGAGTTCAAAGACAGTGATATTGAGTAACCATCAATGAGACGGCAACCCAGTTACAAAAAGAAATAAAAAAATGAACTAGTTCCTACAAATAGCAGACACCAAATTACATTATTGTAAACCAATTAATGTTCGCGGGTAGGGAAATAACGTGAAATTGTAAAAATTAGATTTTTTCCTATTTAACTTCATCAAATAAATTAGAAAATCATGAAATTAAATAGCCGCGAAGTGGACTAGAAAGGGCTTAACGTGAAATCAGCATCCACGAAAATAAGTTGGTTTACAGTATTTTGTGCTTAAGTAAATGATTTTGAGAATATTTTGTACTACTATATTGAGAATTTTTTGTTTTGCTATAGGTATTTTACACCTGTGAATAGAGGTTTAGCAGCTGCAGGATGGGATACCCCTATGATCACCCCCAAATTTGACCCTAGGTAAGTAAACAAGCAGGGAAAATCTATAGAAAAGAGCATTTCAAAACTGACTGTATGGGGAAAAAATAGATAACTATAAATTGAAAAATTATTCAGTGATTAAGGTATATTTTCAATATAACATTTAAAAAAGAGATCAATGCTTCTCAGACAAAATTTATACTTAGAAAAATCAGTAAAAATAAAATAGATATGTGTGGTTCAAATAACATGAAAGGTTTACTGGTTTTATTTCATGGAGAAATTGATTTAACAAATAAATCTCTTCCTTTTGTTTAGAAGCTATATATTTATTAAGTATAGCCATAATAGTGTTCTTTTATTTTTAGATTACCTGTTACCCCAACTCAGATGAGAGATGCTAGACCAGGGGAACTGTACATGTCATTAGGTGGTAGTCCTATTAGAGATCCAGTATCCATGATGCAGGTAAATGTTATAAAGGGCAGTGTTCAAGCTATGTTCTAAAGGGCAGTGTTCAAGCTATGTTCTAAAGGGCAGTGTTCAAACTGTGTTATAAAGGGCAGTGTTCAAGCTATGTTATAAAGGGCAGTGTTCAAGTTATGTTATAAAGGGCAGTGACCAAGCTATGTTATAAAAGAGAGTGTTCAAGCTATTTATAAGGGCTTTACAGTGTGATTTCACAGAACAGACAAAATATTGTTTTCTGGATGTTATCTTTTGAACCATATGTCCATCTTAGGTCAAAGGTCAAAGTGACAGCAGCAAACGATAGACTAAAATTAGGGCAAAATTTGGTTTCCAAATGAGATCTTCGAACTAAAGCTTAGCTTGAAATGTTCCTTTGGAAGGACAAGACCCTTTTCATTTTGGGGTCTGTAGGTAGATTGTAACCATCATAGTACCTCTATATAAATTGAGAATTTTGAGAAAATATTGTTTCCAGACAGCCAGAACTCTTATCTTTACAAATATTCACCAGTTCAAGAATCAAGGTCACATCAGCAATTCATACACTGGTATTTTGTCACAGAGGAAACATTTCAAACTTTTAAATAGTTATTATTGAAATTAGAATATGTCGTCTTTTTCAAGAGCATGTGCATAAAGAGTGTTTTTGATGTTTTAGAAAGTTCTGAATAAGTAAGTTACTACTAAAAAAATGTTGTACAATGTTGACAATGAGACAACTATACACCAGAGACCAAATGATGTAGATGTATGCAACTATAGGTCACTGTACAAAAAGGAGCAAAACCCATATACCATAGTATGTTTTAAATGGCCCAAAATAACATAATATTTTGGAAATTCCCTAAAATAGAATTGAATTAAACTACTTGAGAAGAAAACTTATTTCCATTGGTTGTTGGATGTGTACTGATTGTGATATTTTAGTCTTAGATACATGATTTTTTTTTTTTGGTTGTTGTTGGCTTTGAACTAGCTTTCAGTACTCTCAGATCTTTACTTAGTGTGTATTTTTTTGTGGGATGTATAGATATGCTGCCACATCCTGTCTGGTTTTCATTAGATGTTTTCTGCTTTGTATGGATCTGATGAGTTAAGCCTTTTTCAACTGATTTTTATACGAACGCAAAAAAAATTTTGTGGTCGTATATTGGTATGACGTTGGCGTCGTTGTCGTCATCGTCGTCGTCCGAAGACACATTGGTTTTCGCACTCTAACTTTAGTTTAAGTGAATGGATCTCTATGAAATTTTACCACAGAAGGAAGGTTGGGATTGATTTTGGGGGTTATGGTACCAACAGTAAAGGAATTAGGGGCCAAAAAGGGGCCAAAAATAAGCATTTTTGTAACTTCCAGACATAACTTGTGTGTTAGTGTATGGATATCTCTGACATTGTACCACAAGGTTCCATATCACAAAAGGAATGCTGGGATTGATTTTGGGGGTAATTGCCTCAAAATTTTAGGAATTAGGGGCCAAAAAAGGGGCAAAAAACAAGCATTTTTCTAGTTTCATGACAATAACTTGTGTGTAAGTGTATGGATGTTTCTGAAATTGTACTACAAGGTTCCATATCACAAAGGGAAAGCTGGAACTGAGTTTGGGGGTAATTGCCGAAATGTTTAGGAATTGGGGGCCAAAAAAGGGGCCAAAAATAAGCATTTTTCTAGTTTCCAGACAATAACTTGTGTTCAAGTGTATGGATCTCTCTGAAATTGTACTGCAAGGTACCATACCACAAAGGGAAGGCTGGGATTGATGATGGGGGTAATTGCCTCAATATTATAGGAATTAGGGGCCAAAAAGGGGCAAAAAACAAGCATTTTTCTAGTTTAAGGACAATAACTTGTGTGTAAGTGTATGGATCTTTCTGAAATTGTACTACAAGGTTCCATATCACAAAGGAAAAGCTGGGTTTGAGTTTGGGGGTAATTGCCCTAAACGTTTAGGAATTAGGGGCTGAAAAGGGGCCAAAAAACACATTTTTCTAGTTTCCAGACAATAACTTGTGTTCAAGTGTATGGATCCCTCTGAAATTGTACTGCAAGGTACCATACCACAAAGGGAAGGCTGGGATTGAGTTTGGGGGTGATGAATCATAAGGGGGTTCAAAAAATTGGGGGGGGGGATTTTTTTTTTTTTTCCTTTTTTTTCTTTTTTTTCTTTTTTTTTTCTTTTAAAATTTTTCATTTTAAGTTGGTTATTTCTGATTTATATTTAAAAGCAAATAATAATGATATGGTAGGAGATACACACCAAACAGGATGTGTAAATTATTATATAATAAGTATTGTGCAATAGCAAGAAATTTTCAATTGCACAGTATTGCACAATAGCAAGAAATTGTCAATTGTACAGTATTGCGCAATAGGAAGAAATATTTAATTGCACAGTATTGTGCAAAAGAAGATACTTCGTATAAATTGCTTATTTCTTGACCAATTTCAATGGGGTTTTATTCTTGAATTCTTGGGGTTCTTTAATATGCTGAATCTAACCGTGTATTTAGTTTTTGGATTTTGGGCCCCGTTTTTAAATTGGTCCACATTGAGGTCCAAAGGGTCCAAAATTAAACTTTGTTTGATTTCATCAAAAATTGAATTATTGGGGTTCTTTGATATGCTGAATCTAACCTTGTATTTAGATTCTTAATTTTTGGTTCCGTTTTCAAATTGGTCTACATTAAGGTCCAAAGGGTCCAAAATTAAACTTAGTTTGATTTTAACAAAAATTGAATTCTTAGGGTTCTTTGATATGCTGAATCTAAACATGTATTTAGATTTTTGATTATGGGTCAAGTTGGTCCAAATCGGGGTCCAAAATTAAACTTTGTTTGATTTCAACAAAAATTGAATATATAGGGGTTCTTTGATATGCTGAATCTAACCATGTATTTAGATTTTTGATTTTTGGGCCCCGTTATCAACTTTGTCCACATTGAGGTCAAAAGGGTCCAAAATTAAACTTTGTTTGATTTCATCAAAAATTGAATTCTTGGGGTTCTTTGATATGCTGAATCTAACCATGTATTTAGATTTTGGATATTGGACCATAATAGGTGAATGTCCAATTTAAAATTTTTAAGTTCTTAGACCACATTCATTCTGTGTCAGAAACCTATGCTGTGTCAAATATTTAATCACAATCCAAATGCAAAGCTGTATCAAGCTTGAATGTTGTGTCCATACTTGCCCCAACTGTTCAGGGTTCGACCTCTGCGGTCGTATCAAGCTGCGCCCTGCGGAGCATTTTATTATAGTTTGTTCTTATGTTGTACTGTTACACCACTATCCCAGGTTAGGGGGAGATTTGGCGCCAGGAAACTAGTTACACCCTTCCACCCCCACATTCTCTATGTGACTGTCCCAAGTCAGGAGCCTGTAGTTCAGTGGTTGTCATTGGTTCATGCAGGGCTTGTTCTGGGACACGGAATCATGAAATTAACACATTATTTTTTCAAATGCCTCCCTATCAAACTTATCGTGTGTTTCTTGGACGCTTGATTTTCTCCACATAAAATGTCTGTCATGTGCGGCCATTTCTGCGAAATATTTGTCAAACACGTTTTAACAGTACATTTTGTTTTAGGTGTAAAAAAAGGTCAATCGAAAATACAAGAAATGCTGAGTATTTCCAATTATTTTTAAAGTCTAAATTCATGTTTTGTTTTCTTTTTCCAAGTACAGTTCAGATATTCATATTTATATGATTTCTAACATTTTTGAGGATGACTAATTTCAAAGATATTCTAGATTTGCCCTGGAAATTTTCTTGAATCAAATTTAAAACCAACTCAACTCACAGTTATGTAAATTTAAATTACCTACAATTAATTTAGAATTAATAAAATTCCGTGTTTTATAATGTCCCACAAATGAAGGTTCCGTTTCTAAATAAACATGCCTCCGAAAAAGAGGATTCTTTACGAAAAATAAACAATGTTTGACAAGCAATTTGGAAAAGAATATGATGTGAATGAAACATTAACTAAAGGCAATTTCTGTCACCTTGTAAATGAAGCAACAAACTTATTTTTACAAAAATCAGAATGTTTTAATATAGGCTCTAGAGTAACAAGTACTGAGATAGAAGAAAATACTGCATAAAAGTTGTTTCTTTGAAATTACATATGACCGATCTGTAAAGTCAATACTATCAGATCTTTTCTAAAGAAATGAATCGTTTATGTCTATGAATTTCTTTACTTATTAATGAAAAATTAGTCAATCCTGTCACTCCAAGAAAGACTGTTAGTTTGTTAATTTGTAAAACCACCTAAATAATGAAAGGCAGTTGAGTTAGAAAGCTTTATTCTTGCATAATCATGTAAATTTCTTAACAAAGTGCTAAATTTAACAATTTTTTTATTATAAACGAAATTGATCATATTGATACATATATGAAATAAAGAAATGTTTTGCACAAAAAATCCAAAGTCAAGAGAAGGCCTTCAAATTGAAGTGAAAATGTTAAAATTGTATTTGACCGGGGGCTTTCCCATTTGACCACACTGGGCCTTACTTGAAGGGCGTCGTTGTCGTCAACAATGTATTAGTTTGTGATTAGGTCAGTTTTGTGGGGAAGCACTAGTGGTAGGTCAATGATATTTGGTATTCAGTTGTATTAGCATACGCACATCTCATTCCCATGGAGATTATTTGGCCCTGCCCCCTCAGTCATGGTCTACTGACTTGAAACTTTTGCTTAGTTTACATGTATTAGCTTGTGATTAGGTCAGTTTATGGGGAACTACTAGCGGTAGGTCAGTGATATTTGGTATACAGTTCTATTAGCATTGGAACATCTCATTTCCATGGAGATTATATGGCCCCACCCCCTCATTCATGGTCAATTGACTTTGAAACTTTTGCATAGTTTTTATGTATTAGTTTGCGATTAGGTCAGTTTATGGGGAACCACTAGTGGTAGGTCAAAGATATTTGGTATGCAGTTATACTACCATTGGCACATCTCATTTCCATGAGATTGTTTGGCCCTGTTCCTTCAGTCATGGTTCATTGACTTTGGATATTTTGCATAACTTACATATTAAAGTATTTTAATTTCAACATTTGCATTTTACTATAGAAATAACAAAAAGGCGAGACATTTCTCTGTGTTAACAGTTTTATTCATAAATAGTTTTGTTATAAATAAAGCCATTAGTTTTCTCAATTGAATTGTTTCATACTTTTCATGTTGGGCCTTTTATTATTTTTTTTTTACTCTACAGTATGGGTTTTTCTCATTGTTGCCTATAATTGCTTACATCCATTTCATTTGAACTTTGGTAATGGGTGCTATTAACAATTTAGTATACATTACTTTGGGGTTACTTATGCATGCACGGTCTCTTAAAATATGACATCACACAGAAAACTGTTTACTTGTACCCAATGTTTTACAATAAAAGAAGAAAAAAGTTTGAAATATCTGAAATGGAGTAATTATGAAGTTAATATTCAAGCTGCCATTATTTGTTTGCATTTCAGAATGTTTTAAAAGATAAAGAACGTGAACTCTTGGAACAGTTTGAATCTCCAGAAAGAATAAAGGATGTATTGAGTGCACTATCAGACATTATAGGGAAAGCTAAAGGGAATGGGGAATAGCGGATGAAACTTATTGTAGTTTTTCTTAAATGATTCTGTTTATGTACAGTACTTATTTTAATTTAACATATTTTTTATACATTGAGCAATATAGACTTTTAATTTTCTTTGATGCAATATTCAGATTTTATTGCATCTAGTTCAGTTATTATGTATAAAAACAGTACATCTAGACTGTATGCATGACATCACATTATATAGTCAATTACTTTAATATCGTGTTTTACATTTATAGTTGAATGGATCAGGGCTTTTCCATTTCAACTAGAAAAGTTTTAAGGAGAACTACTGGAGTCACCTCCATGCATGGTTTCTTAAACTACATAACAATAGACTGTATGAAGATTTTTTGATTACTTCTATTGGTGAAAATTGTCTGGTTTTCCTGTGACGAAAACAAAATGAAATGGAAAAGCTCTCATCATACTAACTGTTACTATCATGCTTTCGTGCTTTTACGTCTTCTGTTTTCTATACAGTCTCTGTGAGATTTGTCAACCTTTTTATCTGTCATTTTTTTCCTTGTATATCATTATGTATTACATGCCTTATTGTAAACAAAAATATTAACTGGGACATGATATTGTTTAAACACGAAAAGGAAAACCAAAACATTTTTGTTGGACTTTAATACGTATTAATGAACACATTAGCTGCACCCCAACAGTTTCATTTTTTGCTGAACAGGTGTTCCATGCTTAGAAAAACCCAAGGAAAAGGGATATATGGATATATTGTTTTTATATTTTATATGGTGAAATATGTGCATGATGAAATGCCTTCCAAATAACCCATTTTATTTTTGCAACAATTTCAGTACGTACAATATGGGTGTATCATGCTTACTGCTTAGAGAACGACCATTTAACTTCAAGGGGGGGGGTTATGGTTTTTTTCCTAAAAAAAATATTCTGATCTCCAATTTGATGAAAAAAAATATTGTGGTCAAGCAGATGACAAATAAAAATATTCTGAATCCAGATTATCACCATACCTTATAGTGTCAAATTTTGAAAAAAAATAATTTGATTGATAGCATCGAAAAACTAAAAAAAAAATGTTTACGCTTTTGCGAAAAAAAATTTCTGACTCAGACAAAAAATCATACCCCCCCCCCCCCTTGAAGTTAAATGGTTGCTCCCTTATTGTGTGATTTGTTCACTTTATAAGATAAAATGTATATGGACTCGTCATGTCCTTATGAAACGGAAAAAATTTATATGTTGAGTTTCACAGATTTTTACATTGCCTATCATAGGTCAAAGATTTTATAGTTGACAATTTGGTTTTACCAAAGATCTATCAATTCTGTGTAAGTATTACTATATTTATATTTCTTACATGGTGTATTGATTTTAATGCATTTTGTAGAGGTAATTTTTCATGAAAATAGTTCACATAGAACAAATAGATAAGTATCTTAATGTGTATAGGGTATATTCAAATTATAATATCTATTCGTCTTTCCAAATTTTCAGTAATTTGAATGGTTGTATACCCGGTACAGAAATGTTAAATGTACTATCCTTTGCTTAAGATGATGTTAACCAACACAAATGTTTTATTATAAATAGATAAGATTTGGGGTAAATGTCAATATGAAAACACTCCAACAAGATAAAAAAACTACAGATAAACACTTAAATATTTCTCAAATTTTTTATAATGAATCTTATATTGCAAGTATGTATGGATTTTCTTAGTTGTGAAAATAAGTTTAATGCAGTCTGCATCAATGACGCTTTTGGAGGAGGGGACCTAAAGGGTAATTTGTAGATTTTTTTTTCTTCAGAACATGTAAATTTTGTGCAAATCAAATACTATTAAAGTCATGCCTGAATCACTAGTGTTTTATACAAAATCAAAAGGAGGTTATAAGGTAGATTTGCAATACATTTTGATTTTTTTTATTCAAAGGTCCAAAAATGTAATGCTATCATACCTTCTTCTTCTAGGATTCTCTCAAATATTTAGATCAAGCATTCTTATGTAAATGTGTGATTGTTTAGAAAATATATATGCTGAGAAAATGCTGCGTTTTTTTTTTTTACGTCATATTTTTTTTTATGCAATGAACAATTCTTTCTTTATTGCTGAGTTGAAGAAAAAGACAATTCAGACAAGTTGTTTGAAAATAAATATTGTATATCTATACTTAGTCTAAAATATTGTCCTCAGTTATCGAATATTTTATTGTATGCATTTTGATATAACTTCAGAATGTATGCTGTCTTTTAAATTATCCTCACAATCAAAGATTCTCTTATGACCTTGCAAATTAACTAGGGATGTCAACGAGTACTAGAGTATTCGAGTATTGCTCAGTAGTACAGAGTATCGAATATCAAAACGATACTTGACTTATCAATTTTTTGTTAGAATATTGCTGTCTTCTTTATATAAAATTGATCTTCTTGAGAACCTCTTTTTGAAAATTAAATAGGCATCACTGATTAATCATTCTAGTAAATAAAATACATTTTGTTTCAAATGCTTGTGCTAACTTGCCATTTAAAATGCCTCCGAAAATATGTGGGCTATACCTAGGCCAACACTTTAAATTAAACATGTCTTAGCCATTCCGTCACATCAGTACTGTCAGAACCAATATTTTCGTCTGCAAGACTAATTTACAAGTTGCAAACCGACTGTCCCCAATAATACTTGACAAGAAAAGGTTTCCAAATAAAATAAATTTGTTGCATCCTCTGATGATCCTCAGTTAATAGTTAAACTTCTAATCCTTACGCCATTGTAAACATTAAATGTGTTTTCTTAACAATTACCAAATACTATTGTTTGATATGGTTTTTCCTTGTTAAAATTTAAATAGGTGTTCATTAAATTATATTGATTAGATTATTGTTTTTTACTAAATTAGTACTTGTAGGTACTGAGCTACTAATTATGGTGTGTATTTCCTTGTCCCAGATACTTATGTAGATGGCTTTTCGTCCGTCGAACAACAAACCACAGAATATTAATTACGTATTTTTGTGTTTCTGTGTTGTAGATATATTCACAAGCGAGTACTCAAGTATTGCTCGATAAAACCAACGAGTACTCGATTAGTAATTGTTCACCGAGTTGACATCCCTAAAATTAACCCAAAATAATTAAGTTATAATACCGTGATAAATTGCAATGTTTTTAAACTTCTGAACATGGACTTTCAAGAAATGTAAATACAAGCTTAGAGTAGACTTTGATGTCATTAATAGCCTTGATGACATAGTGTAGACTTTGATGTTGTTAAAAGTCTTGATGACATAGTGTACACTTTGAAGTCATTAAAAGTCTTGATGACATAGTGCAGACTTTGATGTCATTAAAAGTCTTGATAACATAGTGTAGAATTTGATGTCATTAATAGTCTTGATAACATAGTGTAGAATTTGATGTCATTAAAGTCTTGATGACATAGTGTAGACTTTGATGTCTAAAAGTTGGGCCATATGGTTATTTTGACAGATTTTGAGCAGAAATAAACAAATATCAGGAATTTGTTTGTTAAATTTAACACTATATACACTTCATTTGTGCTAATCTTTGTGGGCAGGCTATTTGGGACAGTGGGATCTTTTCTCTTTCATAACATGATTGAGACATAGTCAAATTATTTTGGAAGTTCACCATTTAACTGAATTTATTGTCATTTCATAGCTGTATCATACTATTAATTTTTTATATAAAGCATTTCCTTTCCATGGTTATACTTTTATGTTCATGAAAAGGAAATATTTCAAACCAAAATTTCAGTCTTTTCTTTAATTACATAGATTCAACATTTAATAATGCAAGTTTGAGAAATTTTTAGATAAACTGCAGTTTAGGACCAAATTGACCGAAATTGTACTCACTCCTTCAATTATGATTGTACTGTTGAATTTAATTATATTGATGGATTAAGACTACTAATTTAGCTAAATAAGTATATATGTATAAAACCAAACTATTATAGACAATTTGTTTGATGTATTTTGAAAAGTGGTATAAAGCAATACCTCTTTATACAGTCTCAGTTTTAAAAAATAAATAATCACCAAGTAGATGTGTAATGCTTTACTTTCTATTTAGGCATTTTGATCTTTTCTCATTTGTCCAAATGATGTATAAGCTTTTCCAGCATTTAGTGTTTATATTTGTGTGTGAACTGTCATTAACATAGTCAAGTACGGTTGGTGGCTGCGAACAGTTTCCATCCAATAACTTACGAACCTGTTCAACCAATGCTTTTCAAATATGTTGTTACTGTAATACTGATGATAAAATGGAGGTCTATTTTGATATTGATGAATTTTACTTTTACTGTTAAGGAGTTATGGTCCTTGATAAATAGGAAAATGGCACTTTGTGTTGGTTTCGTATGATCCGTTCAACCAATACTTTTCAAATTTAAATATGTTGTTATTGATGACAAAATGGAGGTCTTTTTCAATATTGACGATTTTCACTTTTACTCTTCAGGAGTTATGGATATTGATAGATTGGACTATGACACTTTATTTTTTGTGTCCGAGCAATAACTTTTGAACCGATCAAACTAATGTTTTTCAAATAAGAAAATGACACTTCATTTTATTTCATAGCAATAACTTAACCGTTCAACCAATGCTTTTCAAATTTTAATATGTTGTTCCTGATGAAAAAATGGAGGTCAAATTTGGATATTGACAATTTTCATTTCTACCTTTTAGGAGTTATGGTTCTTGGTAAATAGGAAATGGCACTTCAGACATGTCATTTCCGTGCCATAACTTATGAATCGTATTACCAGTACTTTAAGATTTTTGTCATAGAAATACCGGGTGTCCGTCCGTCCAGTCTTGTTAGCGCTTTCACAGGTACAAATCTTGCCAGATTTTTATAAAACTTATACTATAGGTTAATATCAGCAATATCTCGGACAAGTTCTATAATGGTGGCCGATCGACTCTTTTTAAAAGAGTTATGCCCCTTGGAAATATTAGATTTATGGAAAATGGCCTGGTTTGCGCTCTCACGGGTTCAATTCTTGCCAGATTTTTATAAAACTTATACTATAGGTTAATATCAGCAATATCTCGGACAAGTTCTATAATGGTGGACGATTGACTTTTAAGTCCCCTACAGACTAAGTGGAAGGGGACTTTAGGTTTGCACTCAGTCCGTCTGTCTGTCTGTCTCTGTCTGTCTGTCCATCCGTCAGTCCGGCAAATCATTTTTCCACACTTTTTTTCTTCATGCTTGAAGATATTGATTTGATATTTGGTATATAGTTTTATCATGACAAGTTACAGATCAAGTTTGAATATTGTTCCGGTCTGATGATTTTGTGCAGAGTTATGGTCCTTGGACTTAGAAAATTCACTAAAATAATCAGGGTTTTTTTTTCGTCAAGCTTGAAGATGTTGATTGATAATTGGTATATAATTTTATCTTGACAAGTTACAGATCAAGTTCGAATTTTGTTCCAGTCTGATGATTTTGTGCAGCGTTATGGTCCTTGTTTTAAAAGAGTTATGCTTCTTGGAAATATTAAATTTAGGGAAAATGGCCTCGTTAGAGCTCTCACGGGTACAATTCTTGCCAGATTTTTATAAAACTTATACTATTTGTTTATATCAGCAATATCTCTGACAAGTTTTATAATGGTGGCCGTTCGACTTTTTTTAAAAGAGTTATGCCCTTGGAAATATATAATATGTGCAACACGGTGGACATTGGAACTTTGTTCTTGTATTGATATTGTTACTGATGACAAAATGGATGTAAAATTTGATATTGCATTTTTCACATCTGCTGTTCAAGAGTTATGGTCCTTGATTGATTAAAATTGACACTGTTGTTTCAGTTCAATAAATTATAAACTGGTCAGCAATGCTTTTCAAATTTTGATATGTTGTTACTGATGACAAAATGAATGTCAAGTTTGATATTGATGATTTTTACTATTCAGGACATATGATCATTGGTAGATTGGAAAAAAGGCATAGAACGTCAAATAAGCCTGAAAGTGTCATATGGCTCCTTTTCATGGTTCAGCGACTGCTTGAAAAAGAATCATAGTAATTTTGTCATGTGAATTTCTCACTTATTATGAGTAATAGGATAACTATATTTGGTATATGGGTTCCTGGCAACGTCTACTTGTCAGTCAGACAGTTTGCCTGACCACGACCTCACTTCATGGATAAGTGATCAAGGTTAAAGTTACATGATTAGGTTCGTTTCTCAAATACTATAAGCAGAAGGTCAAATACATGTGGTGTATTGAATGATTGTAAGGGTTACATGTCAGTCTTTCAGATTTCATCTGACCTTGACTTCATTTTCATTGGTCAATGTTAACATTTTTTGTTTTAGTTTGTTTTTCAAGTACTGTAAGCAATAGGTCAACTATATTTGGTGTATGGAATGCTTGTAAGGTGTGCATGTCTGTCTAGCAGGTATCATCTGACATTAACCTCATTTTCATTGTTCATTGGTCCATTTTAAGTTTTTGTGTTTTGGTCTGTTTTTTTAAATACCAAAAGCAATAGGTCAGCAATTTTTGGTGTATTGAATAATTGTAAGGTGAACATGTCTGTCTGGCAGATATTATCTGACCTTGACCTCATTTTCATGGTTCATTTGTCAATATTAAGTTTTTGTGATTTTGTCTGTTTTTCAATCACCATAAACATGAGGTCCGCCATATTTGGTGTTTAGAATATTTGTAAGGTGTACCTGTCTGTCTGACAGGATTTATCTGATTGATCATGGATCTTTTACAAAAAAAACGTTAAGTTTATGTGATACTTGCAGTAAAACCTTTATCTTTATGACTTTCATCATAAAATCAATGGTCAGTAAAGCACCTTTGGTAAAAGTATGATTAAGTCTTTTTCATAAAACATCTGGGCACATTAATAGAAGTTTAAAACAAAACAGCTACTGAGATTTTTTAAGTTTGGATAGTCTCAGAGTTGACTCACACAAAACACAACTGTGGAAAACAATAGAAGCCAAACAGAGCAGTTAGATTTAAATCAAACTTCCAACCAAGCAAGGGCATATAAAAATAAATCATTAGCAAGTGAGAAGCCAGAATCACCATGCATTTTTCCAACTGATCTATTGGTAATGGTTTCAACTTTTTTGTGCATTGTTTACGTTACCAAAACAAACAAAAACATTCAATAAATATTTTATTCAAAACGAAGTACATAATCAAAATAAATGAGATGTGTGTAGATACTTCTTTAAAAATTGTGTAAACATTAGAAATAATAATACTTGTATATCACTTTTATAATAATCAAATATCACAGTTCAGTAAATATCAAAATAAATAAACATTGTATATATATAAATCGTATCCCAGAAAGCTAATACAAGTTTAGCCAGATCGAAATGGATATTTATAGCAAATTGACTGATAGGTCGTGTTTTGTTTCAAAGATATGTCAAGTTCTCTTATTACATACCCTTCAATTATTTGTACAAAATGGGGGGATTTAATAGTTCAAACAAAATACTATAAGTAAGACAAATCCGAAAGAAATTAAGTGTAAATATTTGAAAAGCATTCAGTAACAAAATTCTATCACTTAAAAGTTGAGTACAGAAAATAAAACAAATTAATTACCCGTAGTGCATTTTCAGTGTTTATTTTTATATAATTATCACCAAAGAAAGAGAAGGTATTCGTTTTCTTTATTTTCGCCTTTATCATATTTTTTCTACACATAGTGCTAAGGTATCAGCCAATAAGATACTTACTGAATTCCTTGCTTCAGTTTACTAATATAAGGCACACGTCATACGCAGTAATCAGTATGAAAATAAAATTTAACGGGAAAAGTTAATATTTAAGAAAGCAAAAAGATTCAAATCTGAAAAAAATCTTAAATGGCTTAAATTTTCGAAAGAGAGGCGAAAGATACCAAAGGAACATTCAAACTCACAAGTCGAATAAAAATTACAACGCAATGGCTAAAAAGGACAAAGACAAACAGGCAAACAACAGCAAACACAACATAGAAATCTAAAGACTGAGCAACACGAACCCCACAAAACACGGTGGGTGATCTCTGGAAGAATAAGCAGATTCTGCTCCACATATGGCACCCACCGTGTTGCTCACGAATAACAATCCCGGTGATACGTCCAATTCGGCAGGCTTTCGCTTCGGGAAAAGTGGACGGGATAATAGTTACGGCAATGGAACATATCCCATCGTCATCTGTGAAACAGATATTCCCTAACTTTCAATTATGTCTGCAGTCAACATATATCATTTAGATCATCGTATTGGGACAGCTTCAATTAAGCATTACATCATGTTCAACCATCAAATGCTTTTTCCTCTCTCAAAGATTTAACATTAAACGGGGAAAACGAATTAAAGTGCATTGAAGACGCTAAATCGGTTTGGCTTTGGTTTGAAGTGTCCCGTCCCCACAACATTTGATAATTGTGACAAATACTCAAAAGTAGCCACAAAGAGGCCGTAATACCAATGAAACATTCAATTCTCATAAGTCGAAGAAAATCAAACAACACTACATAGAAAAACTAAAGACTGAACAACACGAACCTCATCAAAAACTGAAATCACGAATCTATGGAAATATTAGCTTTGATCTATCTAAAGACGTCCGCAATTTAAAGACACATTTTTAGGTATGGAACAATGTTATAAAAACAGAAAGTGCGAAACCATCATGGGGTCAAGATCGTTATATATAGATATAAGAAGATGTGGTATGAGTGCCAATGAGACAACTCTCCATCCAAGTCACAATTTATAAAAGTAAACCATTATAGGTCAAAGTACGGTCTTCAACACGGAGCCTTGGCTCACACCGAACAGCAAGCTATAAAAGGCCCCAAAAAATTACTAGTGTAAAACCATTCAAACGGGAAAACCAACGGTCTAATCTATATAAAAAACAAGAAACACTTATGAACCATACCCATTTAGTACTTGTCAAAATGTAAAACAAAAAACTAACAATTAAAAAACAAGAAAAAGTTTGATGGTTTGACAATATGTGAAGACTAAAACTTCATGATATTGAATCCAATGTTACAATGTAATAATCACACATCTTCAAACGTCTTGAACTGCTCATTGAAACTTTTATCTCTATTTTGTTTGTACGATACTATAAAAGATATTGATCCAATAAAAAAAAGGTGCACGAATTGTTTTATAAAATTTCATCTTGCTTGATGTGCACCTAATTGTATTTGTTGTCAACCAAAAATAAATGGTCTGGTGTTCTTCTTTCAACGCTATTCAGTTCGACAGAAAAACTCGATGCTGATGAATATTCCTTCGTTAAATGGGGAGTTTGCATCTGATCTAACTCATTCAATTTTGGTGGTATGTTTTGTGTTGCGAAATCATATGACAATAGGTCTCCTGGTTGTTCTCCTTTCGCAGAAGTATTAATTTGTCTGTGCCTAAAAAAATATTACAATTTAATATTCAGGTGCAATGAAATGTTTAATTATTATATATTTCTCACCCTATAAAACCCGTATGCATATTACACTTACTAATGACTGTTGTGGCATTGTTGTTGCTCGGTCTTTAGTTTCTGTTTAATATTTGCGAGCTGTTGTACGTCTTTTCGATTTTGTTGTTTATCTCATTTGGTTGAAAGACCAAATCTGACATGGGTCAACAGTTTGGATGTGTGGGATGAACAAAAACGCCACGTCATTTCTGAATGCGGACTTTACATCAAAATGGCCACGTTTTCTGGACGAAAATAACTTTCGCAACAACTCACTTAGAAATACATCGGTGGCCTTATGCATTTCAAACTGTCTACCCTATTCAAGACATCCTCATTTTTCAGTGATAATTGAAATTCAAACCCTTCATCCGGTTAACCCATCTGCTGGTTTTATTGCTAATTAGTTCTCATCCTTAATATTCAGGTTGAAATAATTGCCACTGGACGTTATCAAACAATTAAGCAATCAGTATTTGTGACAAGCTTTTTCTGTCATTCTGGTATTGTTTTTTTACTGCCCTGTTGGTATATTATTTTTTTCAGCTAGCAGTGATCTCATGGGTATTGCATTTGCTTATACATTTGTAATGAGAAATCATTACCTTCTGAAGGTCGATGAAAATACTTTCATTTATTTTGTCATAAAGAAGACTTCTATAATTAAGTATTTGTCCATCTATAAGAATAAAAAGATAGTTTCTTTAAAGAAACTGAAAGCTCGAAATTAAATAATCAACAGTGAATTTAATAAAAGTACATTATAAATCATATCAGTTCTGAAGAATTGACTACTGAGCTGATGACACCCACGGGGACTAACAGTCAACTAAAAGTGGTATAGACCAAGTGCTAGTAAATGACAATTACACTTTATTAATTTCGTGCGTACGAGGCACTTTTTTGGATAGGCTGGTCCTCTCCCTTGCAACTTTGTCAGAGCCAAACAGATAAAGGACAGGGAACCAGTCTATTTTTTGGATTTCCCTTCATAAAAAAAACCATAAGTCTATCTATTTCGTAACATCAGAACATCAGAACATCAGCAAGCATTGAAGAAATCAAATTAAAAAAACACTACTAGTACTTTATTTACCCGATATCTTTATGTTTGATTTTGTAAACGATGAACCCAATCAACGCTGCAAGAACAATAAGTCCTGCTATAATACTAATAGGTAATACAACATTGTTTTCATCGTTTTCTTCATTCCGTACTTTTCCTAAAAATAGATTTCATGTTAGAATGTTAGTCGTATTGCGATACATTTATCAAGCTGCTGAAAATTCGGCGTAACATTTTCATTTATTAAGAATGACGTATCAAATTTCTTTTTGAATAAGAAAAGTCAATTAGATGATGAATAACTGATCGAGTACTCGTTATTTTACCGTGCGACACTCGAGCACTCGCTCGGAAAATTATTTACAAAATTGGAAACAAATTATGCACATGTTTAAGCTTTGTGGTTATTGCCTTATGGAGACGAGCAAGCTTGCATAATAGAAATACATCATGTTAGCATTTTAATTATATAGTTTTTCTTTTGATAAACCAAGTTTATCAATCTGACAATTTCTCAAATGACACGCCAAGCTTTAACAACTGAACTCTAGAGCAGATTCTGATAATTTTGTAAAATAAAGATGTTTGACATTTGTGGAGTAATGCTAAGTGTGAGCAAACTCCGAAACTTAAAGTTAGTTTAGCGAAGCAACGTCACCACAGTTTCGGAGTTTGAAGTGTGAGGTATCAATTATTTAGCCCTTTGCCGACCATGTTGATTTTCGGAAAATGGTTTTTGAAAACGAAACACGAAATCTTTTCTCAATGAAATCACATTTGAATATGGAGGATTTCTCGGCAAGTGTTGAGTTTTTTAAATAGTTCATTGTGAAACAGCAGAAAAATTACCATAATATTATGAATGAAACTGTAATAATCCTCATGAAACAACCAACCACAAACATTGTTACTATTTATATCCTTTTTCCCTTTATGTCCATGAAATGGTATTTTGTGAATTATATCCTATACAAGTAAATGTTCCTAAAGCATGTATTTGATCTATCATTATTGATTCTTCCTTTTTAAAGATACTAATTCATTGGAGAATATACATTAATCTAAATCAGACGCTTAGAAATGGAAACGGACTAAAAAAAATCAGAAATTTATATTTAAATCCAATAAATATTAATCTAAAATTGATTTTTTTTTCAAATTGAATAGTAACGAATTTCATGCTCGTCCACAAATTTCATCTTTATTTTGTTTGATATAAAATATTCCAATTTGAATAGTGGATATTGAACAAATATATAGGAACCTGGTTTCGAAAGATGCAAAAACAAATGAAAAAATTCAAGCGCTACAACAAAAAGTAATATCAACAACTTGGCAGTATACTCAATTCAAGTTTTTTAAAACACGGTCGATTATGACATTACATTTTTTGCAATGTGTCTTAACTCGTATACGGCATTTTTTAAGTGCTCAAGATTTTTTATAATTTAGAAATCAAAGACTCAAAATGCAAAATTACCCAACACCATAAACTTATTACTATCCAGCGGAGCTCTGGTTGAAAAATGGTGTCCTACCCTTTAAAGAGTATTGATGATTTTAAAAACTCTACCTTATTTGGAAAGATATTAGACACGGAACACTGATAGTGTACTAGTGGACTTGAAGATATCATGAGAATACACCTTTTCCCGTTTGAAAATTGGGACATAATTAAGAATTATTACATTTCGTCTTGACACACTAGCTGCGTTATCTTTTTGCAATCCATTCTTTTTTACCTTTTCCGCCAAGTACTGTATTTATTCTGATAAATTTGATAAACAGATTTCCAGAATATGGCATTTGTATCAAAAAAGTATTAACAAAATTGCCGAACTCGAAGTTAATTCCAAAAAGGGGGAGGTCCATAAAACCTGACAAAATCGTACGCTTGACTATATCATCCAACGGATCGAAAGGGAAAAGGACTTCCGAATGTGCTCAGCTACTTTGCATTGCATGTTTACCATCGCAAGTTCTTTTCTGTTTTGATGAGCAATTTTCTAGATTCGGTAAACGATTCGTAAGGGTTTTTTTTTCAGGTTTCAAAAAACTTATTTCTTTGACATTTTCCCTTTTATCAGTGTATTAACTTCATTTGTAATGTCATTATGATAATTGGTAGATAAAGTTATACGTTTCAAAATGATTTTATTTTATTAATCAAAAATTGAAAAAAAAACTAGAAATATTTGAATAGTACTGCATTTCGTGGTCTTTCACACGTTACATCTGCAATATTAGTTGTACATACCTGATTCTGTTTGTTCAGTTCTTGTCAGAGGACATGTTTCCTTTAAGAAAGAATTAAAGGATTTGTATTTTAGCTCACGGACTTTCATATAGAGTGTTAGGGTACTTATACATCCCCATAATAAAAATACACTAAGTACAGATCTGTGAGAACTCGTAGTTACTACCAGCTAGTTCAAAGCCAATAACAACTAATAACAAAATCATGCATATGTAAACAACAACAAAAAATATATTTAGTTTTATATGCTACAGTCTTTTAGAAAAAAATATGTTTAACACATTTGTTATGTTAGCACTCGGAACACTGTTAAAAAATGATAAACTATCTGAATAAAGGGATACATATCATAGGCTAAAGTTTACCTAACTACTAGCATATAAACTAACAATATTTGAAATGTTTGCAAATGAAACAAAGAACAAAGAACGTGTATGCATACCCCAAACTACTAGTATACTGTAGAGTCTTCAACACTGTTTACAGCTACATAAATTAATGCAGGGTCTGCTTACTCTTCCAGAGCACCTGAGATCACCCCAAGTTTTTGGTGGGGTTCGTGTTGCTAAGTCTTTAAGTTAATCGCTTGGTCCTAATCAATAAAACGAGATATCTGTACTGTGGGCCTCTGTGACCGAGTGGTCTAAGCAGTCCAACTAATGTATACCTAGCCTGTCAACACTAGGGTTTTGTTCGAACCCTGCACGTGACAGGTGCGCCCCACTCAAATCTTCACTGACAGAGGATTGTCAATTTTCCTTCCAAAGGGCGCTAGTTTTCTCCGCGCACTCCGGATTCTTCCGCTTATAATAATCAAAGCCACGAAATAGCCAATAGTGTTGAAAGTGGCGTTAAATAGCAATCAATAAATCAAGCATCAATCAATCAATCAATGCTATATCTGTTCTCTCTGTAAAATCAAACGGATTCTCTCCTTGTCCTCCAATGATCGACACATGTTCGTTATGCCATCTAAATTTCTAGTAGAATGGATAAATGCTAAGTACTTAAGATCATTTTCAGTTGAACATTGACCTAAACAAGTAGGCACAGAAATGTTTTTCGACTGTGATGCTGGCTAAAACTTGGACTGCCAAATAGAGTAAGTGCAAGACGATAAAAACATTACCTTGTAACAGACAAAGTACAGACATCTCAGAGAATTGCTGTACACATTTACTGCATTGGTAGATTTTCATTTATAAGGGTTCCTTAGCGTGCACAGAATGTGACACTTAAATATAGCTTTAACCGGATGTGGCTGCGAATTTATATGACATGCAATGCAAAACAGATGCCCCACCCATAGGATAATTTCGTACTGACAGATTTGAGATTTTCATATTACCATTTTTGTATTATCAGTCGTCCTTGGGATCAAGGACAAAATAAACCCGTTCAATTAAACCATGAATTTGAGAAAAAAAGTTGTGCAATTGTAGGTAAAGAATTAACAGTAATGGTATGACGTTTTTCGGCGGATACAATTCTAAAGTACTGGTATAATTCTTTTATTCATAAAAAAGTTCAAGCTAGCGAAATGAAAAGATAGACGAGATGAAAAATTAACTTACAATAGCAGTACACGTGACGTTAACTGTGTTACAGGAATAACATTCTTCGTCATACACAATTAAAGTTACGACTTCACCGTAATTGGAACCATCATTGGATAAACTAATCTCATAACCATCTGCAAAGACCGTTGTATTGGACGTTGATCTCTTTCGTCTAGCATTTGCAAACTCACACGACACCATGTAAGAATGTTTAATATCTGCTTTCGAAATAGTTGGTGACCCTGTATATGATATGTTGTTTTCCAGAATCTGAAAACAAGATATAAGTAATAACTCAATGAAATGGACTACACCTAACTTTAAATCTGACTGAATAAACATGTCATGTTTTAAAAGCTTTTAACAAATATTTTACGTTTAAACATTATAGCAACACATTGCCTTGCAAATTAGTTTGATTCGTTAAAACGTCGTTTACATGTTATATTTACAGTACACTTAATAAGTTATAAGTGTTTTACAATGCAGGGGCGTGGAAAGATTCGCGTCGTGTTCCTGCATTGTCAATCAATTGCAACTCTTAAAGTGTACTGTAAATATTGTTTCATATACAAAATTCATGAAGTTTTTCCCGCGGTCCGTGCAAAAAGATTTTGAATTTGTTTTCATTGCCAAAAGATCTGCGCATACATACAGTTAGAATAGTCCTCTAAAAGGACGGCTGGGTGACTCGAAGCTGTTTGATTTATTATAGGTGAATTGGGCCAAGTGGAGTAAACTGAAAAGGAGAGAATATTATATTGCAAACAAATCAAATTCGGTTTACTTTTTGGTTGACGACTTTTTTTAACGTTTGTCTTGAAGATAATACAGAGATTTTTTGCCACCAGTCGTTTCCCCAAAAATCAATCGACAAATTCTAAAATCTAAATTAAACTCAAACATGTAAAAAAATAAATTATCTTACTCGAAATAGTTCTCAAAAGCAGTTTTAATCGTTGAAATTTTAATGTAATGAGTACATGATATGGACATATAGGGATTCCTTACGAAAATTCCACTTGGTTTTAATTACTTTCGGCAATTAATTCCGCGACTCAGTAGGAAAATATTTAGGGGAAATAGTCCTGCACCATTTAATAATAAAATTCCGTGTTAAAAATTAGAATTGCAATGATGAAATTAAAATGTTCACATTTTTCATAATAATGTGATAAATTCTAGATTGTGTGTTAAACCCCAATCAAAGGGAGTATGTTCAAGACATGTCGTAGTCCCGATATCGGCTACAATGGATTGACATTGATATTGTCACCTTATCCCTTTACTTATATATTAGCAAATTGTACATAGTTACGGTAGGGATAATGTGTTTTCCTGATTATTTGGTTCTATAATAGAGTTTGCTTTCTATTCATATGCTTCAAGGTGGCGATATCGAATTGATATCGACCATTTTAGTTCCTCCTGGATCATCTGTTTTAGTTGTCGATATATTTTATAATACATTGGTCTTAGATATATATCAGTATTTCTAATTTAATTTTGTCTTACATATTTCCACTAGGACTTGAAACTTTTTGCATTTTAAGATGCAAAACTGTCATTTTGAGATCTCGTTGTTAATGCATTAAAATGAGCCACTGCCTAAACCAAGAAGATGCAAGATGCATATTGCAAAGATGTTAATGTGTGTAACACGTGTTATTTTGGTAAGGGCTCTACTTTTTTCATTATCGGGGTCGACGTTGATGGACTAGATGTAGTTTTACGATCAGTATACATACTCAATTTTTTTTAGTAGGAGTAATTTTATCCCTGTCATTGAGTAAAACCAATTCAGTAAATATCGAGTGGTGTTTATTTTCAAATAATTTGAGTTCTTACTACGATAAAAAGAAAGGTATATCAAATTCCCACTTCCTCAAAACCTAATGACCAGAAATACATATTTGTAAGTATAAGCAATCATTTCATTAATTGAATTCAAACGTTGGAACATCGATTCGATATCATGTCGATACCAAGATCTCAACTACTCTTGGACATGTATAAATAAGTTAGTAGTAAAACGATTTGTTTGTATTTTCTCTTTTGTCAATAATTACACACTAATATATATATATAACAGTAGAACATGTTTATTCTGTGCTTTTCTATGCTAAGGTGCAAAAGTAAAGGTTAATATGCATTTAAAAAAAGAAGTTCATAGGAAATATCAGATTTAAAATTTGAATTATATGGTAGATTTTGGTTGAAGAAAATAAGCTTTATTTAGACGACAGTTGTTTAATAATGTTCAAATCTTGTAAATCGATTACAAAGAGACAACTTACGGTAGCAAACAAAAAATGAAAGAATCGCATGAACCCCAAAAGGAGCGAGACCGGATGCGCTAACAAGGTAAGCGTCTCCTGATATGTATGCACCACCCGCTATACGACTTCACACTCAGTCAAAATGTCGCAATTAAGAATGGGACACAATGGCTAAATTTACAGTTCAAACATCTAAATTTGGATCTAAAGATCTACGACTGTGAAATAATGTCGCTAGTCAGTTGAGACACTGAAACATTGTATCGGTCTATGCGACGGTGACCATAAAACCTATGTAATCTCAATTTCAGTCGCTCTTTCTCATAAGTCTGTTGTAGAAGATTTTGTGTAAGAAGTACACACCTGGTTACGCAGTCCGTATAGTAAACATGCCCAAACGTAACGTATCAATTGAGATATGTAAACGGCATACGATGGAGCAGAGGGTATGTTACTGTTTAGAAGTTGGAAATTGACAATTTATAGCTTGAATCAATACGTTCGTCATATATTCTAGTTTGAGGTCGTCCAGCTTTGTCAGTATAGAGAAAAGAGTCAAAGTATGAAACAGCTCTTCTTGTTTCGGTAGTATCCTTAATCTCAAGTTCATTGGGATATATGAAATGCAAGTTTTGACTGAAGTGTGGGTTATTGAGTGACATGACATCATCAATGTGTTTGAAAGTGAACTTTAAAGTGCTTAGCTTTGTCTTTGAGAAAGTGTTATGTGAATTCTGCTTCACACGAGTACCAAAAACAAGCCAGCCAGTAGAAGTGCACCATTATTATCCATAGGAATACTGATGTTAAGAACAGATGTATTAAAAATGTATAAGAAAACTATATTTAACATACCCAATTAATTGATTTATTCTTGCTTTCTTAACGTCAAGTGGCAATTATTTGATGCATATGCAGGTCGACAAACTATAATACAGAGCGTGGCACTCTAAACGAGGCATCTGATTTAAAACCCCCATTTAACAATCGGGCATGACTGCGAATTTGTATATTCCGCAAAGCTAAACAAATACCCAGCTTTGACAACGGTTTTACTGCCGTCCACATTTATATATTCCAGTCACCCTTGGAATATAAACATCCTCTATTTCCCAGCGAATGCATATATTTCAGTCGATATAATTTTGCTCATATTGAAACAATAAACTTGCTTTCTAATTAATAAGGAAAATATTTTCTATAACTTCAGATGCAAATGCGTTTTTTTTTTCTTTGTGAATTGATCGTCTTAAACTGAGAAGGGACTAGACAGATATGACATTGGATAACTTGTAAAGCATGTTATATTTCTGAAACCTTAGGAATATAGCGTTGATTTCATCAAGTTTATTCTTGAAATATTCATGTTTCCCATGCTAGAGGAGCTAGTTTTGAGAAACTAGTGCCATTTGGAAAAGTAAAGTAAAGGAAATAAAATAAATCATAAAATATAAAATATTCATTGGAATGAGTTTAAGGTAATCCCTAGACTACTCCGTGCGTTATCACTGTGTATCATCGCCACCGGAAATTGGTTACTAACGAAGCGGAGAGAAAATGAAAAAAAAAGTAAACAAGATAAGAATTCATTCAATTTAAAGTATTTCTACTGATTTGACGAGGGTACCGCTTAAGAAATGATTTTCTGATATATAATTCTTTAAATTATTAGGCCGATAAGTACAAAATTATGACAAGATTTTGTGTAATACTCCAATTCTTGCCACTGAGTACCCGAAAATTTCGAGGTCGATCGTCCTCTGTCGCCCCATTGGCAAGATATTCAACTGTTTTTCATTATTTTTCCAGACACGTTTTTAGATTATGATAATGTGACATCATATTTACTGTGATTTGTTGTCAAAAAGATGTTTTTTAAAGAATATGGATCAAAACATTGTTTGTTTATTGTACGGCGAATTGCAGAACGTTGTACGGCGAATTGCAAAATAACAACTTTTGTCTGTACGGCGTCTTGCAATATATTGTAATTTAAAGATGAAATATACAAAATAAACTACATATCAAATATTATAAAATATATGCCGTTAATTTCGTTCAGAAGTCGTCGTTGCGTACCTCTACGCGTGTTTTTAAAGAGAAAAAGTTTTTTTTTCGACCATATTATCCTAAAGACATTCATATATCGTTATACTACTAACGACTGTTGTCTTATTTGTTGTCAGGGTGAAATTTTGTAAGTTCAATAAAAAAAAAACGACCATTCACCATCTTTCCTTGGTGCTTGAAAGAATGTTTTTTTTAATATAAACAGTGGAGATGTGGTATGATTGCAAATAAGATAACTTATCACCAGGGTCAAATAAAGTGTATGTACTAAGCAATTATATGCTCTCGTCCGGCATTCAACAACGAAAACACGTACCTTATAGTCGGATTTATAAAGCTCCGACATGAAAAATATGGAAGGAACAAGAAAACTAACGGCCTAACTCATAACAACACAATGTACGAAAAACAACAAATACGATAGAGATGAACCAACGACAACCACCGAACTACATGTACAGGCTCGTGACTTCGGACAGACACTTTAAGAATGTGCTGGGTTAAATACATTGTTTATTTTTTTAATTTCTGAAACGAATAGTTTGTTAAAAGAAAAGTGAAGAAAATATCTTTTTTCCATTGAAAATTAGAAGAAATAAATCATGAATTGTGTTTCGAATTAATCTACTTGAAATTAAGATTGTATTTTTTTTTTTTAAGTAAATTCAGTAAATTAAGTAAATTAAGTAAATTGGTAATAAATCAAGAACCGATTCTGTTAACATTTTGGATATAGTTTCTAAAACAGTTCGTAAAAACCGTTCTTATGGTCATAGAAAAAATCGCAATGAAAGAAAATTTCGGACCAATCATACCAATATTTCGGACCTAATTTCTATTTCAAAAAACAACGGCAGACATTATCTGTTAACAAAGCTCTGTTCATTACCGGTTAATAAGTTAAATAAAATTTTAGAGTATTGCAACACAATTTCATATAGCAGTCCTAAGTATGAAATCGTTCAAATTATAATGGCATATTGTTATTCTAAACTGTTTCCCAAAATTGATCGCCCTGAAGATCATAAAAGACAGTTTATTAAACTAAAGTATGTCAATAAAGGTTTTGATTTTGTAAATATTGCCGGTATTTTTAACGACCATTCTGTTAAAGAACAAATTCCGGGATATTTTGATAATACTGAGCTCCCTCTTATTTGTTATATTTACAAGAAATCTACCCGGAAATTTGTGTTTAATTATAGCCAATTGTGTAAAGATGTTAATATTAGTGAAAATACACCTACTTCATGTAATTGCAGTAATTCCGAATACATTTATGGACCCATTTCCCATGTTATAACAGGAGATCTTAACATCGTCCAAGACCGAGAGTTAAAATCATTCCTCAGTAAAGGACCTAAATATCGTCCCCCGTCAATTATTAATTGGAATGAGTGTCGTAATATCATCCACGACTCGCTCCATACTTACTGTTTGAAATGGATAAAACGGGAAAAAGCTGACAAAAAATCTTTGGACTCTTTTTTTAATTCAGTAATGAACATAGTTGATATACGTATTCAACATTTTAAAGAACATTTTACTCTTAACAATAACCACAATAAACCTATTTCTCGTATCAAACATAAACTAAAAGAACTAGCCAAGGAATTTGTTTTCGTCCCGGCCGATAAAGCTGCTAATAAAATTATTATTGTTTGACGTAAATTTTACATTGAGGTTCTGAAAAAAGAAATCACCAATCCACCAACATTCCAACTGACTCCATTTTCAGAAAACGACATCTGTAACAAACATAAACTTTTAGCTACCGCTTTACAAGCAGAACCAAATACAATAAAAGTCCCAACTATGTATTGGCTTCCGAAGCTACACAAAACGCCTTACAAATATAGATTCATTTCGTCTTCAAGCCATTGTTCCACTACTAAATTGTCTATTCTTCTTACCAGTACACTTGGTACAATCAAAAACCTGATAATAAATTGTTCAAATAAGGCCTTCGAAAATAGTGGAATTAATTACTTTTGGAGTGTCAAGAACTCGTTGGAAGTACTTGATAAATTACATGCATATATTGGTGATTTTGAATCTGTTCAAAGTTTTGATTTTTCTACCCTATATACCACATTGCCTCACATTCTCATTAAGAAAAAATTCACACACCTAATTAAATGGGCATTTAAAAAGTCAGAATGTGAATATATATGTTCAAACTCTTTTAGGTCATTTTTTAGTAGCAATAAACAAAAAAACTATGTCAATTGGACATGCTTTGATACTATATATGCCCTTGAATTTTTACTAGATAACATTTTTGTTCGCTTTGGAGATTCCGTATATCGTCAGGTTATCGGAATTCCAATGGGAACTAACTGTGCACCACTTATTGCGGACCTTTTTTTGTATTGCTATGAGTTACAATTTATGACAAAAATCAGCAAAGACCCATCGAAACAACATCTGATACACAAATTTAATAATACTTTTAGATATTTGGATGATATTTTGGCTCTCAATAATGACGACTTCAGTATGTATACTAAAGAAATTTATCCTGTTGAACTTACTTTAAATAAAGCTAATACTAACAATGACCACTGCCCTTTCCTCGATCTTGATATCTATATCATTAATGGAAAGCTAATTAATACTAAAATATATGATAAAAGAGATGATTTTTCATTTCCTATCGTTAATTATCCATTTTTAGATGGTGACGTTCCCTTGTCACCATCTTACGGTGTTTATATATCTCAACTTGTACGATTCGCTCGTGTATGTAACAATGTTTTAGATTTTAACGAGAGAAATTTATGTATTACTGAAAAATTATTACACCAGGGTTTTCGATATCACAAACTAGCTAGTCAAAACATTTACTAAATTTTATCATCGGTATAAGGACATCATTCGTAAATATAGCCCAACATGCAGACTTCTTATACGTTCAGGTATTTCACATCCAATTTTTTATGGAAATATTCTTTATAAAGCACAAAAATGTCAGTATTCACCTCTGAAGCTAACAAAACCTTTAAATAGACTTATTAAGAAGGGATATAGTTACGATACTGTTGTCAGGTCATTAAAGATTGCATATTTTGGCGTTAATATTGATTCACTTATAGGGTCTTTGCATCGGCACTAAACACATTTATTTAAAAACCAGTTGTTGGCATGACACGGGTTATGTTCTTCTCATATATGTTATGATGGTATGATACTAAACCCCTAACGGGAAGGATTGTGCCTAATATATTCATATGATGAAGACATAATCTTTCAATCAGTTTAATTGAAGTCTGGAGCTGGCATGTCAGTTAACTGCTAGTAGTCTGTTGTTATTTATGTATTATTGTCATTTTGTTTATTTTCTTTGGTTACATCTTCTGACATCAGACTCGGACTTCTCTTGAACTGAACTTTAATGTACGTATTGTTATGCGTTTACTTTTCTACATTGGCTAGAGGTATAGGGGGAGGGTTGAGATCTCATAAACATGTTTAACCCCGCCGCATTTTTGCGCCTGTCCCAAGTCAGGAGCCTCTAGCCTTTGTTAGTCTTGTATTATTTTTAATTTTAGTTTCTTGTGTACAATTTGGAGTTTAGTATGGCGTTCATTATCACTGAACTAGTATATATTTGTTTAGGGGCCAGCTGAAGGACGCCTCCGGGTGCGGGAATTTCTCGCTGCATTGAAGACCTGTTGGTGACCTTCTGCTGTTGTCTGTTCTATGGGCGGGTTGTTGTCTCTTTGACACATTCCCCATTTCCATTCTCAATTTTATCAATCAGTCTTTTTATTTGCAGGGAAAAACGAATAAAACACTGTTGCTAAGGCTGTTTGGCCTAAACTTAAAGTAGTAGATGGAGGGGTAGTGAGAAGGAGTGTATTCGTCCGAATTCTCATTGTAGTACATTTTCATGATTACTATGTATAATATTTCTCAGTAAATTTTAATGTGATATTGTGCCAATTAAAATTATATAATTAATACAAGTAAGACTTGCATTTGCTTTAAAAGATATACATGTAGCAGCACGTGATTATTTGTTTTCAAACACACCTTCTCTGTTTTGAAACTTATAAATGTATGGATCTCGGCCTATATATTTGGTTGAATATAAATGTGAATTCATAGTGTTTCCAAATCAACAGTTAGCCCTATTTTTGTGTGTGTGTAAATAATCTAATCTTTAGATATACTAGTATTCTTAAATTAAAATCATGTGTCTTAATAAGAAGAAAAAAGTGCAACTAAAGTACGCCTGAATGTAAAAAGGTGTACCCGACTTATTCTTTCACGATAAGAATTTACCGATTTCGGTATTTTAACAAAACTGTTCACGAGGACAAATAAATAAAAGAACGCTATCAAATCAACATTTAAACTTTCGTGGATTTTTCCAAAAGATTTAATGAGTATGCATCATCAGGAATTAAAAAATATTTCAACCTGTCCTTATTAGATGTTATTTGATTATATTTCTTTAACTTACAAGTCGAAGATGCTTTTGTGTATTGTATTAATAAGTATATAGCATTAAAATGACAACCACAAAAACTACATACAAGGTCATCTTTATTCTCAAGTAGAAAGTTTATATAGATAGTAAACTGTTTATGCCGTAGTCACAGCGGGATTTGTATCCCTTGTATCGGATTTTTTTTTCATTCTTTCTAAAAATGAATTAAAAATTCAAACAGTGTTAGCCACCGAGCTTGTTCATTTCTTAGAAAATTAATGTTCTTTATTTTAATATATTGGCTGTATCTACCTTTTACAAATTAGACAATAACATTAATTGAATAAGGAGATGTGGAATGATTTTCAATGAGAGAACTATCCAACAAAGTCCAAATGAAATGGATTTAACCAACTATTGGTCATTATACACTTCACAATGAACAAAACCCATATACCGTATCAAAATTGCCTGATTTATAACAAAATCATGAACAAATGTCAGACAGCAACCTACGACAGCCGCTATATTACATGTTCCTGACCAGGGACAGACACATATAACGTCAGGGGCATAAAAACAGGTCAGTGAAACAGTGACATGCCTTTCCGAAAGTTGAAACATTTGCCAGGTTTTGTATATGCCGTATTCATATTGTATACATCGGGGTATGTATAAGATGTAATAGGACTGTGTTCAAGCCTTATATTGTGTATACATCTTAAATGCTGTCAAGCGAATTGTATTTTTATCAAATGCATAATTAGATATTTGAACTTAATACTTTATTTTCTTTAAAAGGACGGCAAATAAATATTTTAAAATTAGCAAGTTGCCATACAGTTGAAAACAAGTTGCCATACAGTAAATTTGTCAACACGAGCAAGTTGCCGTACCCTAGACTTTATTTTTTATGGTCTATATTCTTTAAAAAACATCTTTTTGACAACAACTTTCAGTAAATATGATGCCACACTATAATAATCTAAAAGTGTGTCTGGAAAAATAATGAAAAACAGTTGAATATCTTGCCAATGTGGCGACAAAGGACGATCGACCTCGAAATTTTGGGTACTAAGTGGCAAGTTTTGAGGTATAACACAAAATATTGTCTTAATTTTGTACTGATCGGCCTAATAATTTAAAGAATTATATCAGAAAATTATTTCTTAAGCGGTACCCTCGTCAAATCAGTAGAAATGCTTTAAATTGATTGAATTCTTACCTTGTTTACTTCTTTTCCATTTTCCTCCGCTTCGTTAGTACCCAATTTCCGGTGGCGATGATACACAGTGGTTATGTTATGTAGCTACATAATGGATGTTATATTCTATGGAATGTAATAATTAAACTCATCATAGATACCACGATTAAATGTACGGTCAATCATGTTCAAAATTCAAATTGTAAAATACCTCAAAATGTTGAATGTTGCACCAAACATCAGGAGGCATAAAATGCCCCATAACGTTAGTCTTCTTACATGATCTCGTTCTAGATTGACATAACCCTAGTTCAGGTACGCTTATGTTGGTAGGTGCTGTGGTCCTTGACTTGGAACAATCTTCCCCACCAAACATGGAGTTACAAACGCATATACCTGTTTATTAAAAGAAGCAAAACGTTATGCCGGATTCTTGCTTTAAAGAACGACAAATTGAAAATCACATATTTATTAATTTTCGTCGCCTCAAAATATCTTTATTATTAATATTAAACATAGGAGACTGCTAGAATATGATACAGCAGTTATCCTGAAGGATGCTTCTGTGCGCAAGCAGCATAGTAAAACGTTCAAAATTTAAACTAACACATGTACATCGTTAAAACAAATTTAATACGTTTTTTGTAAATACCTAGATAATAACTATAGAAACCTACAAGGGAGTCGAACATAACTCCCAAAACAAATTGCAACATATATTGAGAGCGAAATGTCTAATTTTGAAGCCAATGCCCGGAACAACAATTTCATAGTTTCTTTAATAATCTAAAACAAGTGGATTTTCAAATGAAAAGATGATAAGTGGAATTTTGCTTCGGAATCGAATAGAACATCTGTGCATTTAGTTAAAGAATCTTTTAAGGTCTATGTGTAAGTTACTTTTATGAGAAAAAAAAATCTCATATAAATATTATGCCTTCCATAGTTAGAGTAGGACGAAAACAAATACGAAGTGACCATAAGTACAGTTACAATATAACTTACTTAATTTTCCACTGAAAGTCCTGCACTAGTTCGAATACAAAAACAACTTTGCTTCATTAAAGACCATTCTGAGATATACACAAAGAAAGACGAGTCCAAGGGTACACGTTTGATATTGTACCACTTAGCTGAAGAGACTCTTAGAAATCCTAATCTCTAATTTTAGTAATGTTAGAAACCGGTAGTTTGATACAGTAGTAGTTCTGTGAATACAAAACTTATCTTTTTGGGAAAACTAGTCTGATCCAGATGAGAAATACATAATCATATACAACTTCAATGCCCCCTCAGATGACATTAGAATATACAAAAACAAGGACAATCATAACGGTTTGATATTTAACGTACCGTTGATACAATTTCCATTAGAACTACAGTTGTTTAAACAAAGTAGACTTGTGAGTTTTTCTAGCAAAGTTCTACCGTCTTCTGTTGTTTCTTCCTTAAGGGTTTGGTTCCTCTCCAATTCTACTTTTGCGGCCGTAAGCATGGTGTCCAAAGTTGTAGACATAAACGATGTATCTCCTGCAGCCTGTTTTTACAACAAATTAAGGAAATAATTAATACTAAACAAATATTTTTAACATTTCCCTTCATTGAAGCATGTATTAATTAAAGAAAGAGTTGACGAATGATTAAAGTAAGAAAACCTACAATATGTTTTAACTAGGCAACAAAATTTACACAACACATGCATGGCAGTACTGTCAAATAGAGATATAAATGTCACCGCTTAGGATGTTTTCTTGGAGACTGCTGCCTTTGGGACGAACTTTTGGAAAATTCAGCGTATCAGCACTTGTTTACATTAACTTACATCAGAGGGACATGTTTTTCGTTCTACATATGACGAAAAGATTTCCCTTTGGACATTTACATCTATCAATTCATTCATCTATATTGATATTACTGCATATTCTTCTTTCAGGATAAAACCCTATATTTATCTTATTAGAGAATTAGAGAGAAAAGTAAGAATAAAAAGTATATGTAAAAAGTAAAATAACAAAAATACCGAACTCCAAGGAAAATTCAAAACGGAAAGTCCCTTATCAAATGACAATTCAAAAACTCAAACACATCAAACAACTGTCATATTCCTGACTTGGTACGGCAGTTCCTTGTTTATAAAATGGTGGATTAAACCTGGTTTTATAGCTAGCTAAACCCCTCAATTATATGACAGTCGCATAAAATTCCATTATATTGACAACAATGTGTGAACAAAACAAACAGACATTATAGGTAAAAATGTCAAAAATAGGGGTACAGCAGTCAACATTGTGTTATAATCTTAATCACAATAAAAACAAACAAGGTCACTGTTTTATTCTATCAAATTAAGACCTTTAGATGTATACAAAATTCACCAGATATTTTATTTGTTAGAAAAGCTTGCAATGAGAACATGTCTGCTTGAAATACAGCATTTGATGCTGTAAGCACTTTATTTACAATTGTTTTAATCTACCGCAGGCATGTGGATCTATAGATTATATACAGATTCCAATACATATAAGAAATCTCTTTAACTGCATACAATATAGTGTATTAACAAATTTTGTTTCTTTTGATTCTTAAATGATGTAAGATGGAAATATTCAACCGTGACGCCATTCTCTAGAAAGAAATATATCTTAAAATGGTCTTGTTAAAAGTTTTGTAAAATGACTAGCTGTCAATTATAGATAACATAAGAATATGTGCCTATAGGACACAATGCCTCGCTCAAACTATCACAATTTCATGTTCAGTGAATCACGAAATCAGCGTCTAAACTCTTGATTTGGCAAATTTTATTATACATAAAATCAAAACTTAAAATGATGTGGGACGGACTATTAGACACACAGACGGAAATATGTAATGTCACATCTATCGTAGGCGGGGCATTAAGAATACCTTTATATCATCAACACAGGTTCCAATGTAGTCATCTGGATATTCCCCAGTTATGTCACTTAAATCATGTGGAAATCTTTCGTTTATATACTCTCTACAAGTAGACTCCGCAAGTTCATACGTCCATCCGTTGCTCCATTTCGGTACCTTTAAAATTCGAAAATTGATTAAAAGTTCAGTGGTATATCATATATTCATGATATTATACATAAGAATGACAAATAAATTTCAATTTTGTGGAAATTCCAAGGATTGACGGAACTATGATCACCCTAATCCTTTATTTCGATAGTAAACCTGTCTAAAATGTGGCCATATGTCGTTTAGCGGGATGTGTCGATACGTTGAGGAACCATAGATAAAACTATCTACAGGGTTGGTAGGTAGCTTTTCTAAGGCAACATTTCTGCCCCTTTCTAAAAAACTGTTATTTTGCAGTGCCATTCCTAATTTCCCGCCCTTCATATCGGTCAACCTACCTTGCAGAACCTAACTCTTGCAATTTAAATTTTCTTTTAAAGCGTTATAGAAAATGGTCAACTAGACTTATCACGTCGGACATTATAACCCATAATAAAAAAGGTTTTCGTTTGATTTCGCAAGATGTATAGATATACAGTTATGTCCAGCAATCACAGGTACGTTAAATATTATGCGCCGCGCTCTGCACGTTTAAGACAACTTCTCTGAAGGTCTGTCTGTAGCTGGTTGTAAGGCAAAATGTCCCAGTGATAGTCCAAACTTTCGGCCCTTTATTTAGATCTACCCACTTTCCAGAACCTACTGTTTAATTAATTGTTCATTTGTTCTCAATCCCATTATAAATGAAATATTTTCCACCGGACGTTAAACAAACAATCAATCCACTAATTTTTCTAATATATCCCGATGCAGATAAACGAAGAACATCTTTTGTTCTGTTTATTTTAATGTGTTCAAATAACAGGAATTAGTGTTTGTTTACATGTTTATCCAGGCATACCTCATGAGGGACTGAGTCGTTGAAAACGTTTTCTGAAAAAGTCAGTGGTGTAAAATCTATTACATCATCAGTATCATCAGTGCTTCTAATCACCCTTTTTAGTGGATCACTAGCTGACCTTTTTTTTCGATTGCCATCTGAACATCTTGTATCTAAAGAGAGGTCAGTTTGAACATCATAACATGCTTCCATTGGTTGAGAAAGGTTGCAGTGCAGAAAGTAGTTGTCTGTTATTCCTCCTTGAGGTCCACCCACATTGGCACACGTGCAGTAAGATTGTAAACTATTCTCATATGATAAAACTGGCGGGTTTTCTGCAAATAAGGACTCACTGGTCCCTGTTACCCTAAAAATGCAAATAAATTAATGTGTATTTATGTATACTGGGTATTTGGGTATGATATAACAAATGAATTTAATTTGTTCTCATTTAGGTTTTGTAAAATTTAGATTAGACGTATTTGAGCTTTTGATTTTGCCATTTTATAAAGGACTTTCCGTTTGTAATTTCCGTTGGAGTTCGGTATTTTTGTTATTTTACTTTTTAAATGCAAGCCAACATATCATAAGTCGAATTTCTTGAGAAAAAAAACAACAACAAAAATTTACAAACATTTATTTTTGCTTAACTCCTTGTTGTATAAATATAAAATTGATGTGTGCTAGCTGCAGTCATTGCACAACAAAAATGAATTTGTAAATTTTAATGGATTTTTTTACTTTTTTAGTAAATGCAAAGTATTTGAATAGTATAAAGAAGTTTATAACTAGACAGGTTCTGTCAGATAGTCAACACCGAAATAGTATTTATCTATGGTTGTAGATTATCCATTCAAGGAATGTGTTTAGGTGTTAGAGATTTATGCAAATTCGAGATTTCCAAAACATATTGTTTTATATCAAAATTAATCAATTTACTCACTCCCATGATTTGGCAAAATCTTCTATAGATGTTGTTGCCTCGGTTTCATTCCTTTTACGTAAATCATCATCTCTTTGTCCGTTTTCACTGCTTATGTATCCACAAAGTCCTTCTGCGCTCCCAAGGTCGAGGACAGATGGTTTTACAGTAATGTAACGGATATATTCCCCGCTAACCTTAAAGCTTACTGTTGTTCCGATAGACAATGTCACCTTTTTGAAAGAATGACAAAAATATTAGTTATTGGCTTGATAGCTATGTGAATTAAACATCTCTTTTCGCCCAATTGGACTAGGCGTTTTACATTTAAACCCCTAGACAAATAAATCTGATACACAGTCACTTCTGAGTGTAATTACAATTGTAAGACAATAAGTAACTCACTTTTTACACTATTTGGTTCTTTTACAATTTTGTACAAAATGTTTGACAGTAAAGTAAGAAATCATTCGCCATTAAGTTTTAATCGCATTTTCTGATGAAGAAACAATGTATTTGTATGTGAACTTTAGATTTAAAGATGTTAGCGAAAGGTTTCGGTTTCAATGCACTTACTATACACAAATGATATCGCTGTGATAGTTTAACAATCACGTCACCACATTTTATTTTATTTTTGCAACTACTTAGGGGTAGGCCACGGTAATCAAATAAATGTCCTGACGAATCTTTTTGGTTAAGACACAGACATCTTGATATAAGAATGTTTATCATTATAAGATCTCAAAAATGATGCTATTATAACATTTTCGCAGATTTGTATTTAAGTTGACATAATGGTTTTTATTTGCGACAATATACAAATGTACATGATATAGTTCATATCATGTTATTCTCAAGAATAATATGAAAACTATAGGCACTGAGCTTGTTGTTAAGGGCATACGATACAGTTATGATTCCATGGTGATTTTTTACAGAAATTTGCATACACGTTATTTTTCACCTAGTCAAATCAAATATGTAATAAAAAATATACCTTCATGTGCTACTTTAAGAGATACATGGGGTCGAAATTTTATACATTTACTCAAAATTTCGGTTTTTTGGACATTTCTATCCTTTGGATAGACAAAACAAACCTAACTTTTTTGTTTAAAAAGATAAACAAAAGCGGATTTTTGTAAAAACATTTGGAAAATCTTCTCAACATAAGTATGCTCTAAATTTTTATAATAATTCTTTGGAAATAATTAATTTTTATTAAAGTTTCATGATTTTAGAAAAAAGAAATTTTTTTGTTGTATATTTATCTAATTTAAAAAAAATTCATCGGTGACTTTTTCATAAAAATTGGTACAAATAATCTTCATATGCAGTCAAACCTAATGTCACTTTAGAAAAGAGGGGTCCATGAACTCGTTTTCAAGTTAAATCATTTTTAATGACAAAAAAAACAGTCGACAAATGCATTTTTCCCGATATGCCAGAGTTTGCCGTCGAGAAAATAACATTTTACGTTAGCAACGTCATTACCTCCCCTGTAACTGTATCGTTTGCCCTTAAGCTACTGATTATGTCAAATGGACATATTTTGTAAGGATTATACATGAAATCAGCATAGTAATATGCACAGAAAGAAAATAAACGACTAGATTTTGAAATAGAATATAATGATAAAGCTTGAATAAATTGATGATTACAAATTAAAAAACAAATTTGGGAGAAGTACAACGGAATCAAAACTATACGAGATCTACCTAATAGGAAGAGAAACAAAAATTACTTTAGTGACATCAAAATAGTATCACTAAAGGAATTCCAATTTGGCCTTCACAAATAAATACAGAATCTGCAGAGCATGAACTAGCCTGAAAAAAGCAGGTTTGAAGACAGGTAAAATCATTTGGAGAATTGTGAAATTCAAAGTGGCTTTGGCAAGAGAAAGGTTATGTGAAATTTTATGCCGGAGAGTCATATATCATACTGAATACATACAAAGAACACGGAAACATACAATTGTTGTTCAATGTACAATTTGGATCGGAAAATACAGCACACAGGATGAATATGGAACAGCAACATATAATACATTTGAAGAAGACACTTATTAACATAACACGCCAATCCAACACAAAGAACTTCAAGCCCATGAGTCAGAATTGTTCAGATCATTTTTCGAAATCATCACTTATTTACACGCAGCGCTGATAGTGGTTTCAGACATGTTAAACCAGAAGAATATAAACCAAGACTATTTAATATCAATGGTGATGAAAATGGAAGAGAAGTTGTTAAGAAGGTTTCATGAAAACGGAGCAATTTAGATTCAACAGACGTATATATTCTTGACATGGGTGCATACATATATCTCTGGCTGGGTAAAGGTTCCAAAAAAATGAAAAATGCAACGGTCTGCAATATGTCAATGCTTTAAAAGATGAAAGAAGGGGAAAGAGGTCCGAAACTAAAACTTTGAAAGAGGAAACAACCTCAGACTTGGACGAATTTTACAAAACTTTGTAAAAAGGAAATGAAAATTATTTAGTAGTTCCGATTATGTTTCTTCAAAAAACAGAAAAAAAGAACTTTATAGGTTATCTGATGAAGTTAAGGAATTGAAGATGACTTCGGGAAAATGGGACAATTATTTGTTTAGGTCCTTTTTGGTCATATAGATCTTCAACTGTTTCGGACGCATGACATTTATAACGTGTTGTTTTCATTTTTGTTTACAACATAATGACTTAAAATCCGACGAGCTTTTGATTTTGCTATTTAATTAGAGACTTTCCATTTTTGAATTTTCCTCGGAGTTCGGTATTTTTGTAATTTTACCTTTTTTATATTTGATATACAAGATGAACTATTTGCATGGATTGGAAGTGCAACTTTATATGCTGAACTCAAACATACCATTATATATGCACATAATTATTTAATGGAAACAGACTATCCATTAGTGTAAGTTACCTGTCTTAGTGATTGAAAGACAACAAAGCCATTCTGCAATTGATGCATAAACATTCAAAACTTGTATTGTGAACATAGGTGTTACTTTACACTAACAGTGAATTGTGTTTAACATGCAGGTCTGTGATTCAAGAATTTTAGAAATTTTAGGCTCTAAGGCTGATATCATGACATAGAGCCAACAAAGGATCTTATTTGAAAAATGCCATGTAATAATCTATACTTAAGAAACAAGTACGAAACCAAGAGACAGATATCTGACAGACTAATGTGAACATGTAAAGGATGTTAATTGATTGATGCTTGACTATTTATTTTATTAAATCGAGATAACTTATCACACCTTCGTCATCATGTTTCACTTATGAGGATTTTAACTGCATAACATTATATTTCAAAATAAATTATCCATTTAATCATGGTCACATGTAATAAAATTTTACTTAATCGCGCCATACTAAGTTTACTTTTGAAATGTAAAAATGATACTTCATTTTTGAAGATCAACTGCTCATTTTCTAGGTAAGAATTATATATATTAATTGTAAAATTCCAGTATTCAATATTTAAAAGTACTAACATCATATATTCCTGAACTGGTGTTTTCCTCTATGACCATGCTTTTGTCATCACAGATGCGTTTATCGACGAAAGGTGTCGATAGCCCACGGACGTATTTAACTTTTTTGGATATATTTTTACAAATTCTAAGAACAAAAAGAGATTGGCCAGCCTGAATAGCCACCCCACAGTTACAGGATGCAGAACCACATTTTGTAAACAATGCATTAACCTGAAATATAAGTATACAATATATATAAGTACGTCTAAACAAGTGACAAATCTATCCATTGGATCACCAGTGAAGGTGATACACGGCTGAAAACACATATTATATTCATAATTTATCTAAGTATCAGTACAACAATGTTAAATCTGCAAATTTGCGGAAGCAAATTTTTGTTCTTCCCTCGCCGGGATTCGATCTCATGCTATTGGGATATCGAGACAACACCGCCTGCACTGTGTCCAGCGCTCTAGACCACTCGGTCACCTAGATTGAACTAATAATTCAGCTTTAGGTAGCCTAGTGTTACCTTTCCTCGTCAGTAGAATCTAGAGTTGTAACACAGTGCATGCTATATATATCTATATATATATATATATGTTTACTAGTATCTTAATTGTAAATTTAACAGACGTTTGAAAATATGTAATAGTTGATAATCGAAGTTTTTAAACGAAAAATTAATGTGAAATTCACCACTGGTAAGTTTCTTTCTTTTATATAAGGATTTGCATGTACATTTTGAATTTTTCTTTCATGAAGTTTCACATAATGTAAACCCCTAAAAAATGAATGAATTTTGACCGAGGAAAATATAGAGTAATTTTCGATTAGATACCCAAAACAATCAAGTGTTAAACAGTCTACAACAACGACAAGATACACTCCGTATAAAAACTGCTTGCTTTAAATAGACCAAACAGTATAACCCAAAAGACATAATAAAGAAAATTAACATATTCAAAACAACAGCAATGCGACATTCAAATTTATGATAGATGATTAAAGCGCCTAATTTAACAATCATCAGAACAGTATAGTAATACTAGTAGTTGAAAATATATGACTATTTGAACTGAAAATCAAAAACCATAAAAGATCAACATAACCCGAGGAGCTTTAAACCTTACATGAAATCGAAATTATAAAAGATAAAATGTATTAAATGCCTAAGATATGATCATTTGTCCAACTTCGGTATGCAATTTTAATTACCTGTTTTGATAAGAAACAACTACATGAGATGACACTTCTACGGTTCCATAACAAGAAAGTTTCTTTACAATTTTATTACCCGCATCAAGTAGTAAGGGCATTGCGTTTCCGGGGAATGCGTGCGTCCTTCCGAAATTCTTTAGAAAAACTAGTTAAGCATAAGGTTGTGGTCAAATGAACCAAAAACATAATATGCAAGTTCATTCACGTATACAATGTATATTAAACAATTTTGTATTCTCCAATGTCATTGTCTTACAACAACGCATCGAATGCAATTGTATCGTCATGTTTAAGGCAGATACTACAAACCACATAGTGCTTCTTCGTACCTTTAATATATTCTAGCAAGAAACGTTGTTTGGTAGAAGAAAAAACTTGGTACGGGTGGGGTTTGCTTGATTGGTTATTTTTTAAATTGCATTCTTCAAACCAACGACAAAAATTGTGTCAAATAAATTTCTATAATATCATATATATGACAAGCACACAAATATAATACTCGCTACAAAAATCTGAAAAACAAACTCTAATATCAGGAGGGAATGATTATTCCAAAGACAACATACCTGATATGGATATTTTGTATTTTTGTACAGGATGTACTCTCCAACACCATAGTAATCATACCGTGTTCTGTCCGCAGTCCAAAAGTGAGGATCGTTGAAGACTCTACATAGGCGATTTTTCATTTTTTCATCAGCGTCTGAGACTAAAATCTATAAAGTAATTATTGTGAATATTTAATTTGGTTCCTTCATTGATAATGTTGCACAATGACTTCGTCATGACAGGCACTAGTTTTTTGCGAAACCGTCTATACGTATATGTAAATAATGGCCAGAACTTTAAGGAAATGACAAAATAGCCAAATTGCCAGTGATCTTGTGGCTTATATTACTTTTGATAAAGAATCGTGAGAAATTTATGCTTATCAGTCTTCAACATTCAGACTGTCGGATTTCCAATATTTGGCTTCCTAGGACAAACAAAATTATAAGTTAAATAAGGAAAGACATGCATTTTTTCAAAACATTATACACCAAACGAAACTAATTTCGGCAAACGGTGATGAAGCTGGTTCTCTCCAGGGCAATTTACATAATAAGAAATAAATCTGTCAAGACGAAATGTCTTATTCTACAGCGTCCACTTATTTAATTCAGTACCCTGAATTTGTAAAATTATACCGCTTTAGTGTATACATACGTAGTCAAAATTACAAAGGAATTAAGTGTCTGAAAGATCTGAAAAGTGCTCATACGTTGCAATTCATCAGTCAACCTGCTGACCAAATACGGAGTCATTCTGTTAGAAAAGTGTGACAAAAATATCTGTTGGACAAACTTTCTCAATCACCGAGTTATTATATGTAGCTGCTCTTTAAGAGTGTATAAAAAAGTCGCACACTTCTTGTAAAATTGTGTTGATGTATGCCAAACTTTAGTGGTTAATCATGGTTAATTTAAGGTTTTATTTGATGAAACGAACCAGGTTGATCAATTGGCATTCGATTCAGAACAGTTATACATTCATATTGGATTACGTTGGTCATTTTTAATGCAAACACATACTTCGTTTAATGTTCATTTATTTGTAAATTGTGTATGTACTGAAGAAGACATTGCTATGTTGTAAAACTAGTGTCTCGTCCGTTTGTTTAGTTTCTGAACAATAAAATATATTTAAACTAAGCCACATACTATACATCATTTGATTATCATCACAGTAAAGCTAGTTTGATACAAAAACAAAATGCATGGTCAAAGGCATAATTAATAAATGTCCTGTACATAGTCAGGAAAATGACCATTGTTATATTATAGGTCGTTTCTGTGTGTGTTACATTTTAATGTTGTGTTTCTGTTGTGTCGCAGTTCTCCTCTTATATTTGATGTGTTTCCCTCAGTTTTAGTTTGTAACCCGGATTTTTATTTTTCTCAATCGATTTATGAATTTCGAACAGCGGTATACTACTGTTGCCTTTATTTAATACATACTTGTCATAAAAAGTATTATTTAACTTCTTTTTTACAACACTAAGTCGATTCCGCTGGTCGTGAACTGCAAGTCCTAATCAGCTGTATTTTCTTAAACAACGATATTTTCAAGAAACTATGTTTCCAACTCCCTCAAAACGGATTTGGGTATTAATTTTAGGTTCATTTTGGTCATATAGCCTTTCACGTATATCTTTATTTATTTATCCTAAGTTGCCAAATATTTGGCTTAGAGTGTTCTTGATAAATGTAAATCCAGAAAAGGGCGTCGGACGCATAACATATATAGAGTGTTATTCTAATGTTTTGTCACACAGCCAAAACAAAAACTTTATACGAATTTGTATTCAATGGTCCCTCTAATAAGTCTTTCCTATTTTGAATAAAACTTTCAACTTGCTACTGTACTATCTTGCGATTATACGGAAGGATTTCAAAGTAATCAAGGGACTAAAAACACTATCTATTGATCAATTTGCAATTGGCAATTGAGTTTGCGTCATGTAATACAAAGGCTTCTTGGTAAAATAGGTATAGAAATAGAATGTAATGAACTTTTCTCGTCTTACAATAAGACTTTGCGGATAGGGCGTCAATTTGGCAAGGCTGAATAAAAAAAGTCATGCCCGGATCAAATTGTTACTCATTTCATTTCATTTTGAATTGCAGGGACGATGTAATTTGAATTAATATGAACGAGACCTAAAGACACATTTTTATTCCATACAGTGTTAATTACCTCAATGTCAGGACTTGTTATGTTGTTCCAAGCACCTGTTAAATCAACTGTACTTATGAGTGACATTAGTCTTATTTTTGTTGATCTTTTTCTGCTCCCACTGTATTGACCGTCAACATAACCTGTCACATTAAACTGAATTGACTGTCCACTATATTGTGACGGAACTGTTAACCCACAGGACTGGAAACTGTCGAAGGCAATGTCCTGTTGCAAAATGTTGCTTGAAGAACAAGTTGTTGGCACATTTTGGTATTTCGGCTGTGTAACGTAAAGTAAATGATTACAATGTGAGACTTGGTCAGCTCGAAAACAACCAACTGGAACGGTAGCTGTATATGAGATTATCGTGCTCTCACTTTCAATTACTTGGTATTGAAATTGATCTGGCTGAAATATGAATTTTACTATTCAGTACAAGCACCAATATTTAATTTTGAAATTTATTAAAATGAGTAGATACTTAAACAAATTAAATAACAAGATACTGTATTAAATTAACTATCCAATAAAATAACACTAATTATAATAAAAATAATAAAATTATTTGTTCGATAAGGTCATCGACTACCAGAGTCCTTCACTTATCTGTTAGATTTTGTAACTTATTTGTCTGAAAAGTTGAAATTTTATCCTAGAATATTTCATGTATTGCACAATTTGATGTGTTATTGTTTGTTAAATGTATCTAATATTAAACAAATTGTTTTGTCGAAAAAAATGTAGAATCCCAAATGTTTAGTCTGATATATACGTCTCTGACAAACAGAATACCACAAATAGGATTTCATACCTAAACTGACCAATTACTATTCTATAAAACAAGTCAATATTTTAAATAAACAAAAATATAAATATGCCAAACATTTGTAGATCAATCAAAATAAACGATATCAAAGACATAATTTCATAAAAAAAAACAAAATTGAAACAAAAATATAGCAAAATGAAAGGGATTGACTTATGTTATGTTCATGAAAGAAAAAATAATATTGGTAAATGTCCATAAAATGTTACAATGTCAACTAGTAATTCTCCCTGCACAGGCGATAAATCTAATATTTTATTTCATTTGCGACTTTTGAGGGCTTTAATTCAGTGCATAACAGCTACTAGTATGTATGTTAGAATTCAGTCGACGACAGCTATGTGTGTAAGAACAACTTAATTATTCAGTTCAACGAATTAAATCAAATGAAAGTAAAACCATCTTCATACAAAGCCTGCTTACAGTTTTCAAATCAACTGTTGTTTTACATCATTTTAAAAACACCCGAAACCTTACAACTCGCAACTGCAAGCTGCTGATCAAATATGAGTAACTCTTTTCAGTAGTACCTGATACAACTCATCACTATCAACCTGCAGACCAAAGATGCGGTAATTTTGTAGAATAGTACCGGAGAAAAATGTGACGGACATTGATATATTGTACGAATAACGTAAACGGTACCAATTTCACTGTACCAGATGCACATTACAACGAATGTCTCTTCAGTTAGTTTAAACATATTTTTATGAAGGTACTAGAAGGTCTATTCATTGATGATCGAGGCCAACATATTTGAAATATTCTCATTCAAATATTGAAGAGCTTATAAAAGCAAAAAACAACAAAGTGTATCCAAAGCTAGACAAGGAATTAGAGCTTTGCATGGCGGAGGTAGATTCCTTAATTTAAAATAATTTCTAAAATTGTGTTACGACAAATTTCAATAACAGATATAGTCGTATTCACAGACGAAAGAACAAACTGACTGCGATATAACAGACTTTGGGTTTGATAATAACATGTTTATTTATTCTTTTTTTTTTTTCTCATAAATATGCTACATGCATTGTAGGCTCGAGATCTCTTACATTGTAATTTTCCATATATAATCTCTTTTTTCTATGTCATTACTCCTGAAAAGAATATTTGCACTATATATTGACCTTTGATATAAGACATGTAGGTTTTAGAGTGTAAACAAAGCATTTTTCCAAAGAATTTTCATTTTAAAGGGATGTCCATTAATAGTCATACTTGATCGTCACTGATTTATGAACACGTCTAACATTGTCAATTGCATCGCTGATATAAACCTTTGATATAAATTTCATAAAAAAACTGACAAGAAATGTAAGGTCGAGAGTGTTTAACACTGTAATTTTCATATAATTTACTGTTCCAAGGTACTAAGTTTCTTAAGAAATAGTTGATCGGCACTTATTTTTGAAATATTTGGTGGCATTACTACAATATACCTTTGATATGATTTCATGAACATCGGACACAAAATGTAGGCTTCAGAGCATTTACAACTCAATTTTTCATATAATTTGTTTAATTTGATTTTCAAAGTGACATAACCCCTTTTTAAAAATGTTGACCAGCGCTTTTTGTCGCAGTCATCCGGAACACTGCTGGCATAAACATTTGAGATATAAATTTTATAAAAGTCTGGAAAATATTGTTAGTGAGAGCGCTAACAAGACCGCACGGATGGACGGCTGACCGGTATTTCTATGACCCGCACAAAGCGTTGCGCAGGGGACAATACACTGGGGGTACGTAACGGTATTAAACTGATGACAGATCAATGTTGTTATTAAGCTACTTGCTATAAACAATACGTGTATCTACACATTGCTTACAGAGGAATGTACTATTAAATGTCTCAATCCCTAAATGCAGGTAATATTTTTTGCTTTAAAGACTCAATGTATCTACCTGAAAACAATAATGTCGTATTGTATCTTTAAAGAAATAAAAGAGAGGTACATTACGATACAGAACGTATTACAGATCAATGTTATTTGAAAGCTGTTTGCTATAAAAGCGGCATCAGAGAACAGTTACTTACGTATAAACCGGCTTTGAACCAGTTACTGTCATAATAAGGACCTGGAAGGCTTTCAGCTCCATTTCGTAGTCTTACAGAACACCTTACCTATGAAATGACATTTGTTAATAATTGTTTGATCTATGATTTGTTTCTCTCTTAAATAATTATATAAGATTACAACGTAATATACTGAGTACATTTATTTATGATTTATATAAAAAGTATTTGTCCTGCTTTTAAGGTCAGATGCGCAAATCGCCCACATGTATTGTATTGATACCACTGTACAACACATTCGGACATATTCCGTGTTACGTACTGTAATGAAAGTACTTTTGAATAAACAAAAATATCGAAATAAATGATGATAAGGTTATACTAATAATCATTAGAAAAAGAAGGAAGAAAAATAAATAACGACAAAGAAAAATTCAGATAACAGACGATCAATATTTCAAAAAACCTTTCACCTATATTTTGAAAAATAGCACCATGAACCTTATATAACAATTCCGGAATATCTCAGAAAAGAAATACAGTTTCAATTTATTTGCAGTGTCTGTCATGTGGCCAATAACAAGTAAAATTATGTCTGCTATCAAGATATTTTTGGTTAATAGTAATATTTGAGTGCTTCTTAAATTAATGTACATAAGCTTACTATCATATTCATGTAATGATTTCCAACCCAGTCATCGGGACGAAGGTCTGTTTGTCTTATACTACTGTACAATTTGTTGTTGTGTTCGGTGACATAATATTCATTTATATACCAATAGACATCGTACACGTAGTTTGAAACTTGATCAAACATGCACTGGAAGACAACGACAAGACTTGGAATTTTAGATTCGTCCGGATTAGCAGGAGGTCCGTCATCTAATGTTGATACTACATGTGGTATTATTTCAGCAGTTGGAAACCCTGTGTCTATAGCAACATGACAAATACATTGATGAACAGATGAACTAATTTTCATAAAAACTTGCATTTATTTCATCACCAAAAATGTATTTTTGATCTCAAATTGAGAGACAGTTCAAGCAACACTTTATGAAACGTTAAAATTACCAAACAACGATATATTAATAGGACGCAACAAGTATAGAATAGATATACCATAAACATATAAACTTGGCTAAGAATACATTTTCAAAACAGCAGAAATCCGGGTTTCAAATTAGTTTTTCTCAAGTGAATGTATTTATTCTAAAAATGATAATTCACAGCTTACGTTAATATTGTTATGTTAGTAAACAAATACTCTACGTAGTAATAAGCTTGTAACAGCAAAACGTATAAAGCATAAGCGTACAAAAATACTTGTTTGTTTTATGTATTTGATAATGGAAATCCCTACTTCTCCATTGAGAAAAATGTTGATATAAACATGACTGATATACATTGTGTAGTCATCGATTTTCCTTACGTTTTAGTAGAAAGAAGTGTGATGACTCCGTGATCTTTGAACGAGAGGGCTTTCCAAATTACAATTTACAAGTTGTAATTGCTTAGTAGGTCTAATGTTTACAGATCGTTGTTTTCTTATTAAACCATTTATTAAGGCCAAAACGCGATTTGTTTTGTATTCAATTAATGTTTTTAAAAACCATTTTTCCATCCCAAATTAAATAATTTCAATGACACATTATTTTCTCTCTTTCCAACTTGGTCAGATTTTCTTAATGATAGACAAACGCTATGCAAATAAATGTTTTCCATTGCATAACTTCACAGTTTTATAATTTTGATAAATTTCAATAGTTTCTTCTTATCTGATACCGATCAACGTTGAAAACAAATATATTTATATATGATAATTCTATCATGACAATTTGCCATAGTATAAAATACACGCCATTGGTCACTATCAGAGGACGCCAATGTAATTTATATCTTAAAAGAAAGATCTTTAAAAATACCAAATATACTTACTAGTGCAGCCTGGATAATACCCATTGTATGAAGACTCGCCCATTGGACATTGTACACCTCCTGTGCCTTAATATGAAATATGAACAAGGGTACGAATATCAGCAGGAAAAATTCATAAATTTATTGCTAAATATACTTTGCCATTTGTGCATTCATTCCAAAAACGATATCTACGATAAATAGAAATGATCTTATTGAGAGAGAAAATTAAATGATAATAACATAAAAAGTTTCTGACCAGTATTGGTTATTTAGATATAACATATAACCACATAATTTTCATTCGGTCTTGCAATTCTAAACAATTGTAAAAGTAAGTACTCAATTTTAGCCGTTTTCAGAGTACAAAACATTTTAAATGAAGACTTTGTATCGTACGTGAAACAAACAAGTGAACAGCTAGATATGTCGGTCATCTCCAAAGGCGTAAAGGCATGAAAAAATAAGGATACGTGATATGATTGCAATTAATACAACAATTCACCACTTCATTCCCTTTTTGCAGGCACCTTTTAGTATATCGTCTAAAGAACCATAAAGAAATAAAATTTAAGCGCTTCGGTCAGCCTTTGTTTTAGATTTTGAAATGTTTCTATTTCCCTCAATACAGTTATTCATACTCACCAAAGCAATATGCAGACTTTGCTCGTTTGCTTGTTTTCAGATTATAAACATAAAAGTCTGTACAGTTTTTAATATCGATATTCCAGAAATCCTCACAAAAATCTGTAAAGGTGCGTGTACAAACTTTTCTCGTCACCACCCCATCATCGACTGAAGGTAAGGAACCTGTAATATTGTTATTAAAAAGTAATAATAGCAGGATGCTGTTACGTAGTCTTTAAAACGTTGTCTCTATAAATATATCACCCTGAGGACTCATCCTATTATATCATTCAATTCAGCTAAACTTGTCAGAAAAGAACATATTGGGAAGGATCCCAACCATTTTCAAGATATATTAAAATTCTCAAATGGCAGGGGATAGTGATCTTCCCTTTGCGGTTCTCGATCACCCTATATATAGCTAACTAGGCTTAAAAAAAGCTTTCGTTAGTCGAGTAGGGCATTTCCTCGTCAGCTTTATGTTGGGTTGTACCATAGTACATGCTGTATTGTGTCAAGTAGATGGCGTACATTTTAGATCAACTATATTTAGTTTGTCATAAAGGATGATAAAGTTACATTACATACCGCTACATCATATTAAGATTTTATTAAACACGTCTTAACATGTAAAATTTTTACGACAGATATTTCAATTTTTAAATTACACCAATTTCACCCGCGTATGGAGTATACATTTCTCAACTCAAACAATATGTTAGAGCTTAGAATTTCTACACATACTTTGTAGAACTTCATCGGTGCCTGCGTAAAATATTGCTGAGCCAGGGTTTTTTCAAAGAGCGTATCGTCCTTTTTCTAAAAAAGTTCATATGAAAGTACCAAGAACTAATAGATTCAGTGTCTACTTCACAAATAATACACTGTTCTATATTTTTATTTACTTTACATTTTTCCCTTTATTTGTCTTTATGCTATCTGTTCCTTTTGGTCGTACATGTATGACTCTTGACGTGACTCGGTATTTATGCATCCAGCGATCGAGTTTTTGGCTTTGAGCGATCCTGGTGCAGGTAGGTCAAGATGTGTGATTCGGGCAAAAGAGGTTTTTACAGAGTTTTTTTTCATTTTTACCCTAGCCTCGTCTTGATATTTTACTTCATTTGTACTGTATCGAAGAAGAGTATACTATATACTGTATGTACTATCAACTGCAAAAACCTTTTTGTTGGCATCAATGTTAGAACTACTTGAATGTTTGTTTGAATTTTTAATTCAGTTGTGCTGTTTGTCCGTGATGTGTATCTACACAGTTTTGGCTGCTGAATACCAAGTGTTGCCACATCATCCTATTATGTCTGTTTGGGTTGCTCACCCAATTTTGTCAATATAGCGGAACTATAAATGACAAGCATACAAGATGGAGGTTTAGCTAGCTATAAAACCATAATTTTCTTCGAAAAATGCCGGTACCGAAATACACCAGGAACATGAAGATTTTCATTCGCTCCATTGATAGATAAAGTCTTACGTTTCATTTTGTCAGATTTAATGAACTTCCCCTTTATGAATTTACCTTGGAGTTCGGTAGTTTTGTTATTTTGTTATACTTTTTTATATGATTTTTCAAGTTTTCAATTAGCAGGCTGATGGGACCAGTCCTATTAATCTTTCAATTCATCTGGACACGACAAACAAGAACATAGCTGGTGAGGGGTAAAGATGTCAACTAACTAAAGATATTTAAACATTTGCAAATAACAGGAGATGTGATAAGCTCTTGGAACTCTCTATAAACCTTTCAGTTCATCTTGATATGACAAACAATAAAATATATAGTACAGATAGAGGGATCTCACTCATTTTCAAGATATTTAAATATTTTCAAATTTAATAGGATGGGGATGACCCTTCGGGAACCCCCTAAATTTGATTTGAATTTGGTCATTAAGAAAACTTTCCATTCATCAGAATCTTGTACCGTCTTTATGTATTTTAAAAAATCATTTTCAAGGTCAAATGTCAAATTAATAGCAAATCAAAATTCACTAATTGTAGTTTCTATTGATTCATGTTATTCCGTAAGAAGTCGAGAAATACTAGTAATCTACACATTGGTACAGTAAGTTATTTTGATTACCACACATATTAGACCTGTGACAGGTTTGAGGACTGCTCCGATGGGTCTTTAGACCATAATGAAGTAAACATAAAAAGCTGATTTGGTCCTAGAACTGTTTTGATGACTGCCGAAAAAACTTTTGACAAGTCCGCTACTACCATTCCCTTTGGAACCAATCTTGCACAAAGTTAACTTCGACCCGGACAGCCCGATTCAACCAGACATCTTTTCTACTTAACTGTCGGTCTGATCTGCCCCAATCTTAGTGAACTCGCAACCAGAGTCAATGTACATCGAATATTTGAAAACTCCCTTGTTTCTTGATATAACAATACAGTACACAATAAACTTTGATTGGAATAACAATATTTCCTGATCTGACTTTAAAAATCGAAAAAATATATTGGTTAAATTTTAAAAGACAAACAGTTCACGTCCATACCATATATTTTTTGTACTCTAATAAAACGTCATTTATTTTCTATTAAACAGTTCAAGATGTCATCGGCTTTTAAATATAGCAGTATGTGTATATTTGTGAGCTTAATCACTTGATTCTTATATCATTAATTAGCAATGCCCATTTTTGTACTTTATATTGACATATATATGGCGATATTATAAATCAGCAAATTTGATTACCCAGGATAGACTGTCAAGTATAAACGTGATACATGACAGCAATACTGATACACCGTTACTAACCAAGTTTGTTAGCTTTAATTCAGAGTGGCACGATTTCATCTTTTTATTCAAAATACAGAACCGGCATTAAAGTTCAGTAGTCTTAATATCTCTCAATATGGTTTGTATAACAACGGTGTTTGCCCGATTCAATTAACACTGTTCATGTTCATACTTTGTGTTGAATTATATATGCAAGTTACAAATCAGTAAATTTGGTGACTTGTAATAAATTGTATAATATAAATGACTGCAATAGTGGTGCGTTATAAGTAAACAATTTTGTGCACTTCTCTTAAAGAGTGCAAACATTTCGTTTTCTATTCGAAATAACAAACGGCCTTTATAAATCCGTAGTTTTTATATCTCAGGACGGTTTATTTAACAAAAATAGTTGCCTGCATTAACCAACACTGTTCATATTTGTTTTTTTTATGATGATAATCATATCTCGTTATCAATATGAATATATGCATGGTTATCTATGACACAGATATTCATACAAACATGCAAGATTGTTGTACTTAGTCGCAAGAGCTATGAGTAAATATTGTGATTAAAATTAAAAATTTTCAGCATCGTCCGACAAAAAACTATGACAGGAGCGTATAATATGTCCTTGTTTTGCATACTGAAATTCTTGCAAGAATAAAAGATATATTTAATATGTATTTTTATCAAAAGTCGATGTGAAGCTTGTATTCATTAATCCTTACAACAATGAAAAGTTAAAAGTACATCTAACAAAGCATACTCAAGTTAGTTTACAGCATGTGAAAAATGAACTAAAATTTAACAGTACAAGTATGTAACTCTGGAAGGTTCATTTCTGTAAAGAAAGACAATTCAATATCCCATAAGAACTCCTTTTACGGCTAAAACTGTGCCACTTTTACTATGAACATTCGTACAAAATCATATCCTGGAATGGAAAGTTCATATGCACTGCTATTCTTTGGCAGAGGTCAAAACATAGGGTTGTGCTGCATATTTTCAACATTTATATATACAAAAGAAGATGTGGTATGATTGCCAATGAGACAACTCTTCACAAGATACCTAATGACACAGAAATTAAACAACTATAGGTCACCATACGGCCTTCAACAATGAGCAAAGCCACTACCGCATAGTCAGCTGTAAAAGGCCCCGAAATGACAAATGTAAAACAATTCAAATGAGAAAACTAACGGCCTAATCAATGTACAAAAAAATGAACGAAAAACAAATATGTAACATAGCAACAAACGACAACCACTGAATTACAGGCTCCTGACTTGGGACAGGCACATATATACAGAATGTGGCGGGGTTAAACATGTTAGCGGGATCCCAGCCCTCCCCTAACCTGGGACAGTGGTGTAACAGTACATCATAAGAAGAAACTATAAAAATCAGTTGAAAAAGGCTTAACTTATCAGATGGATACAAATAGAAATACATCTAACAAAAACACTAAAACACAGAGTGGACGTGGCCGGGTAATTGTACATCCCAACAACAAAAAGACACTAAGTACAGATCTTATTTGCTTAGATTTTTCAATACTGATTACCTTTCATAAATAGAATTATGATATAAATATAGTGAATAAAACCATGCATTCATATTATTACCATTAAGCCATATGGGGTACCATGTTCCACATCTAAATGTAGCTGGTGGTTCAGTCGGCATGTCTGTACCTGATCTGCTGATAATCCTATACCAACCCTCTTGCAAGACATCATCACTTATAGCTATATCTGTATCGAAGTCGTAAATATAACTTGAAGATCTTTTCTCTTCATTCTCTATATTGTCATAATTTGTACATGGACCTGTATATTATAACATGTTTTAATAACAAGGTCTACATAAACATGTACATATAAAATGAGTTGGTTATATAAGGTTTTAAAAGATTCTTATGGCTGGCAACTAAATTACTGAACACAATTTAAAAGTCTATTACCGGATTAAGTATACATATTCCTCATCTAAACTTTGTCTTTATGGGATATTCAAAACTAATTGTCAGTCTGAGGAATATTTAAATTGCAATAATTTTATACATAGGCAGTTACTCTCAAAATTAAGACTTAGTGATCATTTCCTAGGCATTGCATTGGGTAGATACAGAAACGTTCCAAGAGCACAACGATTATGTAAAAAATGTGGAGTCCTAGATGACGAATTTCATTTCTTTTTGTATTGTGACATTAACATAGCATTGCGTTCAAATTTTTTTGCATATCTACAAGACTATGTACCATTATTTCAACATCTTGATGCATGTAATAAACTAAAACACATTCTAAACCCCACCCCTGAACTTGTTTGACATATTGGAGTCTTCATTAAGCGGGTCTTTAGACCTGAGGGGGTCAGACCCATGTCAGACAAGTTTATAATTGTGCTTTTTGCATAAATTTGTTAATTGAAATCTTTCTTAAAATATGTTCTATTGTATTATATTGCATTGTATTTTATTTAATTGTATTGTTTGTTTGTATTGCTTTGACTCTTATGGGTGTAATTTTGCAATAAAGATTATTATATAATTGATAATGAAATTTCCAACCGTTATTTGGAAGTTTCAATTCGATAAGCCATAAACAATTCTCACGTTTTAATATGTTGATGTGAATTAAATATATATGGTGCACGTGGGTAACGACACTATTGTTAAAGAGACTATATTAGTTTCCCCTGAAATTATGTCAAAGCAATAGGGGAGATGTTGATTTACTGTTCCTCTAAAAGTCATACGACAAAAATGTGATAAACTGCAAGGCACCCTTCGGCCTTCATAAATTAGCAAAAGTCATAAGGTGATCTATGTACATGGACATTAACATATTAATTGAGTTATTGATGCATGGTTTTCATAGATTTTTGTAGCTGGCAACTAAATTATTGTACAATAATTTTATAGGCTATTGCCAAGATAAGTATACATACATAAACGTTAGATATCACTTTATAAGTTTTACTCATTCACAATTCAGCCAAATTCAACTTGTTTTACCGATCGCTAGACTTAAGAAAAAGTTGTTTCCTGAACAATTAAATTCGGTAACGACTTTAATTCGGTGATGTCACAATCAAGGAAAAGAGGACGGGATTTTAGCTAGGACAATTATAAAGGACTTTTCGTTTACTTATGAATTTTCCTTGGAGTTCGGTATTTGTGTTATTTTACTTTTTTTGCAACATACCAGTGGTCATCTAAGACAAATATATTCCATAAATTTCAACCAACTTATGATGGTATGTATAGATATGATTTGAAACGTTAATATGATTAAATATTCAGAAATGAATTTACGACCTAACGAAATGATGCCATCTTTGGGACATGGGTACTAAAAGTAAAATGATATATTCTAGAGAAATTGACAAACCCGGATTTGTTTTTTTCTCAATCGATTTATGAATTTCGAATAGCGGTATAATACTACTGTTGCCTTTATATAAGAATGTGACTCTTACTTTGGTACTTTTGGCAGAATATTTTTGTCATATCTGTGAAAATTTTATAATGTCTGAAACCACGACTGTCAGAGTGTAAGCGTATGCTTGCTTTTCTTTTGGAGCAAAAGTTCAAGCTTTGAAAAATATACTGTTTTCCTTTAAAGCTTGCTAAAGTCTCTTTTTAAATATAAATTGTATTTCAAAACTTGATGGTTGACATTAAGATAAAACAAAATAAGAATCCTCTGGAAAAGGTAAATTCGATTGACTATGGATTGTATCATCAAATTCGGTAGATGAAAAATTTAATCAAATAAACCTAATATTTAGAAAAATTAAAAGGTCTTATTCCTTCATATACTCTTAACGCAATCTCGAACAATTTTTTTTTCTAGCTTACATGACAGAAGAAGAACAAATAGAAACAAACAATTCAGCATTAACAATGTTATTGATTACCAGTCATAAAAGTGATGAGTTACTGTCGACGCACACCGTATGACGATCTCAAATGTACTTGAATTTCTATATAGCCAAATACTTCAGGTAAGTAAACACTTTATTTGACAAAAAAAAACCTGGGTACAATCTGTGATAACTACGTTTGAACAATTTTCTTACATTGGTTAAGTGTTAAAAGCTATAATACATACTCTTTATCTGTATATGTATATAGAGTATGCATTTTAGATCAGATATTAGAAAAGTTTTATTCTAATTATCTCTGGGTTGCATCACTTTATCGTATTCGCCATTTCCTTGTAAAATGTTTTTTTTAAATTGTGAATTTAATTTGATCGGAAGATATACGTCGACGAATTTTAAGGATTATCTTTCATCCTGAATAATGCTTCTCTTTGCGAGCAGCATAGCATAACTTTCAAATTTTTATTCCAAAAACACGCACATCGTTAAAAAAGTAAGATACAATTTTCGATCGGAATTCCTTATTTATGTACAAAACAATAATAAACCACAATATGATAGACAGCGACGAACTACAATCACTGAAGAACAGGCTCATGGCTTGGGACAGGGGTTAAACAGGTTTGCGTGTAACAGCACAACATAAGAAAAACTGCGATTATCATTTGAAAAGGGCTATATCGTTTTGTCATTAACAAATAATTGCATTCCACGCTTCTGATTATCGAAAAAGGATATACATTGACTTTTTAAATTCTGGTCTTGGATGGATATTTGTATAATTAGCAATTATGCCACATCTGCTCATATTAACCCTTCAAATCTATTTATCTAATATTGGTTTAATATATGACTCGAAATTCGAAATGATGGGTTTTGTATAAAAGTTGTTGAGCGTAGAAAAAAAAGTAATGACTGTATATAGGAACGAAGAATAATCTTAAAAGGTTAGGGGTATAGTACAAATTTAAAAAAATAGTCTCTCTGCAAAGAGTACATTTTCAGTCAATTTGTAGCAAAATTCGCAATTTTTCGTTATCTTCTTGAAACTTTTAAAGTCAGAAAAAAAAACAGTATTTATAGAGCTTACTTTTCTGGTCAGTTTAACTATTTAAAATAATAATAGTAAACCTTACCAGCAAAGTAAGCTGTTCAATTAAGGCAACATAACCGAACTTGACAGTAGCCTCCTATCTCGAGTATTAGCCTTTAAATGGTGACTTTTAAAATTACAATTTTCAATACATTGGTAACAATCATCACTATGATACTTTGTCAAGCATAATTTGGCAAAAGGTTTCAGAGAATAGGATGGAAATGTGAAAGTTTATAATGAACCTATTTGAAACCGAAATTCCACTTCTGAAAACCATTCAATATGTTTTTCATACGCAATTATTCCAATGGAAGCTGTTCAATAAAAACAAAGGATTTGTTCAGAAGAAAATGCTTTAAGTACTAACAGTTAATTCACAAAAAAGTACCGACGACTTTTTAAAAAAATCATGAACATTTCAGTATGATTTACGAAAAATGTTTATGAAAAGAACCATAAGTAATAATTACTTTTTATATCAAGAAAAGTTTGACATTATAGTGAGACATAAGTGACAAATAAAGTGTGATAATACGAGGTGCATTTAATAGAAAATCGTAATGCACTAGAATGTAAAAAAAAGTATCATTAAGCATGCAGAAAAATGTATAGACCAATCTTTTTTGTCATAAAAATATTAAAAGTATATATATATATATATAAATATTTTACTTGAGTGAATAATAAATGTATAAATGGACGAAGACTAAAAGTGTTTTATTCTACTGACACAATAACATTTACCCTATTATATACTATGAAATTATAAAGCTTGATCATGTTGATAGGATAAATTTATTTTATTCTTTCATTATACCTTTTAAACGCATTATGTCAAACACCCGTAATAAAATACGAATGCATTGTATGTCAGCTGATCGGCGACGTCATAATTTGTTTGGATTATTTCATTTAACTTTTTTGCTTCTTTGTCGTTTGCTGTTATAAATAAACACAGAAAATTTTAAACAAACCATAGTACGATTTTGTTGAAAGCATGATTTCTTAAAGAGGCTCATATATAGCTCACTTTGTACGAAGATGTTTGACTTTATTGTAATAAGATATATTATTTTTGTACATCTTGTACTGTTGATCATTTTTGTAGTGCCTTGTTTTTACCTATCTTTTAAACACAAACACAAAAACTGGTCAAAAAACGTCATTTAAAAAAATGACTCCTTTATAAGTCATTCATTGGTTACAGCTATACTAGCATTTTATCTGTTTTTGTATAGCTGAGCATTTTTACTATTTACAGTTTTAGCCTATTCATTAAAGTTTTAAAAATAATTTGCAAAATTATAAAATTAGTATAATAAATGTTTTAAGGCCAACAACTTCTATAAATACTCATCTAATGGTATCGGTCGTATTGTTAGTTTGTATATCCTGTATTGCTGATCTTTTTTTTTACAGTTTCTACTTATCTATTATACTCTTTGAGATAAAAGGCAAACACACTAAGAATAATCATCAATCGTCATTCACAGACTATAACTCCTTCAAGAGTCATCCGATGGTTTCGGAAATATTGGCAACGATAACATCAATGGAACCAATTATGCATTTCGACAATAAATTTCTCTTCAGTGGTGTTCGATGCCGCTATATATGAAATTCAAAACTTCTTTAAAAACATATTGGTGTAAACAAAATGTCGGTAAATCCTGTCACTCTGAGCATTTTTGCCCCTGTCAGATTTTCTCTATCTAATATATATTTCAAGATAAAAGGCAAGTAATGCATTTTATCTTATGTTATGTTCTGTTTTCCATTAGCCATGGCAACCATGTTTGTTGTTTTTTTGACCGAAAAAAGAAATCCACAAACATCAAAAAAGATTATCAACCAACATTTGGTTCATTTGTTTCAGAGAAGAAGATCTTTGAAACAAGAGATACAAAACATAAGTCGTTTAAGGTTTTAATAACCCATCTTATTGTGTCCGTTATATTGCTATTTTTGAAGATCTTGTACTTCTGATAATGTTTTGCTGGTAACAGTTTATACCTGCCTACAATTGTCTATAATAGTTTTTGAGATAATAGGTAAAAACACAAAACAAATAGCCAAAATCGTCATAAACGGTCAATAACTCCTTGAAGGGTCATCCAGTGGTTTTGCTAATTTTTACCATTTTTTTATAGAAATCATATTGCTGATTATTATTTCCCTTAACAGTTTTTACCTATCTTATATAGTGTGTTTAGTTGATAAACCAAAACATGAAAATTAGCCAAAATAGTCACATAAAGACAATAACTCCTTCAGAAATCCTTTCATAATTCGGTTCCAACAGAAAGAAGATAGATCTGGACATTTTGAACATTCTTGCCTCTGTCAGTTTTTTCTAATATAGTTTTTAAGAAATAAAACAATTTATGCATTTTACTTTTATTTTAGCTATGACGGACATGTTTCTCGACAGGATTAAATAATCAAAACTTTATACTTTTACCCGAAAGATCATTCATCTTATGTTTGTTTGAATTCGGTCCTCTCTAGTGTCAGCGGAGAAGATTATTGAACAAGAGGCTCCAAAGAGCATGAATGTGTTCAACGTAAAGATATGCCATTTTGATATAGAGTTAGCTGTTAAGTTAGTAGATCTTGTATTGGCGGACAAGTTTGTTCACCGGGATAAGTAGAAAACAAACTTTATAAAAGATACATGAAGGATCCTTCACACCATCTGTAGAAATGTTACAACGGACACGAAATTAGTCAAAATTGCCTTTAAGGCTATAGCATTTGCTCCTTGACGGGTCATAATTATGGTTTCGATCATTTTTGGGATTCTTGTCGATCTTATTTTGCTGATCAGTTTTTCCAATCACAGTTCCTACTTATTTAATTGAGTTTTTATGGTTTTAATCAAAAAATGAAAATTAAAATCGTAATTTAAGAGCAACAGCCCCACATGAAGGGAATCATCTGATAATTTTGGTGCAAAACGGAGGTAGACATTTGGAGCATTTTTGTCCCGTTCGATTTCCTCTATCTATATTAGTTTTCCTGACATAAGACAATTACTTTTCCTTTCTTTTTTTCTACCTTTAGCTTAAAAACGAGTACATAGAATTATTTTTACCAATTTCTATGAACAGATCACCGATGAATCTTTTAAAACTATATAAACCGCTAACACAAAAATGCCGTTTTTTTTCTAAAATCTTGAAATTTAATAAAAAAAACGAATTATACCCACAGAGTTGTTAAACAAATTTAGAACATACTTATGTAAAGAAGATGATCTTTTGAAACAAAAAAAAGTAACGTCTATCTGTCCCAAGGTGAAAAATATCGTGCATGTATGCATATTTTGATAAAAACAAATTCACAGTGCTGATTATTGTTGTCTTCAACAGTTTCTATCTATCTACTAAAGCTTACGAGCTAACAGGCAAAAACATGAACATTAATCAAAACTCGTCACTTAAAGTCAATATCTCCTTAAGGAGTGATCTAATGATTTTGGTGCAATCAGGAAAAGTTTGATGTTGACAAGATCTGCGAAAGATAAGAAAAGGAAGATTTAGACTCATAAGTCGAAAATAAACTGACAATCTCAGCGTAATTGCTATCAAATGTTTTTATCTGTTCAAGTTTTCAAGATATTAGACTATGAATGCATTTTACCATATGTTCCATTTTAAGCCATGGTGGGAATGTTTGTTCACTGACCGGAAAAATAAAACACAAACTTTAATCAAGATACCATTATGACATTTCACACCATGTTTAGTTGAAATTGGATAGGACGTTTTAGAGCAGAAAATCATTGAAAAAGTTAAACAAGACGCCGAACCCCGGACGCTGGACCACGAGGACATACGCCAAGTGATAGCAAAAGCTCACATGACCTTATAGGCCTAGGCGAGCTTAGAATCAGATCATTTAATATTTTCAATATTAAGTAAGTAATTTATCTACACAAATACTAGTCAGAAAACACCGCTGGTACCACTAAGTACCAGCTCAATTCTAAACTTGAACATAGGTTTAAATCGCCTAGGGTAATTTTTCTAAATCGTTGCATACAAAAAAAGTACAAACATCCTAACCGCCTCTAAAACAAAAATCAGTTTTCTTCGCCTTTTACGTCAATATCTGCAGTGTTTTCAGTTACGGAAACAGCAAATACTTGCTTAGATGTAGAGCGCTTAGATAAATATACCATAACTGTCTTATTCAAATATAAACAATTCTTGCGGGATCAAATTGATTAGGTCAGGAGTGGGTCCTGTATGCCTATACTCTACCCCCTCTCTTTCGCTTGTTGTAAAATTTGGCATAAAGGGCCAAACCATGATCATATCGAAATAAATCAAGCCCCCAAAAAATTATTTTATAATGACATGTCAGAAAACTTGTTTTTGGAGATAATGTTGTTACTTTTTCATGAAATGCACTTTGGGGATACATTGGGATGAGATGGGCTCCGGGGTCACTCCTAATTTCATCGTTGGGCTCCATACACCACAGCATGGCCTCAGACTCTACTGATAGGTCGACGGGCTCTTCTGATGGGGCACCTGGTTCCATTAATAGGTCTCTATGGTCCTATGATGAACTCCTAGCTCAGTCAGTAGGGATCAGGGCTTAACAAATGTGTGCTCCTTGCTCATACAAATGTTGAGCCCATCTTATTACACCCATGATAATGTACGACCGGATAGAGAAACTAATCGAATTAGATTCATCCCTAAAAAGTTAATATTCGGTAGGCAAACCTATTAAAAAAAAAGTTTCCAAAATAAAAACATTAAACATTAACAACTGAATTAAACTTAAGTCCAAGTTGTTTCACAACTTTTGAGTTGTTATGAAGAGGACTCTTTTTAAGCGCCATACGTATTTTAAAGACATTGAAGCCAGTTTTATAAAAGTATTTTGTCATCTGTCATTGAGAAACAAAACAAACAACAACAAATGGAAGTGTTTAACGACCTTGACTGGCTGTTCAGCCCTCGCACGGTCGGCTAAAAAAAAACATATTTATATTCAACACTTTTATGGTAGATTTGAAACTGTATACCACCATCTTGGATTGTAGAATAGCAGGTCTAGTTTTTTGCTTAAATCTGCAAATTTTGAGACAGATTGGCCATTAATGGGTTAGACTGTTTATTTGAATAAAGAAAAACAAGTGATTTATTACATTATTCAGATTGATTTATCAAATACTAGATATTTGTGTTCAAATTGTCAACTTAGCCGTTTTAGGGGAGATAACTTAAATAGTAAAATTTTTATGAAGGAATGATAGAGAAATTTTCAAATTTGTTTTACGTGTAGCAAGATAATAAGATCGAGGACACAATTCTTTCTTAATTTTTTCTTAAAGCATATTCTAAAACCTATCTTCTCATATTTTATTTCCAAATTTTATCGCATAGATTTCTTTTTATTCACAAAAAAGTTTTTTAATGAACAATCTATGCAAATCTGTGCAATTTTGTGCGTCTTGTAGCTTGAAAAATAGCACGGTGACCCATACTTATTATTATGTTTTTTGAAAAAAAGAATGGATAAATCTCCATTCTGGCAAAGAAATTTCTATCTGAGGAAATATATACCGATTATCCAAGTTAAGTTAAATATTAGTATTTCGTTAAAAATCTATAAAACTATATAAAAAAACGTATTTAAAGAAAGAAGCAATTGCTAAGATATGGAAACAATTTAACAGATTTTTAAGAAGACTGGGACTTAAATATTTACTAACCTGTCGTCAATTCTACATATAATACACAAGCAGTTAAAGTCAGGAAAACACTAAAAAGCTTTTTCATTGCTGTACTGCTCTTTCGTCAATAACACAGGACGAGATTAATTTACACAGTTTGAATTTTACTAATTATAGACATTTCGGAATTACGTTGTAAATTCCCACTGAAAACATATTGACCAATTAAAAAAAGGCTGAAAATGCCAATTGTTTGCATGTCTATGTATTGCTATAGTCAAAACAAATTACGATCGATAAAAAAAGAGGTATATGGTAAAGTTAACCTTCCTAAATGAGATATAAAAGAAATAAAACAGAACTTCTTTAAAGGTGTTATCACTTCATATGCTATTGGATAGATATGTTAGAGAAATGCTTACATTTAACAATTAAGTGTGGAGAGACAAGAGTTGAGACATTTAAATGAAGGATCATTTCAAAAGGAAAAATCTAATTATTGATTTACTCTTCAAACCAATAGCTTTCCAATAAATATAAAAGTAAGTGAAGTCTTGTCATCTTTTCTATTATGATTATTGGTTGATCAGTTACTTGATAAACTGTTTGCATAACGTCCATTACAAATTATTCATGTTGATTTGTTGGTTTCGATGATTCGTAGGTATTTTAATTGATTGATTGATTGATTGATTGATTGTATGATTGAAATTGCTCATAATTTCATATTTGACAAATTAAGCATCCGTTAATAGATTGATTTGCTTGATTCATCTGCTTGATTGGATAATTGATTGGTTCATTGATTGTTGCACATTTAACGCACATTCTTTACCCACAGTCACAGAATGATGAATGTCTCTCCTCCAAGTAATTGAGCAGGGTGATAAGGAATTTCTTCGATTTAAAAATAAACCACGGGGTTAAGTTCCAAAGAGCAAATAGGTGGGACATGGCTCTCCTTTAATTTCTAATTTCAGGTCAGCGCAACATGTTTATTTGTATCTAAATCATGGTATTTCTAAGAACATGCAAGTGTTAAACACCCTCTCCTTTTTAGCTCACCTGACCTGAAAGGTCAAGTGAGCTTTTCTCATCACTTTGCGTCCGTCGTCCGTCGTCCGTCGTCCGTCGTCCGTAAACTTTTACAAAAATCTTCTCCTCTGAAACTACTGGGCCAAATTTGACCAAACTTGGCCACAAACATCATTGGGGTATCTAGTTTAAAAAATGTGTCCGGTGACCCGGCCAACCAACCAAGATGGCCGCCATGGCTAAAAATAGAACATAGGGGTAAAATGTAGATTTTGGCATATATCTCTGAAACCAAAGCATTTAGAGCAAATCTGAAAATTGTTTATCAGGTCAAGATCTATCTGCCCTGAAATTTTCAGATGAATCGGACAACCAGTTGTTGGGTTGCTGCCCCTGAATTGGTAATTTTAAGGAAATTTTGCCGTTTTTGGTTATTATCTTGAATATTATTATAAATAGAGATAAACTGTAAACAGCAATAATGTTCAGCAAAGTAAGATCTACAAATAAGTCAACATGACCAAAATAGTCAGTTGACCCCTTAAGGAGTTATTGCCCTTTATAGTCAATTTTTAACCATTTTTCGTAAATTTTTGTAATCTTTTACAAAAATCTTCTCCTCTGAAACTACTGAGACAAATTTAACCAAACTTGTCCACAATCATCATTAGGGTATCTAGTTTAAAAAATGTGTCCGATGACCCCGCCCGCAAACCAAGATGGCCGACATGGCTAAAAAATAGTACATAGGGTAAAATACAGTTTTTGGCTCATATCTCTGAAACCAAAGCATTTAGAGCAAATCTAATGAGGATAAAATTGTTCATTAGGTCAAGATCTATCTGCCCTGAAATTTTCAGACCAATCAGGTAACACGTTGTTGGGTTGCTGCCCCTGAATTGGTAATTTTAAGGAAATTTTGCAGCTTTTGGTTATTATCTTGAATATTATTATAGATAGAGATAAACTGTAAACAGCAATAATGTTCAGCAAAGTAAGATCTACAAATAAGGCAACATGACCAAAATTGTCAATTAACCCCTTAAGGAGTTATTGCCCTTTATAGTCAATTTTTTACAATTTTCATAAATTTTGTAAATTTTTGTAAATTTTTACAAAGTATTTTCCACTGTAATTACCGGGCCAAGTTCATTATAGATAGAGATAGTAGTAAGGAGCAAGAATGTTCAGTAAAGTAAGATCTACAAACACATCACCATCACCAAAACACAATTTTGTCATGAATCCATCTGTGTCCTTTGTTTAATATGCACATAGACCAAGGTGAGCGACACAGGCTCTTTAGAGCCTCTAGTTTCCTCTCAAAACATATTCCTGCATTTTCTTTTATAAATTTCCAGGGTCCTCGGACCTGGGTCTGAACTACTTTTTTTTTAATGCCTGTAAATTCCATCGTATTTTCTTTTTCGCTTAATTGTTCCAAGAGCATCAAATCCGTGAATTAAACCGAAGAAGTGGACCCCGTCCTGTTTCTCTTTCGTAGAAGGAGAGCATTTAACCTGTTCCCTTAGTAAAAAATGTTCGTAAGATATTCGTCACTGTCTCTGTACATTATGCAAAGTATCAAAAAGTTATCAATAAATCATTTCATCAATCAATCAACCAAGCAATCTACTAACACAGCCAAACGCCCAATTAACCGATCGGTATTAAGAAGGTGTCATTTGATATTATGCAAAAATTTTATCAACCAACCAACCAAGCAATCAACCAAAATTAAGATCATAGAACATATGGAATGACTTGCATTACCAATTGATTTCTAAAAGAGCTGTGTTCTAAGATAATTATTATATATCTATTGGATGATATTATTAAAGCTGACTATGCATCGAGTAAATCAATCATGAAATACATACGTTTGAGATGCTACCTTATTTAAATGTCTCAACTCTAGACTGTTGACTCTTGGTTGTCAATTGTAAACATTTATCTAACATGACTATTTGATATTATTTGTTTATGTAAGATAGCTAATGAAAGATGTAGTTGCAAGATATTATCTTATTCATATTATGATAGAAGAATAGACATAAAATCTACAGACACATAATATAGATCATTTTACATATCTATTTTAAGGTGGTACTTTTAATCATACAAGAGAAAGGTGGAGGTATAATTAGCTTTTATTTGGCCCCTGGAAATGGAAAAAATGGTAAACCTATTCAAGCCTTTCAAAAGTTTATTGATAAATGGACAGGTTGGTATAATCTGGACACTTTATTTTAGAAAAAAACATGACTTAACTGACTTTCTTTACCAAAATAATCATTGTTTTTAGTCTAAATATAAATATATGAACAACAGCTCTACACGTAAAGATATTTAACACAAATTTACATATTTTTATCCATTTCGTAGCAAAATACCTTTAGTTTGAAGTTGTTGATCGTTTCTAATTATTAATGAAATGATCTCAAAATGAGCGTTATTTTGCTGGTTTTTTTAAGGTTTTTCACTAAATGAAGAAATGAGAAGCCCTAATGCCAATAATCAGTCAACTCATAAAAATAGAAATACTTATGTCCGCAGATAGAGTAATGTCTTGTAAAAATTTGAAAGAAGATATTATATAGATTTAAATTACTCTTTGAAATCAAGGGGTAAAACAAGTGACCTATTCATACCTTCTCCTTTGATGCTGAGCATCAATTTCCTGCATTTTCCAGCAAAATGTCTGTGGTTCTCTCCGTGGAGTTCAGCTTTTAGTTCGAGTTGAGTTTGAGATTAAGTTCGAGTTGAGTTTGAGATTAAGTTCGAGTTAGAGATAAAGATCGAGTTAAAGTTATCGTTCGAGTTTTTGCCCAAATTTCAAGTTAGTGTTCGAGTTGCTTTTCGAGTAAGAGTTCGAGTTGAACTTCAATTTAGAATTCGAGTTTGTATAAATTTAACTCAAATCATGGCTCGAAGACTTTCATTTGACGCAAAATCAAATCTCTGCCGTAGACCATATGTCAATAATGAATATTTCAGACTTTTTTTATCATCCGATAGGAAATCAATGTCAAAATGTGCAATCTTATCCGCTGAGTGATGATATTATTAATTTTCAGTAGAATGAATTTGTAACGAGGTTTCTAAATTGATCAAAAACTAGAAATATACAAGACGTGTAAGTTGGTAATACATTTCACTATCATGAACGAACAATTATTTGTATTCAAATAATACTGTTAAATGTAATTAACTATTTGTATGCAGACAATGATGACAGAAGAGCGTGCGGGTCCAAGGGATGGCGGGAAACCTCCATTTTGTTTTTAAAAAATCGTTTTATTTTATCTTTTTTCTAATTTTCGGCAGGCACCTAATCCCCCTTTATCTCGAATTTTGGCTCAATTTCTAACTGGAAGCATAAATCGAACTATAACCTAAACTTTAACTCGAACTCTTAATTGATGGTTAGCTACAGTCCTCTCCGGTTTCTCCGGCTTTCTCCACAAGTAAAAGCTGGCCGCCATGATATTGCCAATTTTGCTGAAAGTTGCGTTAAACACCATCAATCAATTAATTGATGAACTACACTTCACAGGTTACAACAATAGAACTTGTAGTTGAGCGCATTTATAGTGACCTCAATGTTCTAATTTTGTTGGTACTTGTTTCTATGATTGATTTGTTGATAATTGTTTGCCGAACATTCATTGACAATCAGTTTACGTAAATTCAGGACCACAAAAAAAAAACTAACAATTTATACAATAGTTCTGCAAGATATGCCGACCGGGATTTAGAGTGGGAAATTTGGTAGTAGCGCAGTATGCTGAAAATATAGAGGCCTAACATTTGCCTTGTAACAGACCACCTACAGATCCATCAGAATGAGTTGTTGCAAGAATGCATTAACTAGCAGAGAGCATTCTACCTACACTAGACATTGGATTTAACGTCACATTCTGACCTGATGAGGCTGCGAATTTATACAGAGCCAAACGAACCCCCAAATTTAGCAAAGGCTTTACTGTCGGAAAGGGAAAAATTCAGGGATGACCATATTTCTATACCAAAGTCAACCCCTGGTGTTAACTTGTTTATAAAGTTATTACTATTCCCGAGCCGATGAACTGAATAGCTATAAACTATTTGATAAGGCCGAAAATAAAAAAAGAATATCTTTTAAAAAAATCAAAAGTTATAAATCTTGAAACATTTGTTTACCAATTTAATCTAAATTTTTTCTATTTCTGCTGGTATAATACAATTCTGTAATTCTGGAAATCAACTTGTAGAATCTAGTTCATTTGTATCTACCCTCGTAAAACAAATATAGGGACAGTCTTTTTTGAAGAGAAGAAAATACTTTCCAACTTTCTTTTGCCTCAGTCATGATTTTAAACTTATATTTATTCATCGGTTTGGTTAACTTTTAACACAGAATAGATGGTATGGTAGTTTATATGGAGAGTTCAAATTAAATTCTTCTTTCGCCTATCATAGCAACAAATTTTTTTTTTAAATATTTTAGTTGTCCAGAGTCTATAAAATGAGGAAATGGAGGCGGAAGATACCAAAAGGGATATTTCAACTCATAAGTCGAAGACAAGCTGACAACGCCAAGTCACAAATACCGAAAAAATGACGGAAGGACAAACAGTTTATAAAGCACAATACAGAACACTAGACTGAGCGGGGCTGATTTCAAGTGTCAGAAAATGAAACGGTACCAGAAGTAACCTGCCATCGACACCAAATTTTTTCAATCATAACAATATTGAGATACGTCTGCAAGACAATCATTAATGATTTTCCTGTTAAAAGACGGGCATCGGAATACACTAGTTTTCACTAGACCTTAAACTCACCCTTTTAATTTTGACCAATTGCCTAACATAAAAGAATTTTTTCAACCACTGAAGACAAAATATATAACAACTTATTCTGTATCAAACAATCTCGTATTTATTCATAAGCAAGCTCCAATAACTTTACCTGTTAGTTTGATATTAAGTCGACCAGAAACCTTTTTTGTTTCCCATTTACCTTTTTGTCGAGCGCCAGTGACGACACGCGCGCTTGGTGTTCAAACCGATAATCCTGATATCTTTAAAGAGTTGTTTTGTTTTTGCTATAACTAACAGAGTATTGGAAATAATGTTTTACAATATGCCGACTGTACGGATCGCTATATTTGCCACTCGTTTTCATGGTACAAACTGGGCGAGTTAATATGAGTTTCTACATTCTAAATTTCATTGCAGGGTGTCCTCGAGATCTGTACACCATCTGTCACTAACAATTATCAAAGATTCTTTAAATCTTGCCACGGAAAAAGAATACCAAAAATGAATACCAAAATATAAAATCCAATTCGCTGAGTGATGATATGATAACTTTTCATTCGATTTTATTTAACGCGATTTTTAAATTGACGAAGAATTAAAAATTTACAAGATATGTAAGTGTATATATATTTAAATTTAGATCCTTTGCCAAATGTGAGAACATAAAGCTAGCAATATGTAAAGATAGATAAAAATCTCCTTCTGTCTAACAAAGGTCTATTCAAGTGAAATTAAAAAAAAACTTTAGAAATGACACCATAGCACCTGGTGCCAATGGGAAATATGTAATACGATACCTTCTTCCTGGTTCCCGGAGAGTATCAACGTTTATATTTAATGCATATATGGAAAATAACGATCAATGAATCATAATTATAAATTAAACATAATTTTACAAGTTAATTAACTGTAAAATTATATAAAGATTAAAAGGACAACTTCTATCTCACTTAAAGGAAAAGTCATGAATATCCGAGGCGATTATATATGAAATATTGATGTCCTTGGACTACCATACAATTGTATATGAAATGTATAGAAAGGTTGTAAAGGTCTCTTTAAATTATTTTTTTTAAAGAATATTTACTTCAAGTTGTCAATAACATAGTATGGTCAAAACCGTGTTCCAATAACAACTGTAATTCACAATTTTGTTACGTCTGCTATTTTTAAAGTATGGTTGAGAAACTGTTACATGTGTTGGACTAAAGAATTCACAAGCATGTTACGAGATTTTCAAACTGGTCTTAAGTTTTAAGGTTTTTAAGTCCGCTCAAATAAAAGTCACTCAAAAATATTCGTAGTTCGTAGCTATCCTTTATAAATTGGTATAAAACCAGGTTCAATCCACCATTTTCTACATAAGAAAATGCCTGTACCAAGTCAGGAATATGAAAGTTGTTATCCATTCGTTTAATGTGTTTGTGCTTTTGATTTTGCCATTTGATTAGGGACTTTCCTTTTTGAATTTTCCATGAGGTTCAGTTTTTTTGTGATTTTTAAGGATGTATTCTTCTGACGTTACAGTCTCGTTGAAATCTCGTTCTGGAATTTTTTCCAGAACATGTGATACAAGTGGAAAATATCAATGAATTTTAAAAATGTTATAATCAAACTTAACTCTGTGAAAAAATTGCGTATTTACAATGAGTCAAATTTTATTACCAATCAAGTCAGTCTTTTTAGCCAAAATTTTGAGAAAATGGGTGAGGGGTACAAGAAATTATTTTATCAGAAACATGTACATCCCATATCACTTTTTTCTTTTCAAATTTCTTAGATATGTATTTTTTCAATCATTTATAACAAAGAAGTTGAAATAATATGCATTTTGTTCTTAAAACAGAGAAAAATCACAAATTTACAAAATTGACAGCATGGTTAATTTGACACAAAAAAGCATCAAAATATGATAAAACTTTCTTATATTAACACCTACCTATAGTTTTTTAAGTTAAATTTATTCAGATTGGTCCACTTCATCTATATTGAAAGTATGAAAAAAAGTTTAATTGTGGAACTGTGATTTTTTCACGATAATAGCCCAAAAATAGGTAAAAATTGATGAAAAATGGGAAAATCATCAAAATTGGGTACTTTCAAAGGACCGAAGCAAAAAAAGAAGTGCACCACCATATGATTTTTTCTTCTCCAATTATTTGTTTACAGTCATATAAACCCAAAAATCAGGTTAAGAAAAAAAGTTTAATTCTAGAAATTTTTGACTCCTCAGAGGTGTACATCCTTAAGGACAATAACTCCTTAAGGAGTCACCAAATGGTTTTAGCAATAGAAGCATTTTTATAGTATAGCTTTTCATGTTTGGTAATTACAGTTTCTACCTTTCTATGAAAGGTTTGAAGATAATTTGCAAAATTATAAAAAGTAGTCAAAATTTGAGATAAAAATGAACAACTGGACTTCTCTTATTTAAAAGTTCGAACGTATAGTGTAGTGAATTATAAGTAGACAGTCACTTCCTGAACGATTTGTCAACCGATGATAAGCAAAAAGTATATCAATGAATAAATTATTAAAATAAATTCTACAGAGAGGTCCCATGATGTGACATTAATATGAGATTTCGATGCATCAACCAAAGCTAAAGGAAATGATTTGCAAATTTTCCTGGTAAACGCGTATCTCAAATTGTACAACTTGTTCTGGTATTCTCTTTGCGCTGATTTGCAAATTTATTTTTTATGCACTATTGAATGCCAAAATTCGAAAATTCAGGAATACCTTTACTTCACAAATATTCATATTATGTACTTAGATTCAAAGAAGTGAAATACAAATCCAATAAACTTAATAGACAACAAAGCTTAAGGTTATACTCAATCTGATTCATATGAATTAAGATAAAAAAAAGTTTATATAGGTAACAGTTTCTATCTCAAATGTCCAGTCGGTGATTGTACAGTGCACTTCATCTAAAATCATTAATTTTAGGTACTTGCAGTGAAAAGGACAAAATACAAAGATCAAAATTGAGTATTCTACATATTTTATCTATATTCATGACATTGCTGATGACATAAAAAAAAATGGTGGGTTCATCTGGTTTTACAGCTAGCTAAACCTCCAACTTGAATGACAGTTATTTATATTTCCGTTATATTGACAAAATTGGGTTAGCAACCCAAACAGACAGACCGTACTTTGACCTATAATGGTTTACTTTTATAAATTTTGACTTGGGTGGAGAGTTGTCTCATTGGCACTCATACCACATCTTCTTATATCTATATAATAGGTTAATGTGACAATAATTGGGATCCAGCAGCCAAAACTGTGTAAACATACATCACAGACATACAACACAACTGACTAAAAAATTCAAACAAACATACAAATAAATCTAACAATGACGCCGTCAAAATGTTGTAATCGATAGTTAATTTGACTAAGACGCCAACAAAAAAGTTTTTGCAGTTAATAATACATACCGTACATAGTAAACACCTTCTCGATAAAGTAAAAATTAAGTAAAATATAAATACAAGGGTAATCAAAATGGAAACAACACTGTAAAAATCTCTTGCGTCCGGATCGCACCTCAGGACCCACCTGCATCAGGAACGCCTAAAGTTAAAAATCCGATAGCGGGATGCATAAATACTGAGTCATGTCCAAAAGAAACATAATAGCAAGAAGACAAATAAAGGGAAAACTGTAAAGAAAAAAAAAGGATAAACATCTTTACCATCTAGAATATTGATCTTCAAAATATTGCAAACTGGGCAGAGAATTCCAAATGGATTAATTAGACTTTCTTTTGGAGATACACATTTATATTCGGTTGAGTCCCTTAGACATTTTTGTATTAGTCTAAGCTAGGTCTGAAATTGAAGAGACAATTGATACAGTGACTATTGTTAAACACTTACATTCATCAGATCTCTCTTAGAATACTGTTACGATGTTTGGAAGTGTTTCTTTTTGTCGATTCTCTGGCAAAAAATCCAGCTCGGAAGTAAATAAAATTGAGACAGAATTAAGAATGTGTTCTAGCTTTCATTGCATTTATTCTGAAACTGTCTAAGGAATATTTTCTTTAAGGTGCTAAAAAAGAAAACTATCATTATTTCATAAAACTATAAATGATACATTTGAGACCTTCTACCACGGACTGTAAATCAAGGTAAAAATTATACTTTACGTAATGGGAATACTGTTGTTGGTCAGTGCAGACGTATAAAAAAGAAGATGTGGTATGATTGCCAATGAGACAACTCTCCACAAGAGACCAAATGACACAGAAATTAACAACTATAGGTCACCGTACGGCCTTCAACAATGAGCAAAGCCCATACCGCACAGTCAGCTATAAAAGGCCACGAAATGACAATGTAAAACAATTCAAACGAGAAAACTAACGGCCTAATTTATGTACAAAAAATGAACGAAAAACAAATATGTAACACATAAACAAACGACAACCACTGAATTAAATTAATTGAATTGTAGCCTATTTGTCCCGTCTTCGGTCCACCTTTAGAATATTCTTTCCTCTAATATCAGAGAATCGTCCACAGAGTATTTCTTATGACTACTCTCAACAACTAAAATATAGACTTAAACTTGACAGTGCCACTTTATGTTTCGACAGGTACAGGAATGGCTAGTATTTAACATTGATACCCTAACAGACTTGTTAATGCGAATTAGGCAGATATGTTAGGAACATTAACCACCTTTTCTTAATTGTCGTTTTAGTATAAAACTCTTGCACACATTCAACGATTATTGTGATGTGGACTTTGGCATCAACTGTATATTATTTAGAGCAGTTCAAATTCATTTTCGATCTGTCCAAATATACTCTTTAAAGACTTTTCCTCCGACGACATCAAGCGCACACACATCTAATGCATGTTGTACAATGCTGTGTCTTTTTTTTTTAATTTCATATATTTATGTGACAAGTGTACTAAGTCATATATCACGTTATCAAAGCTGCCTCCATTTCGTCAACCTCAAGGTATTTTTGAGAAATTGTCTACAGAACTGCGTGAAAGACTACAAAGGGGATTAAGATCAGTTATTGACAGTTAATATTGTATTATATATTTTTTTTATAAACAGAAGGATCTGATTTAAGAAAAGATAGGCGACAGATACCACAGGGTTATCCAAACTCACAATTCAAAGACAAGCTAACGCCATTTTAAACAATTAAGCTGCTGTCATATTTATTTTCTCAGCATAATGGGAAAAGACCTGAAATAAACACGTATTTTTCGTGCAAATGAAATCAACCGAAAAACCCTCGGTTACTGTTTCAATACTTGGCGGAAGAAGTCTGTATAGCCTTCGATATTAAAAGAGAGGCAAAAGATACCAAAGGGACATTCAAATTCATAAGTTGAAAATAAACTGACAACGCCATGTAAAAAAAAACAGAAAAGACCAAACACAAACACAAACAACAGTATACAAAACACATAAAAAGAAAAACTAAAACCTGAGCTACACGAACCTTACCACAAACCGAGGGGTGATCTCGTGTGCTCCGGAATGGTAAGCAGATCCTGCTTCACATGTGGCACCCGTCATGTTGCCCAAGTAAGTACAAATCCGGTGATGAGTCTAATTCGATAGGTCGCATTCGGGGAAAATAGAGACAGGATTGTAGATACGACTACCTTTTCAGTATGCAATTAGTAAGGTCTTTCCCGACATGGGAACGACCTTATTGTTTTAATGTGTTTTTTCTTTTAATCTCTTTCAACGTTTTATTGACATAACCTCCCCCCGTTTTCATTGAAACTATCATGACCAAATTTGGACAATCGATAGACCTCACCATGAAGTATTACCAGATGACCCTGTGTACAGTTTCATCATCCACTTTAGAAGTTATTTCCCTTTTATTGGTTTTTTTTTCGAAATTCCCCTCCCCCTCGTTGTTTTTATAGATATCATAGGGGGATCTCATCCTGAAGTATTACCAGATGACCCTGCGTAGGATTTCATTATTCCCTTTTATAGTTATATCGCCTTGAAACG